TATTCAATATTTCTCAAATCTACATTTCCCTATTTTTTATCTATATATTACTCTATAATATTTATTTCTAGCTGCAAAATCTCTATTATATTGAATTATAACTGCAAAATCATCTCTTGATTCATTTAATTTAATAGGCGATCTCAGAAAAAAAAGGCGAACTCACAAAATTTCTAAGAATTGATTATATAGAATAGAAAACAATTCGCTAATTCATCAATTAGAAATGGGTTACTTAATTTTTTTTTAAGTTTACAATTTTATTAATAAATAATTAATCAAACACGGAACTTATCTCCACAGTTAAAACATTCAAAGAATTTAGTTGTAGGTTCATCAGCACATCTGGTTTGCTTTTCATCTACTAAGTATACTTTTTTTTGATGACATCCTCTACATTATTTACCCTCAACTCCATCCATTTCTCTTTTAGAGATCTCTTTGTAGAAGCCTATTTGATTAATTTCAAGTTCTTCCTTTTGGGCAGCCTATTGATTTAGTTTAGTTTTTTCATCAATCCAATCCTCAGATTTCAATTAAGCTGCTTGTTCATAGGATAAGCTTTTATTGAACACTCTAATAAGTACATCCCCAGTCTTATCTCTTTTCATAAATTGCAATAGGGTTTTAATATCCATTTCATAAGTCATTTTTCTGGAATCTTTATAAAAATTCCTCAAATATATTTCTTTCTCTAAACCTATAGTAACAGCTTTAATTTTATCAATTGAAATTAATTGTTCTTTGTTGGTCTAATCCCAGTTTTTGAATATATGTAAAATTAGATTGCTTATTAGATTTAGGTTTTGTATTCTATCAACATATCCTGTATATTATTGCTAGTATCCAGCAAATAAATTATGTTTTTTCATTGGTTCTGGTTTTTCTTTTTCCACTTCCATTTGCAATGGTTATCTCAATATTTTAAGTATTGATTTGGCTTTATTAATCATTTTTTCATAATCATATGATTTATAGATGCTATTTGGTGGTATTTCTTGTAATTAAGCTAATTTTTGGACTGCTAATAAAAATTTCTGATGTACAATTCTGTTTTAACCAAAATTCTGAGTGCCTATTTAATCCAGTAAATTATAGACGGCTGTTGGTGATGATTTCTTCCAATCATTTAGTTTCTTTAAAATTTAAGTCAAGTCAACTTTATCCATAATAAAATAAAAAATGTAGCTTAAATTTGAGTTAATTCTTGAAATAGTAAATTAATCATTGAAATAAAATGCCAAAAAAAGATAAATATATAATCCAATCAAGTTAAACGTTAAACCTATAAAGGTGCCGAATTTCGATTTGCTCTAAGTTCTTATAAGAAAAACTCAACATTCTAGACTAGTAAATTAAAATGATGAGCAACAGTTGTTGCACCCAGGAAATCAGAAATATCTGTCTTTTCTGGTCTTAAGAAACATGGGGCAAATACAATTGATAAATTACGAAGTCCCATCTAAATTCACAATAACAATTACCAAATTCTCTGATTCATAATCTGCTACATGATACAACAATTCAGCAATTCTTTTGGTAGTTTTACGATTGACTTCTGGCATATAAGCGAAAAATACTTAAAACATCTCTAATAACTTCTCTACACTGGTATTAGCTAATTTAAGAAAAGGTAAATACTTTAAGTTTCCTTAAGAATGTCATACATTTCAAATGGAAATATTGGTTTTTTTAATTAGCTTAGTAGATTCTTAAATACAGTTGATACAACATCAGGATCATAATCCTCAATAACCGAATAATTTCTGACTTTAAACTATTAAATTAATCTCTATTCCTATTAAACTGATCCAGAAATCCTAAATACACCTAAAATATTGAATTAATAACAGATTATACCTTATTTTCTGAGATAATCATCATGTCTCTCATAATATTGTAAGATTACTTCTAAACACTCTGGTACTCCTGTGTTTGCTCTTGGGTACTCTGATATATCTTTACCATAAAAAGGAGCTTCTTCTTAATACCTACTATTTATCCTAGATAAAAACTCCACCTAATTTTATGTTAGATCAATATTATGAGTAATTATTTGATTTAATCTACATATTACATCTTGATACCTCAAAATCAGATGAACTTTATTAGTTAAACATGATTGCCACACTCTTGGTATCACATTAACTAATTATGTAATTTAGATTTTATCGCTTATAACAATTAATTTTTCTATTCTCTAAAATTATTGTAAGGGAATATTTCTCTCAATAAACTAAAAATGATACTTGCAGAATGTACTCAGAATTTATTTTACTTCATTAATTTCTAATGGCAATGGCTATTAGTTACAAATAACCCAAGTATATGGACTAATTGTAATACATCAAATACTGAAAGGCATTGATTGTCGATAAATACTAAGTCATCATTAAACTAACTTCTTTCATGTCTTATATTTGATTTAAGATAAATATATAGATTGGCTGATCTCCGTTAAGTAACACTGGAATAATCAAAAAAAGATACCTGCTTTAAGAAATCCAGGAAGTATATAACACTTTTGCTATTGCATTTTTAATAAATTATATTCTGATTTAAATTTATATTTACATCTTATCTAATATCCTTGCTTCAAGTTCCATTCTGCATTTGCTTATTTTGTAGGGTATTTGGAGATTCAAAAAATTTATAGAAATCTTGCTTTTAAATGCTATAGGAAGAATAATTTAAAAAATTCACATGCGATAAAAAGGATGGACTTTATTATAATTTTTATAAAGTATTCAGGATTGAGTAAATCTAATTATTTTATTTAATGTTGATTTATACAGCTTGAATCATGATTTATTGAGAAACCTACGTTAATAAAGAAGTTATATGATTAAAAATAGTTATAATTTTCGAGATAGAATGTTTCAGCATTTGATTATCATCATTGATTAAATAATCAGTTGCTCTCTCTTTCTAAGAAAACAGATAATTTTTTCACTGAAATATGGGATTCAAGACACAAAAATACTTATGCATTTAAGAAAAATTATTAAGATTTAAACTAATAAATTGAGGAAGTTTTTTAAATATCATAAAAATTGAAGAAGGAATTTCTTTAAAGAATTTAATGGATGATTAGATACTAAAAAAGATTTATTGATTAATTTATCTAGATGAAATTAATAAAATAATATATCATACGAATAAATTAAGTAATTATTCAATAGAAAGGAATTTAGAACTAATTAATAAAAGAATGTGTAGTTCAGATAAATTTAGACAAATAATTAATAAGAATATTTAAAATAATACTATGTACCAATTATTTACTAGATATTTGCTATGAGTCTGAAATAATAAAATTAAACAGAATTCTCAGATCAATGTTCAGTGTTGATATATGATCATTAAGAAGGACCAAAGATTGTTGAAACATTATTAGATGAATAATGGAGATGGGATTATGTTGACAAATTTTTGCAAATATTTAAGTGATTTATTATTATTTAAATTTGAATATAATAAAATGCTTGATTACGCGGGTATTATAAGTTTGAAAAGGGAGCAATTCCATGTGAACATCCGAAAACAAAGAAATGAAAAACAGTTCAAGGAATCAAGAAAAAATTATATTCAATTCCTGTTTTCTCAATAGACATAAATGTAGGAGATGTCCAATTCGCTCCGAGAGAAACTTGAGAAAGGAGAAAATCTTCAAGGAGAGGTCTTGTAAATGATGGTAGATAAAATTTTTGATGTGCTGTAAAAGGATAATAATCTAAATCTGTTGGATGTACATTTGTGATTTAATTTAGACAATCGATGCTGCAGTATGGATGTTGAAATCGGTTGATGAGTAGACTTACGAGGATGAGTTAAGCGATAATTTGAGGATGTTAAAAATAGTGGAGAAGATGATACTATATTCATAAGGATATGAGATTGATAATGAGCCACTCAATTCATAGATCATTATTTATGCTGCTAAAGTTAGTTTATTGTATTAAGTAGTTCCTGAAATATTGGACTTAAATGGAGGATAAATCATTAAATCTTAAGTTTGGGGAAATGGCAGAAACAGTGTATTTCTTGTTAAGTAAATAAGAATAGATGTTTATCAAGAGAGGTGCAGATATATTGTATAACATGGCATTAATTGATAATGGCTAGATTTTAATTAAGTTACATGAGCTATTAATTTTTGGTCAGAAATTAGTGAACCAATTTGCACTATCTTAAATACAAGTCATAATACAAAGGTATTGGGCACTTTGTGGAGAATAGTTTTATAAACATTTTTAGATTAAGATAAGAATGGATAGCAGTTATATATCAATTTTAACATGATTGAAAATCAATAACAAATTAGCTTTTTTAATTTATTGATAAATTAGGTGTTGGAATCTGAACAACAGAATCGAAAATTGTTTAAGAATTAAATGCATTTGGTTCAGCATATACTTGATTATTATTAATCAGATAATGAATAAATCTATGAAGAGTTCAAGCAATTACTAATTACATCTCAATTTTCAGTTAAATTGAAAAATCTCTGGCTATTTCATAAATGGAATTCCATAGCAACCATAGCACATGAAATTTAGACGCATTTAGAAGAATAATAACTATGAATTCAATAAACAGTTTTGTTTTTCGTTTTTTATTTTAACTTCATTCTAAAATTATTCCAAACCTGTTATTTTTCATCAGATTGGAGAAGTTTAATATTCTAACCGATCACATTATAGTTCAGAATCTCTTCGTTTCTATTCTTCTATATTACTTTATAATAGTCAGTCCAAGTTAATGAGTTATTATTATTATTTTACGATTTTTGGAAAAGAGCCTTAACACAAGAGTTTCTATATTTTTAAGTGGAATTTTTTCGAGGAGAAAGACTACTCATCTAAAATGATTGTATATAGGATTTTATTTCGATCTTAGGACAACTATCTTGATGACTAGGATTAGATGTTTCGATTGATCTTCTTCTAGTTTGAGTAGCTGTTCTGATTGGAGTTTTGATTTGCATTTTTTTGGGAGAGACTTATTTTCGATCTTACTTGAAAATATTATCGTAGTTTCCTATCCATGGTTCAACATTTAACGGATTCGAGGTCTTTTTGTTAACATTGCTCCATTCTTCATCAATATTTAGTAATGTAAATTACGGATCATTACAAAACATTAATTAATAATAATCACATGGAAATAAAGGTCCTGTAGAAAGACTATTCAAAATAATGTTACAAATAATTCACACAATTTAACATCTCCATAATCAGGAGGTTTTAAAATCTCTAAATCCCTCTAAAGTAACTTTATGAACCTGAACCAAGAGCATATATTCGAAATCTATCAGTATGAAATCTGCAATTAGATTATTTAACCAAATTCAAAAAAGCTTAAGAACAAGACAAACCCCCTCTTGATATTGGACTGATTAGAAAAAATCTCCAGCATTTACTTTCTAATATAAATTCGAAAATACAGGAAATGATGTTCTAAAAACTCCAGGGCCTTTTCATTAAGATTTTAAGGAAATTCATTCTTTTTAATCTACTAATAAAGTTTTTACAACAAGCGACCGTTTTTATATTGAATTTTCTAATAGACCAGGACTTGGTTCTTATAATTTAGAAACTCTTAAAACAAAAAATAGTATTAAGTAAGTGTCTCATAGAGGACTATTGATAGAGCTAATCCGACTTTTGGACCTGGAGCTTTTCTGGCAATTATAATAAATAAGTAAGGGGTTCAGTTGAAAGAAATTATAAGTTCAGAGTGAAAAATAGTTTGTCCCTAGACCCAGCACATATCAATTAAAATCCATTTGCTGAGTAACTAAGTATTATTTATTTTTGATGAATTTAGGATTGAGATCTCTAATAGAGGTCGAATGCATTGTTAATAGGATCCTTCTCCTTTAAATTATAATATTTCTCAATATAAACCTCTATCAAAATATTGAAGCCTCGTAATTGATGAAAAGGAAAAAATGCAAGAGTGAAAATACAACGAAAGCAGGATCTTATATTTGGGAGTGAGTCTTACTAAACTAGGATCAATAATTGGCAAGTTTTCAAAAGAATAAATTGTAACTCATGATTCTTTACCTGTAGTTTAGATATTGATTTTAGGGTCCAGAAAATACAACTTAAATGATACTAACTGAAGAGGACCCAGTTATCATATTGCAGGCAAGTATGGAGAAACATTAAGAGCAACCAAAATTAAGGCCAGAAAGATATCAGATCAATAAAGATATTACACTTGAACCAAAATTTACATTTTCTAAAAAAGAAAAGACGGGTTCTTTAGAACAATCATAACTATAATATTATGAAATTGAATCTAGCCTAGGATTTATGCCAAAGTATTTATAATATAATTGTATATGTTTTTAATACTATGTATAAAACGGATCATTAATAAAATAAATGAGAATTGCTATATTGGCTCTTGTAGTTATTTGTGCATTATGTGGTCACAACATGAGACATAAGAAGAGGTATGTCTTATTAAATAGACAAGCACTGTAGGAGAAGTTCATGATTTAAGCAATAATGTTGGAGTAATCAGTTAATCAGAAGTCTAAGTATCACCACCTCTTACAAAATAATAATTTTAAATTAATAAGGCTGCTAAATAAACCACTCAAGCAATTGAATAAGCACTTAAGCATTCAACAGAAACAACTTTACTCGAAGTTGAACAATCTTTTAATGATGATGTGATCGATAATATTCCTTAATTTGAAGAAACCATAGATTAAATGTCAAGTGTAAAACCAGAAGATGTCTATTCAAATGATGGCAATTCACCAGATATGGGTAAGACTGCTGAAAATTTCAATGGATCAGAGGCTCCAATGGCATCTGAAGATAATTAAACTACTCCTTAAGAAGAGTATTATGCTACCGAAACTCTTATCACTAATGAAGATGTCTCATTAATTCAATTAGGAGAAATCGATGCGCTGGCAGATATTGATACAAGCATGCCCTTGTTTGATGAAGACTTCAAAATTGATGAACAAGCTCTTCAAGAAACCCCATTGAATGTTGGAGTTGATGATATCCCTGAGGTTCAAGTTGACTCTGCTTAAAATGAGGAAATATCAGCTGATTTGGAAAGATAAACGAATGAAATGACTGAGGCCTTAATGAATGATTAAGATATTATGATAAATGAAGTTTAGCTCATTTAAGTTGCTGATAGAGGATTCTATTGATTAATATATTCAATAATATAAAGATATATCTTTAAAAAATGATTAATAATTATAATTCAAGTGATCATAAGTTGTATCAATATATTTTAAAGATGAAAAGATTTTGAATGGAATATTTTCTAACTTACCGCTTTTTATGATATTAAATCTGACCTTAAATAGATTAGTAAGGGGGGAATCAGGATCGAGTGTAATGATACACTCTTTACTTGCAGAATTGCTTTGTATGAATGATAGAAATTTTTAGTTCATTTACTTCATCAATTGTTATATTTTGCATACGATGAAAATTTCATGAATATGGAAATATATGGCCACTTAATTTGTACATTGTTTATTGCCATGGGGAATATTTTTTATGTAAAGATAGAGAGAGATTTTCGATATTAGGAAAGAGTATCTGAAATCAAAATCACGAATCACTCAATCTACAATTGCTATCCCTATTACTATCTTAAGATTTTGCTTAGTAGTTTATGAAATACAAATGATAATCCAAATTGGATACTATATTCTATGAAAGTACTTAATAGTGTACTATTAACAATTTAATTAATTTATGCGATTAAAAGATCTCAAACCACATCATACTAACGTTTTCCATTAATCCAAAAACTTTACATAGATTTAGTTTGTACTTTAGGACTAGATAAATCTTTTGCCACATCAAGTGGTTTTAGAAGAATAAAAAAGGATTTAAATGATCACAAAGTTAATCAATTAATTATAAATCATAAATATTCTTAAATTGATTAGAGATGGGATTAGACTCTCATTCCTTTTAGCAGAGAATCTTCGATTTCAGGATCAGTGTAGTTGGTGCTTCTTAGATTTTGGAGTGACGTTAAATCTTGATCAGATATTTGTAACTTCTTTTTTATCTAAATACATAATTGAATAAATATTTACTTTGTTATATTCACTCACTTTATCTAAGAAAAGATCTAAATCAGAAAGATTAGGGAATAACTCTTTTCCATTTTCAGTTTTATTCTTTACTATTTCATTCAAAGAATTAATCATTTTCTCTTTGACTTTTAAGATCAATTAAGCTTTATTCAAACAAATTTAATCCTTCTTAGATTTAGCTATTAATTCGAAAAATTAAGCATTTTTTACAATCTTCACTGTGCTTTTTCTACTCTTCTCCTTCTTAACAGCATAATCTAAAATCTCCATTTTTACATCTTCATAATCATTAAGAATCCTAAGAAATGCTTCTTTGCTAATTTTCCAGACTTCTGCTTATGATTCAGCAATTGCAGATTCTCCTCTTGCTCTTGATACTAAAATATCCACTTCTCCAAAATAAGATCCTTCAACATGAATTAAAGTTCTGATTTTTCCATTTTAATCCTCACATTTTGTAGCCAATCTACCTTCTATTACAAAGTAAACAAAATCAGCAGGTTCTCCTCTAAAAAAGATGGCATCACCCTTATTTAAAAATACTGGGATCATTGATCGAAACAATCTCCTTAAGAACCCTCTAGGTTTATTTTAGAGGAATCTAATTTTTTCTATAATATCCTTAAATATGAATTCACAAACTAATCCTTAAACTAAGGGTGGCAATTCTTGTATGATGTCTTCTTCATTATAAAATTCTAACATTTGATTAGAGTGGGAGAAGATGGAGTTTTAAATTGACATCAATAACCTCTCATGTGTTTCTTTGGGTAGTTGATAAGTGTGAGCTAATTCATTAAAAAAGATTTCTCTTTCCTTAATCATAGTTAATTTTTAGGAGAGCTTAGCAAAGGTAAATGTCAATGTACCCATGACATAAGCAAAAAAGGCTACTCCCAAAAATTGAAAGATTATTCCCACCACATACTCCATATTGTTTACAGGTAGAATATTGCCATATCCAACAGTAACCAAAATAGTCAATACAAAGTAAACACTGGCTATATATTATTCAACAGCTGATGTGCCATCTGGAATATAAACTACAATCCAATTGCTATTTGGATCAGGACTTATGGTTCCGATGAAATACCAAAAGCATCCAGCCAAATGGATAACAACGAATGTCAAAATTATAAATTTTAAGATTAGACTGTATTCTTTATTAAGTTTTAAAAAGAAAAACAACTTCTGTATGGTTTGATGTTTTATAAGATTGCCTACTCTCAAAACTCCAACTAATTTATATATTCTGGGCAATCTCGCCAGTCTTAGAAGTCCATTAACACTTGAGGCTCCTGGAAGCACAGAAGGATCAAGTATTAGGTATAAAGGGAAGGTTGAAACAAGATCAATCCAGAACCACCCTTTCATGTAATTGATGGCAATTTTTTTGAATTCGACTATCACAATACCTCTTTCATCTTCATAGGCTGTGAAAAATGTGAAAACCATATCTAAGAAAAATATACAATCTATCGATAAATCTAATCCCAGTAATTCTTGAGTGTTAGTTTCAAAAGCCAAACGAACTGGTAAGATTAAAACTCTAATTTGGTTAGTAAATGAATTACACATAGATTAGTAGAAGAATCATAACTCCACTCCAAGTGGATTTAAACCTTCCATATGGATTTATGATACAATTAGGTAAAATTCTTTCAATAGCATTAGCCTCTTGAGTTAATTTACTCAGTTTTTCATCTAATTCAATGTTTCTTGGAGCCTATTCCTTGTCCATAGATTTATTTGGGCTGAAGATATCGAATTCAGAGCCACTGTCTAATTTTCACAATGACACAGTTACCCTCTTAATTTTGAAGTGTTGGCTGTTTTTGACTTTGTTGATTAGGAGACCTACTTTATGCTCTATTTGGAGAAGGAGTTTTGACAAACTCTGCCATTGGTTCAGCCATAGGTTCTTCCTAACTTTATTGGTTCTCCTAGACTTAATCCATTTAATCGGAAGTGTTTAACTATCTTCTGTCACTCAGTCTAGGTAGGCGAAGTTATTTAATGTTTTTTTTTCTCGTAGTTGATTCACTCTAATCAGATTCTTCTTCCTCTCTAATACTATTGTTTTTAAATCGATCTTAAAGTAAGGATTCAAATTACTTGACTATTCTTCCTCTTTGGCTGCTTCCAATTCTTCTTGATCTGCTATCTCATTGAAATCAACTAGTTGCAGATTTTAAAAATTTAATTTGTTCTTTCTCCTCATCGGTGTTTCGTCTTCATCACTCTCGGATACTTGTTTTTTGATATCTTTTTTGTTTCTCTGAAAAAGAGATGCCGGAATCATTAAAATATTATATTTAAAACTTATTATTTAATTTCATTGCGAATTCAATTGTAATGACCATTTAAAGTGTTTCAGAAATCTCAATTCCTGGTGACATCTACAAAGCTACATCTGACACTTTACTCAGCAAAATATATTAAAAATATAAATAAACTTTTTAGAAATATTAAATGATCCATTCAGATGAAAGCAGCGGTGATCACTTCTCTCCAAACTCTTAGTATGAACCTTGACTATTTTAGACATATTAATAATCCCAATTCGGGCCTCAAGGATAATGGAAAGAAATATGCAGTAATCGATCATTAGATCAGAGTTTAATTACTTAAACGCATTCTCTCTAAGGAAGCAACAATTAAAGAGGCTGCCAAAGAGTTTGGAGTCAATTTCAGTACAGCAAAGGCCATCTTGTAAACCTATAGAAAAGAAGGAAGAATTGGAAAAAAGAAAACCAGAGACAGGAACAAAAAAAAGAAAGATGATTCAGATTATCACTTCACCTATACGAGAAAAGTGTAATCCATGTATGATTTGGAAAGAGAAGCTCCCTAACATAGAAGAACATTTTCACCTGACTTGAGGGTTTATTTATTCAAAATAACTATTTTAGCCTGCAGATAGAAGTATTAATTAGCATCCATTGATTGTTTAATAACAATTAAACTTTTTAAACTCTCAAAGTCAAGTAGGTTCCACTCCTAATTTGGATGAGCCGAATGCTTAAATGGCTTTAGCAATCTGTCAAAGAGAGTTAGCCCAGTAAAAAATGATTAATATGCAATTATTAATGATGCTTCAAGTACACATTTCTATTGTATACTCTAGACTTATCAAACTCAAGGTTAGCAACTTTAGATAGATTAAGTCAAAGTTGAGTCAGATAAACAAAATTGAAACTTAATTTTGTATTTATTCTTAAATCATTCATTTCTCATATTCAAATATGTTTACCATCTAATCAAATGATTTTTAAATGCATCCTATGTAAATTTTTTAATTTAATTAAACAACTATATATTTAAAATGGAATTATCCGAAAACTCCTAATCGATTTCAGGATGGCTCTAAAATTATGATGATCAAATGGTTCATCAAACACGTAAACCCATTAATTGTACATCTCATTCTTAAATCTCTAGAATTAACTATTAATTAAAAACAATTGTCAATGAGAAGTATAAGCATGTGTTAACACCAATAGGACTAAGAACAATATAAATCAAGTAATAAATATAATATTTTTTGATCTATTTCTAAAAATTAGAAATTCAAACTAGTAAATTGTGAATAACAACAATAAAATATCGGAGTTGAAGAGGATAATGGAATTTTTATCAGTAAATGAATAATCTAAATATGATGCTCATCAACGATACCAACGATAACCCGATTATTAGGAAGATAATTAAGCTGCTATCTAACTACATTAAGCATAATTTAAGATTAAATTAAAGTAAAGATTTTAAGTAATAGAGTTCCTCCAAAAAATAAATGTTGTAACCTTTATATGAAATTCATCAAATAAATGCTTAAACCGAAAGATAATTAAATTGTCGATCCAATAATCTAAGTCAAAAAGGAACTCACCTAAAAACTGATAATCACTAAGACATTTTAAAATCTACTTCTATTCAAAGATTATTGAGTAAAAGGGATGTCAAACCAAGAATAACAAAGTAGTTGAATGAGATGTAGAGCAAATAAAAGGAACTTGAACTCCTTTAATTGATGATAAAGAAACATAGAGAAAATGTTTAATAATATTTTCCAAAGAAGAATAGATACTTAAGATGATTAAATTATTTTGTTTCTAATGAGTAAAGCATTTAGGATTAATAAAATTTTATAAACAAATAATTTCACTTGCATATATTATTTAATTTCTTAATAATAGTCAATAAATTCTACTTTTATTTTTATATGAAATATGAACTTAATTTAGTAATAGATTTAATAGATATATTGTATATGGATAAAAAACCTTAGTAACTCATTCAAAACTGAGAACACTATTATTGATTATAAGATCAATACAAAGAACTCTAAACATAAGAGTTGACTGAAATGATATGACATAACCTTAATATTGATTAAAAATGAGGATAATAATTAGTCCAGAAATGTTTCTTCTTGTGGCACGAACTCTAAGTTTAATATTTCTGGCTACTTGATTTCAATAATAATGCACTCTAGTTGATTAGAATCGAATTTGATTAATTGAATCTATAGAATTTGATTACAACAGTTTATAATAATGTTAATACTATTACTACAAATAATCTCAGCTTTGGGGAAAAAAGACGCATTTTAAGCATCATGGGAAATTGATAATGTTGCTATTTATGTATATTGATATAAATCATTTTTTCTATTATTACACATAATAGTGATAGTTCATTCTATTGTATAGAATTGTTTTTCTTAATTCTAAGCCTCTTTTTTGTTCCTCCTTCAAAGAAATCAATGTATTCAAATGGTTCCATCTATCCTTCCAATTTCTCTCCTTTATTTACTTCCTATCATATCAATATAATACACCTGAACATAAATGCCCATCTAATTGATTCGATTTCTCTTTGTCTCCTGTATCTCACATAGAAGATCATTCCTAACAACACTGTTACACATTACAAAGTGTAAGTAAAAGGCTCACAGACATTCCAACCCCATTCATCAACCATGTATATTCCATAATAAAATGCTCCGATTTATAATAAAGATAAGGCAAATAAGAGTGTTAGCCATCTATAACCAGTCTTTTCAGCCTATCCAATCATCACATCTAATTGTTCTCTTTACTTGCAAATTTCAGCCTCCAATATATTGATCAAATGTTGCAACTCATATAACTTATCTTTAGTTGGTTATTTCAATATTGATAATCCTTACTCCATCACTTAGACTATATCCTTCTCAGTGAGATTCTATTAGATATTGCATGAATTCAAGAACCATGACAATGTATTTGCATGACTTGGATCCATTCCCATGTTGACCATCTGAATATATCTCTTTTGTGGAGAATGTTTCAATTAATTTGATTAATTTAGCATCTTGGCTTCACTTAATTGATAGGCAGGTGTCACTGTGAATTCTTCATCCTAAATCAACAATTTAATGGCCTTGTTTTTTTTGTCATTCAAAATATAATTGAAAAGGTTGCTACTCAAACTCAAGTCTGTCCCATCTAAATAGAACTCCACTTTTGTTGATTCTTCTAGTTACAATTGCTCTTACAAAGTCAAAAATGAATATTGCGAATGAGCAAAAAACATCTTTGATCCCATTATAAATGGAAATGTCAACACTAATAGATCATCCTTAAATGTTATTTAAACATCTATATATATGTATATTTGGCATTAAGATACTTCTTTTAGAAACGATGTGCCAATATTGTTATCTATGGTTCAATCCTCTAAACATTTTAGCAAACCTTATCATTTATATCTTATTTTTATATAAATCATCTATTCATTAACTATTTAACTACTATATCCATCGATGGCCTTTTTGACTCATCCTTGCTTCTCAAATCGTTCACCAATTGTAAGATATTCTTTGGAACATTTCTAGCTGGCAGTTGTTCATTCTTCATTGCCTTCTGAACAATCTCTTGCATCTCCAAACAATCCCAAGGAATCTCTCTTGCAAAGATCTCCCACAACAAGGTTCCATAAGCAAACAGATCCACACTCTTATCGTAAGCCTATAAAGAATATTTGTTATCTAAACCCTCTTTGCGAATAGTTCTGGAGCCATGTATGTAGGTGTTCCACTAAATTACTGATACCCTTAATTCAACTCAGACTACCATATCTATACAATATTATTACACTTCTCTTGGTCAAACCGAAATCACATAACTTTACTGTCTGTCCCTAAAGTAGCACATTATGTGATTTAATATCTCGATGCACTACTCCTGCTTAATGCATGTATTGAAGCACTCTTGCTACTTGAATTGCAATAGAATATTTAAATTACTCATTTATTTGATGACTATTAATTTCAAATATAAATACTTTGTTTTATGCAATAAATGATATAAACTTCCACCTTAAACATATTCAGTGGCAATTACTAAATTTGGTGGTTTTGTACAACAAGCCATTAATAATACTATATTGGGATGTCTAAGCAATGATAGCATTTCAATCTCGTTGTTGATTTCATCCAATAATTATTATGTAATGTTGGGGTTGAATATTTTTTTAATGGCAATCTATAATTCACAATAAGACTTACTTCTGTACCTCTCAAATATCCTCTATGCACAATTGAAAAGCCTCCTTATGAAATGATTTCATGCACTTCGAATTCATTTGAATCTATCTCTAGCACATGATTAGTATGTTGCAATTCAGATATTTATCTCATGGGTCGATTTTGTGTTTTAGGTCTTTCCATTACAGCTGGCTACTACTTTTCTTGTTTTGTCTGCTGATTTGAGCCTGGACTTATTTGAAATACCTTTTATAGAATTTAATTCAATTGAGGTTAATGGAAATGACCTTACAATGTTTAGAATTTAGGTAATAATGGATTATTGCTTAGATTCAAACTTTATAAGCTCGACATGTTCAATAATTCCTCTGGCACTTCTTCAATGCAATTGTTGCTTAAATCAATCTCTTCCAAATTTGTTAATCCTGCTATTTTCGATTCAATCGAAGTGATCTTGTTAAAACTTAGATCCAAATGAGTTAATTTCAATTAATAGATCTCAGGTGGTATGCTGATCATAGATTTGCCAGAAAGATTCAAGCGAGGCTCCCCTGAACGTTTTATTCTTCGCATAATCAATTAAATATCCTCCATAATTTTATAATAATATTCAAAATATTTCCTTTATTGAGCTAGTCATGAACTTAAAGTCATTGTTAAAATCAGAATGCATTAGTATTTTTATCATCTTATTCCAATAATCAGAGTGTCCATTAACTATTTCTGTGAAATCACAGTTTACCACTTATTTATACCCTAAATATATGGGCTTTAATCCTAAAATTATGCTAAATCATTATAAATACCACAAGGAGAGTCAAAGACCTTTGCTATTTATAATACATATTTCAAGATTTAATCATTTTTTGAATAAGTGTTATAAATTCTTCCAGCCACTGCGTTCCATCTTCTCTTTTGTAACTTGAAAATATCAGCCACTCCTCCCATTATCATTATTTCATTAATAAATTATTATTTTTTTTTTTCATACAGTTTATCTAATTCTTTTATGCATTCCAAAACAATTACACTACCTAATGAATGACAAATTATGTTAATTTATCTATTTCCAAATAGTTTGTATTCAGCAATTAAATATGCCAAATATTTTCCAACTCTTTCAGCTTCCTTGCTAGCCTTCTCATATGGATTTTAAGTAAGAAATGACACTGCACTCAATGCTACTCCGACGGCATTAAATTTCGAAAATATTTGAGGTACCAAATTTTAAGCCACAGTAGAAAAGAATTCTTTTGTTTCGCTGCAATTCCAATGTAATCCAATTACAGTACCAGAACAGGAATGTAATAAATCAACCCATTAAGAAGATTTATCCTCATCTCCACTCAGGAATCCAGAGATACATAGTGTTATCACATTCGAGTTATTTTCTTTATTTGAAAGTAATTGAAAGTACATTTGTGATGGAGGTGTCATGAAGGCCTCAGATTCTTCTGATTTATTCTTTTTTTTATTGTGATCGTCCATAAGTTTTGTTTTAATTTCCTCAAAATGTTTTTAAATTATGGAATATTGAATTTCCTTCTATGTTTTTGCATTATTTCCATTTTTTCCTGAAACTATCATTTTTAAGTATTCATATTTTTTGTAAAATTCAAAATTAATTTAGGTTTAATTTTAAACTTGACCAAATAGCGAAACATTAGTTTATGTACCATACAAATCAATCGAGAAAGGCAACTACATCACATCATCTAATTATTCAATTTTGTTATTTTCTAATCTATTTTCAATTTCATTTAGTATTTGAAATTAGATTTTATCAGTCACTTTTTCACATAATTTCATCAATATATTATTAAAATATTGATATTTTCCATTATTTAATTATCTTAATATGAGGGAGAAGGCATTTCTTTTGGCAGGTTCATAGTCACCAAATATTAATTTATTATCCCGAATTGTTATACCTGCTAGAATTATATAGATTTAACAAATAATTTGTATATTTGTATCTTCATCTACTTCAGTATTCCACCATTACAATGCCTTTTCACATCTTTATTTATTATGGTTTTTGAAATTTGCAAGGACATTAACCGAAAATTGCTGGTTGTAAAATATTTGACTCTTTGATTAACTTACATTAAGATTAAAACCTGATAAAGTATCCAAAAGTTTCAATGCTTCATCAGCTTCACCACTGGATTAAATCCAATCAATCGAGTATATTATGTATTATAAATTTGAATTGAGATTTTATTCAGTAATACCTTGAATAAACTGATTATTATGAAAATATGTTAGGAAATTGAGCTCCACTAAAGATTAATATTCTTTATGCCTTTCTTCCTAATTGAAATTTAAATAAGGAGCAAAACTGTTTTATACTGTTGAGACATAATTTCTTCTTAATTTTTAACAATATTTATGACTAAATAATGCATAATTTAATACATAATTGCATTTGTCAAAGCATACCCATAGTTTTGCTAAATGTGTTCTTAAAAACTAGCCAATTAAATTTGGTATTGATTTTCTATTAATTTTTTAGAATCTAAAATTGAAATATTTTGAGATTTAATTTAACTACATATAGTTTGAAGTTAAACATCTACATCATGCAATTCTTTAAAATACTACCTTATTTTTTGCTTCAACTTAATATAAGAATCTTTTTATGTTGCCTTTGCTCTTTTATTTACTTTTTGATAAACCTTACTTTATATCTCTGCAAATGAAACAATATATTCTTCCAAGATCTACTGCTTCTAGAATTACCCTTTGAAATATTCTAACAAGATTAGTGATACTTCATCAATTGCTTGGTTCAGCCATTTTGTCTTATCTAGAATTCCTGACTATTCATAAAATATTCCAGATTTGTCACCTATGATTGTCTATAGTTCTATTTAACAGCATCCGATAGCTTCACTAAAAAAATGTTGCCCTATCAATTATGAATTGAATTGCTTATCAAAATTGTACTTTTCTAAAAATTTATCCATTTGTTTGTAATGCTCAGTTCTAAATTGGTTTAATATTATGAATCCACATACTTTAAAATTCTAGATTTTCTCTTATTATTTTCTAATTAAGGATCACCTTAATATATTGATGAGTAAACTGTTGGGTCATCTATTTAAAAATCCTTTGCATTTTGCACCTCCATATATTCAGGGTAAAACTTATTAGCCATCGTTTAGAAAATGTTTAGAGCACCTACAACTGTGTTAAAATAAGTAGTGAGATTTTTAGGAATGACTTTGGATGCCTCTTCCATATACTATTACATATTTTAAAAAAATAATGGTAATTATTGCTATTAAATGAATCAATGTTTTCCACCTTATGCTACTAATTTTTGGAATTCGTCATAAAACACTAACACCAAAGATGAACCAACAGATCTCCAAATGTTTGATAGATTTCCTTTAAAGAATCCTGTTGGGCCTTCTTTTGCTATGATTTTTGCAAAACAGTCTATAGTTCCCTAAATATTTAATATGCATATTACTGAGTATTGAACTTAAGTTTTTTGTCCAGCTTGCATCATCAATCTTCTTCTAACGGTATCAAGAGGATATGAAATTGTTTCAGATGTTGATACTACAAATTAAGCAAAGAAGAATCTGGCTAAAATAGAAGAATTTCTTTAAGCAGCATCATCTCCCCAAATGGCTCTTTTACCAGCATCATAACCACTAAAATGATAATAAATTTAGATTTACCCAAAGTATAAAGCTCTATAAACAAAAATACCAATGACTGAGATGCCAAATCCTTAATAGATACCAGTGATGCCATCGGTTTTGACAATTTAACCCATACAGTCCACCAATCCTTTGAATTGTCTTTCGTTTGCTGCCTTTCCGATATCTGCTGCCAATCTTGTTCTACTGAAATCGAGTGGATACACAATCAATAAACCGATACTTCCTGCAATACCACCACTTAACAATGAACCAGCAAAGAATCTAATTACTTGTATTTAATACCTGGCAGGTCTTTTTTTGGGATCAACACCAGCTAAGAATTATCTATTAAGAGCATCCTTCACAGAAAAATTAATGGCCTATGTTGGGAAGTATCTGATAACATTGGCCAAATTTCCTCTCCAAAATGAAAGAACACCCTCCTCTACAAACACTCGCTTGAAACAATCCAAAATTCCTAATCATAGTCTAAATATCTAATTACCATCATATGGTCTAGCAAGTAATTTAGGATTAGTGTGCTATGTCTAGAGCAACAATTTCACTCTTTCAATTGGGGCTGCAATTGTTTTTGCCAAAGCTCCAGAAACACCACCTGCTAAAAAGTCATATAAGAAATTTGATGATCCACTTGATGATGAGTGTGCCATTTTTAATTAATTTATTGTATGCAATAAAAATCAAAAGATTTAAATTACAATAATTATAATATCACTATAATTAATATATCACATTAATTATAATATCATCATAATAAACCTAATAGATACCTATTTATTCGATGTGCTGCCATTTAAATTATTTATAAATTAATTTTTATTTATAAAAATTCCTATACATTCTCAAGAATATTTCTATTAAAATCAATTTTCAACTCATATCAGAATAATATGAATTATCAATGCAAAATCCAATTTTATTTGGATTTGAATTATATATCAATTAATAATGAATTTTTACACATTATAACAATATTTTTATAATCTTTAGCTCTAGTAATATTAAGGGAAATATATATAAGTATCTAGTAGATTCATCATCTTATTTTAAAGGAGTGAATAATCATGACCTTTTCTAGTTTATCAAATCGACATTCTTTGAAATTATGTTCATCTATTCAGCCCAGTCTAATTCAACATTTCCTATTGTATTTATTAAAATTTATCTCGACTTTCTGCTAATCTCATTATTTTTATTTTTATTTAAAATAAGGGTATTAATTTATGCTAATTGAGGATATTTCATAATGGTTATCTTAAACTTTTAACATTTATACAAAATAAGGGTTTTTTCTACAAACATTGAGGTCATAAAATTAAAAGTAATTCATATATTTTGTGCTGGCTTAAATTTTATACTAATTATGATTAAAGAGTTGAATAGTTTTAATGAATGTGGATGGGGTTTGCATAATTCAAGAACTAGTAAATTTGATGACCTTCCTATTTTATTTTGAAAATTCAATCCCAATTAATTTAGTTATGAATTTAATGATTCAACATATATATTTCCTTATTCTCTTATTGTAAATATTAATCATAATTAGATTAATGAGAATTTTTATATATTATTTTCTTAATTCATCATTTAGATATTAATCGCTTTTCTTAGGTACATTCTTTATTCCCATTTCTATAAGTTGATCTAGTTTAACGTTGTCTATAGAAAGAATTTAAAAATAGTGAAAGTAAATTATTAAATTTAATGAATAATTTATTTTATAAAATTAGAGTTTGATATATATATTTATGTAATTCTAAAACTCCAAAGATTATTTGAAGTATTAATGATTATATAAATCTACTCATAGTTAACAAAGACAACTAAAATTCCATAAAATTAATATCAACAACTAATATTAAATTCCACAAAAATACAAAAGAAGGACTTATAATAAAATAAATGTAGAGATAAACATGAAAATTGATGGAAAAATTCATATTGATGAAATAATCTGTTTACATTTTTATTTTTTCATATAAGAGTCTATGCATTAATCGAGTATGCCTTTCTTAGGTGGAGAGTATTATTAAGTTCTAGCTATTTTATTCATCATATTTTAATTCCATTGTTTTATTTTCAAAATATATTCATCACTATTTAAAGAACAAGAGGATCCACTTTGCTTCTACGCAAACAATTTTAAAGGCGACTATATTTTGCCAGAAGTATGTTTTTTTTCTGCACTTAAAGTAGACTATTTTTAGTTTTTATAAAGAATTTTAGGTTGATTTTAGGCCCTTATGTTAGATTAGATAGACTTGCTTTTAGGAGCCTTATTTGCTATAGCTTCGAAAAATTCAGTTTCATCGAATTAAGTGCCGCCCTTAATTCCTTTATAAGTGCTTGGATCATATAACATTCAGTTATATAATAATAAAAATTTTAATTTTTATGAATTATTGAAATTCAACATAAATTATTTGCAATTAATAAAATTTCTTTGCTAAGAATAAAGAAAAATCAGTAAAAAATGAGTTTGATTATATTCACTAATCCTTTAATTCTTCATCATTTTTAATAAATTAATTTAGAATTTTATATGAAAATAATAATAAATATTAACCTATAAAGTAAAAAGAGTAATTTTTAAAGAACTACTTATGTATCATATTAAGAAAGTGAAAAGAAAAATTCTAATCCTTTTCTATTTAATAAATTTATCACATGAATTAAAAATCAATTAAATTCAACTAATAAAGGAGTGAATAAATAATATGATGATGGCACTTATCATACCTAGGATAATAGATAGAGAAAATAAATATTTTCATAGCAAAATGATAAATATTAGACGAAATGAAATACTTAATTTATTCATGCTTTATATAATAGATTTGTTTAGTTTCTTTTTGTAGTTCTGGAAGAATAGTAATTTGTTTCAACTGAGAATGAGACTTTTTTTTGTTTAATATTGGTATGAGTTGATTTAATTGAATAATTTCTTTTTAAATCTTAAATATTTTGACTATTTTTTAAAATGCTTTTCACACTATGTTCTTTACTAGTATTACTAGAAACTTATTCTCTAAAATGATCACTAAATTAAGCATCCTGCGAATCAGAGTTACGAGGATTGATATGTTGACTTCCGAAACTAGCTAAAATGCTCTTCTCCTCATCCTTAATAGTTTGGATAGGTTTAAGCTTTTCTTTGGGTGGAGTTTTTTATTTTTAAGAATTGATTGTCTAACTCACTTACGAATTATAGGTCACTGTATCATTATCTTTTTTAGGTGCAAATTATGAATATTGTCTTGGTAAGTATGTTTTAGATGGAGTATTTTGCATATTTTGGAAATCCTATGAATTTTAGAATGAGATAGACTGATTAAAATGTGCACTGTTGAAATCAGCAGACTCCTGTTTGCATTCCTAAAATGACTAGGATTGTTATTGCTATTGTTATTGAATAAGCATGTCCAACTATTCTTTTTCTTCTAATTATCTAGGTAATCATGTATAAACTACATCTATTTTATTCGATATCTTACTTCCTCTTCAATATCCTTCATAAATCTATTAACTCTTGTTTACACTACTATCTCTGTTATCTTTCTTTATTAAATAAAGCTAGGTAATTGCTAGCTGTTTTCAAGACTGTTCTCATCAGCAATTACATTATCCTCTAAATCTGTTCTACTCTTTTCATAAGTTACTATGCCTTTTTTTAATGCAGATTTTGTTCTTTAAATCACTTTACAATCATCCTCTGATTCAAGGTTTGATTGCACATATTTTGAAGAATAACAGCTATTACAGGAACCCATTTATTAAATGAATATTTATTATACATTAAAATAATATCTAAATTACAATTTAATAAATAAATGAGAAATCTTTATTTTGATATCTTAATGAAATAGTTAATTTATTTCATACATAGGACAATAATAAAGTCATCAATCATAATATTAATGTAAAACAACTTTATTTAAAAGCGTTTTCGTTAGTTTAATTCATTTATTCTGCTCAATAACATTAACATTTTTGTTAATTCAATTTTTTACCTTTTATAATATTATATTATATAAGATCTACATTAGACTTGATGGTTCCTTTTCTCTATTAATCAACAATCAATTAATAGTATCTGTTTATTTAGAATCCTTTATCTATCATTAACAAATGTTCAAAAAGGAAAAAGAAATAATAACATACAGTTTTATTTGCTAATTAAGAAATTAAAGTTTTAATTATATAAAGATAGTAGTATATAATTAGTGATTTAATTTAAATCATTTCAATATTTAACTCCCTTTTCTATTTTGAATTGAAATTATTTGATTTTCTTAATTTAGAATAATTTCCCCTAAAATTATAGTTTTATAAGTACCTCTAATAAACACTGAATCGACTGAACCTAAAAATAATCTGTTTTTAAAAATGTGTTTATCAATAGAAAAAGTAAATGTGTGGTTTATCTTTTCGAAATTTAATTTCCATGCTTTAAAGGGATCAAACACAACTAAATCTGCTAACTTTCCTTCTTCTATACATCCCCTGTCTTTCAGATTTAAATATTGAGCTGGTCCTGAAGATACAAGTTATTATAATTAAATAAGTTTTAACAACATTCTTTTATAAGTTGAACTAGTTGTCTCTTTATTGTAAAATGCTTTTTTAATGATATTTGGATCTTGATTCTTTTTACAAAATAACAAAGTCCATACGGCTTGGAAAGTGCAACCAATACTACACAATCCGCTGACGGCTTTTCTAAAATCTCCTTACTCTTCAAACTTATATAAACCATTCACATATAGATGTGAACTTGATATACTACTAATCCAATTATTTTATGATATGCCCTTTTAGAGTAATTATTTATTGTATTTTTATCGAATTGGAGGATCAGATTTGAATTTAGTGATTCCATCCCCAATGTCATCACTATCTAATAAAAGATAAGGATATCCAACATCACTAAATATTTAGTTATTGATCAGTTCTTTTATTTCCACCAAAGAAAACGAAGAAGAAAACCCATTTAGAATAATGTTACATTTAAATTATTGCCTGATCATCTTTTTCACTTTTTAAAGTGCAAATTTTTCCCAGGTAGCAGGTCGAAATGCTAAAAAACATAAGTAATCTCTATTGAATCTATTATTATTATTCTAATTTTAACGAGGTCTTGATTCTGAAAAATTGAATAAAACCATATCTCCAGAACCATGTTTGCCATTTGAATTCTGTTCAACTTAGTGCAAAACTAGTGCAAATCCTGTTTTTGATTATCTTCTTTGTAGTAGTCCTTAAGCAGTCTAAGCCCTTGATCTTAATCTGCAATCAGATCTGAAGGATAGACTTTCTGGTGAAGATATATCTGAGGATTATATAGACATTTGAGGACTGTGTTTAGGATTAGATTCTTATTAATTAGTTGAATCTTTTTTTGATCCTAAAGGGGATGATTCTTGATCTTGAGTGGAGACTTTTTATTCTAATTTGAATGAAGGATATTATTATTATTATTATTATTATTATTATTATTATTAAGGACTATCTGAGTCTTCTTGAGGAAATTTATAATTCTATTCCATCTTAGGAGCTTCCTTATATGTTATAAGCTCAGCTCTACTTATCAAAGAAATTTATGATTGCTCAGTAATCTATTTAGATTTTATTTTAAATATATTTGTTTGAAGCTTAGGAGACTAGGGAGAATCATATTAGTCATCAAATTCTGAAATTCTCTTTTCGTCTGAATTCTTATATTTTTTAACTATATTTAATATTCAATTAATACCTATATCCTTAATTGGAGAATTACTCTCATTAAGGTAATCCATTTATTACAAATATTTGGGATCATCATTTTGAATATTTTCATCATCACTGATACATGATCCTGAAACTCCATCGGCATCGACTAAATCTAATTAAGTAATATTTAGTCGCTCAGCAAAGGGTTTTGTTCTAAAGGGAGATGTAATCCCCAAATCTTTGTCAACGGTAGTTTAAGTGTGTATAAAAAGACATGCTTAAGAGGGCAAGTGTTATAATGCTTATTGCAATTACTGGAAATCTTTAAAATATGTGCCAGCATAGGAAGGTAGTAAATGGCAATCGAAACAAAATGCGCCTAACTTCATTAGTTTATCTATCTATGCAAATATAGGGCTTGAGTGTGTACATCCTCATTTTATAGAATTTTGGCCATTTAAATAAAATCAGTTTGTGATTAGGATTGCAATTATTGGATTTGCATTTAGTATGTTTCCTAAGCATCTAGATCGAAATTCAATTAGTAAGGTTTATTAACAATTAAAGATGCCCCTCCGACAATAGCCAATCTAATAGTCTAAACTTCATACTTAGTAAATTCTTCAATATGATTCCAAATGCTTAGTGATACATTTGTATCAATAGCAGCTGCCATGAGCACTTGATTCATGTAGACATACTTGATAGGGTATTGATTTAATAATTCATTCGGCTCCTACAAAATATGTTTGATGTATTCATCTTCAATGCACACGTATCCACTTATTAATTGATCTTTGTATAGTATGTAATTGCTCTGTATTGAGTACTTCATAAATTAAATATATTATTATGATTACTACTGAAATCAATTCAAATGACCCTATTGTTGATATCGATCCTCACGATTAATAATCAGATGATAGAGAGAATAAAGTAAAGCATCTGATTAAGTAGAGTCCAAATGAGTTCATTGTAGTGGAGGTTGAAAAACGGCAAGAATAATCCGAATTGTAAGAGATCTATGAAGAATAATTAGACATATAATAATTGAAGCTAAAGGAAATAGAGAGACAGGAAAGAATCAAAAAGTACTTACTCAAGATCATTATCAACTAGAATTCCAATCACTTTGAAAAGATAGCTCTCTACAATTAATGAATTGTCAGACTAATCCATTAATAATAGTTGTTCACCTCAAATTGATGTGGACCATCATCATTCTAAAAAATAAAACAAAGACGTAAGAATCAATACAACTAAATAGTTTTTATTTCAAATCCAAGAAGAAAATAAATAAACAGAGCCTAGATAAGTTGATAAGTAAAAATAGCAAAAAAAGAAGTTTAAAAAAAAGAAAAAGAAAAAGTAATTAACTAGAGAATTGACTTAAGTTTCTCTGCCTATTCCGGAGATGAAATACTAACAAAACATGAATTTTAAATACTATTATAGAGATTAGAGAATAGATTGTAGTTGGAAATTATTATTTAGTTATTTTACCATAATAATTTTAAGTAATATCACCCTTCACACAATTGAAATGGTAAGGTATTCTTAAAGTGTGTGTAAGTTAGAAGGAATAGATAATTTGTTCATTTATGCAAATTAATTATTCTATATCTTGGGTAAAATTGGATTGCTTAGCTTAAATTATTAAGAATTTACAAATACTTTACCTACGAAATCCAAAATTCCGTTATTCAATTCTGTAATTTTTAGCTCAATTTTTGTTGTATTATCGATGCCTTTATATGTATTTGATTTTGTACTGTGTTAACCTAGGAGTAGATTGATAACTCTTTAAGAAAGTCTTCAGATATTAAACTTTTTTGATTGGGGAGTTATTTCAGTTTTGGGAGTAGTTATCCTGATGCATTCATGTCTCAAGATTTCTATGAAGAAGAAAACTTGGAAAACCTTGAAGTAAAGAATTCAAAAATAAATAGAAAATTTCTTATGGTGATTTATTATCTTCTGTTGCTTCTTGTGCATTTACTTCAAGTTTTAGTAACTGTGACATAATCTTTTAATTCGTATTTGCCGGCTATGATAATGGAAAATTTTTACCTTTGCTTTTCGATAATTGCAATGATCTATTTATCAATGAGAAAATTTTGTTTCCACAGTGAACCATTTTAATTTGCCCAATAAAAATTACCAAATGATCCAATGATTTTAATTTCAGATGAAAAGTTAAATAATTGGGGATAAGAGGAGAAGTTCTTTGACGGTGACTCAATTAAATTGAGTAAAAGAACAAAGCTGAGTCCTTCATCAAGTTAATTCAATAGTCTTTAAATTACATAAATAGGTTTTCTGGCTAAAAAAGACTGAACTTTTCTATATATTTATTTATTTATTTAAATAATTGCTCTTCACATGTTAATCTTAGCTGGATTGAAGTTAAAGGATTTATAGGAATAAGCCCAAGAGCCTTAATAAAATATCAAACATTTAGATGTTTCTGTAATATCCATTAGTCATTTTAGAGTAATCTATTAAAGTCTGGAAAAGAATTCAGCATGTTTCCAAACTTAGAAACCTTGATCATAGATAATAATTACTTTTTCAGATTGGATGATTTTCCAATTTTGCCAAATTTAATCACCCTTAGCGCAAACAAAAATACATTTAATAATTTTGACATGTAATCTATATATATATTCAGGTTCATATAACATTGTAAGGAGAAGTTTCCTAAGTTAACACATCTAAGTTTAATAAAGAATCCTATATGTCCCATGTTTACTTAAGGAGAAGAGGAATATGTTAAGTATACAAAAACGTCATCAATAGTTATCGAGCAAAATTCATTCAGGAATTGCCTCTTTTAAAGAATTTAGACGGTACTCCAATCAATCCTCAAGAGGCTGATCCTAATTTTTGGAAATAATAATAGTAAATCAAATAATAGTAAGCTTAAGTAACAATATTGTTTATAGTTTGTAGAATTATAATGAATAGAAGAGAGGAACAATCGATTATAATGCTAAATACTAAAAACCCAATAGTAAAACCGTAAAAACTAAAAGTGAAGGAAATAGGTTTGTTAAAAACACACATTTATGATATTATGATAATCATTTATTTATTTTTTGATAATGTTAATTTAATGAAATTAATTGTGAGACATTAATCAAGCATTTTTATAGTGTTGAATAAAAAAGGGTTGTCAACACGAGGACTTCCCAAGCGGTCCCCCACCTTAGTACTAACCTCGCCTTAAGCCGCTTAACTTCGGAGTTCGAATGGGATCCGGTGCTTTAGGCTTAGTATGGCCGACAACGATATTAATATAACTTATTATTATTTATAACATTGAATTAATATAAATTCACTAATCAGCATTGGTCTATAATTTTATGTGTTTATGCATGTGTTAATCTGGGGATGCTTCTTTTGAATCCTTTTTCGATTTGAATGTTTTCGATTCTTTTAAAGCTATGTTTTAGAAGAATGATTTAAATGTTAATTCTCGATATAATTGTTCATAAAGATTAATCATATCACTATCAAGTAAAGATAATAACTTTAAGTCAGTGGCTCCTTTTTAGGGTTTTACTTATAAACTAACATAAGACTTAAAGCCTTTTTAGATTTTAGTGATTTTTGAATCTTCATCAAAATATTGTTTTTATTTATTTTTTTTTGTCTTTTCATCAACAAACAGCATTGGTTTTTCAATGCTATTAAATATGTTTAATTGATCATCATTAAGTAGTACATATTTTAATTTTTCAATTTCAATAAGTTTCTTAACTAAATAGGCTACGTTTGTTTTTTTGTTCAATCTAATTTCTGCTTCTTTCAATTACTTCTTTTTGTCTCTGCTGCATCCTAACAAAATCGAAATTGTTTATGCCCAAGTTAGATTAATACTTGCTTTTAAGTTTTATAAGTAGGTATAGATTCTAGTATTTTAAAGCAGTAAACTTTCGTTAACATTTGCCCAACAATAAGAATTCGGACTTTCGATATTTTAAAAATAAGCAGATTTCTGTATAACTTGTTCATTTTCTTATTAACAAATAACAAAGTCATTTTAGAGTACTTTGAAACGAAAGATTTTATTTGTGAATTGTATCAAATAAAAAAACCTATTTATAGGTATCAATAAAATGTCAAAGAAGATATAAATAATAAAGATATATCCTCCTAGTTTACCTAAAAGTGCTGAGATTTTGGTGTGAGTTATAATGAATTTGGTTTACTTATAACTCAAATCAATTTCCTAATTTATGAGAGTGTCAGAAGGATCAAATATGAGTACTTCCTTTTGGTCTTATAATTATAAACAACCACTATATTCTTTTTAAGCATAAATAAATGTTTTATCCACTTCACTTTCGACTACTTTATATTATTACTTAATTTATCTTTAATAGTTCTTTAATATTTAGAAGTTTTGGGTTCTCAATATTTATTAAGTTAAATTTTAGGAATTGTCTAATTGTATAAGATTATCAGTAAGATAGTAAGTGTAATAAGTTTGGAAAAGTTAATTTTTATTATTCTCTTCTGGGAAGCAATCTTATCTGTCAGTATTATTTCTACAAATTGATAGTTTGATAGTCAAATACTGGTAAGTGTCAGATGAAATTACTCCTTACAAACTCTAAATATAATCTTCAAATATTACTGGTTTAAGAATTTCAAACTAATTATTCTTTATACACATATAATGACTTAAATTAGCTCCTCCAAAGTACTTTTTAATGTCCTAATCCTAGAAGTTATTTTATTGGCAAGGGACTGTTTCTAATTATGTACAACTAATCATCTAATCTATATTAGGATTTTACTTTTTAAAGGTTAGATTTCGATTTTGGGGATTATTTTTGGTTTTTTTGCAAAATTGAATTGATAGTGTAAAATATCTTTCCATTTACTCAATAGGCATGAAATCTTTATTGTAAATGGCCAAGGCTAATGTGAAGTTAGACTAATCAATAGGGTACTCCTTAATTGGCTATTAAAATATCATACTTTATTTATATCAAGCTCGCTGTCAGATTGAATAACGGTTGGTTTCTCTCTTAAGATGAATTCACTGAGATCATGAAGAAATAAAGTAATTATTAGGACTAACAATATAATTGTAAATGTTGATCCGAAAATTGTGTTTACTGATTTGGCCTTTGTGATTGTTAGTCTAGGTTATATGCCGAAGAGATTGAAGCTATTTACTACAAGCTTTTTGAAAGAGTTGGTGTATTTGGATGATAGTTATCGAAACCCTAACATTAATTTGTTCTTTATTATATAAAATTTACTCTCAAAAATCCAAGACCTTCATTGTGTTATTAATAATCGAAATTTTTGTTTTAAAGTAATCAAAGATGAGAAGAAATTATTAATAAATTAAATATGAGTTAGAAAACCATCGAAGAAAAATTAGAGGAGTACACTAGTGAAGTCTGCAAAGGATTGCGCTCTGGTGAATTTGTTTCAATGCCACGCTCCAAATATATGGAATTATATGAGTACTATCCCAATTATTAACAATTCAAGTTGGACCTTTTAATTTTAAAGCACTCAAACAATTCAATTAAAGCGCACTTTTGAAAATTGGTTATTTAAATATCTAGAGACCTAAATGATTCCTCAATTAATAAATTCTTAAGATTTTATCGAATCCTTTATTTTTGAAATAGGTCTATTTAAGTCTCTATTAAAATATTTCTCAACTCTGATGCATAACTATAATTAGGTATTAGGAACTCCTTAACTTTACATTGTGGAGATAGGTTTGATAAATTTAGACGCGAAAGTGATGACTCTTGACACCATTAGATAGAGATACAAAAATTCCTTTATTGATTTGCTAAATCAAATACGGCTAACAAACAATCCAAATTAGAAATAAAAACTGCAAAGCTTTATCGAAGTAAATAAGTTTTCCTATTTATAGATATTAGATTTGAATGCATTGGCTTAGAATAATAGATTAGAAATACTATGCATTGATCAATAAGTTATTATTACAGTGAAAGAAAAGCCTCCAAAAATGAATTCACTTCCATCTCCTCAAACAACTTTTAATACTCTGCTATATAATACATTGTTGGAAGGAACAAGAAGAATCTATTAAGAATTATCTCTCACTTGGATTTCCACCGGATCTAGCAATGAGTATGTTAACTTAGCCACACAATAAGTAATAATCGAAGAATAATTGAATAATCAATTTTACAAGAAGTTCCAAGCCCCAAATGAAGTTATCAGAACATTTATAAATGAAATGCTCGAATAAAGGGTGGATAAAATTCTCTAAAATCCTCAGGATGGTATGTAGAAGCAATTAATATAAGAGAAAAATAGTTAAGATTTATAAACTATCTCAAGTCTTTATTAATTATATAAGAATACAGCTAATTATATAGATAAATTGTTATAAGAGTTTCAACAATTTATTCGTGATTAAATTACTCAAGTGTTGTCAGAATCTGAAGAAAATCCTTAACAAAAATAAATTTCATAACAGCAAACTAAAACTTAGTAACAGGCTGGTGCTAAAACTATACAAATACATTTAGCCTAAATTGATAATCTCTAAAATATTTATGAATATTGCTTAAGATTGGTGTAAGTTTGTTTTGAAGGATCGCATAGATTTAGAAATCATATGGAATTAACATTTAAGGAGAAATTAAATCAAGCTGATAGATTTATGGATAAATTATCGTTTTATATTCATGTATCTTTGAAAGACAAATTAAAAGAAACTAATAATGATGAGGATAGATAAAAATTTAAAAAATTCAACACCAACATTCTAGCCTTCATCCTATTAATTAATAGCAAGGGCAAATTATTTTAAAAGATTACAGACAATCTGAAAAGCAGGATTTTTAAGGGAGAAATAAAGAATCTAGGATATGAGGAAGAATTTCTAAAATCATTAAGAAGAGAGCATCCTGAACATTTGCCATCAGATTTATTAACAGTTTGGAAGGATTTCAAATATTATAGAAATTTAGACAATGAAGTGTAAACACTCATGTCTAATTTTAAGCTATTATAAGGAGCAAATGTTTAATTTACTATTTTTACAAGGACAAATTCTTTGAAAGAGTTTAATACTATGAATAATAGAGATAAAGTTGATCCTCCACAAATGATTTAATAGGCGATAAATAAAATGGAACAACTTTATTAAGTAAAATAATAAGCCGAAAAGAAGTCTTTGGTTTGGAATTATAGAATTGGATAATCAACTATTAATTATAAGTAATTTACTATATTATAATTAGATTTGGGCCATCACTCTAATAAGTGGGCAAGCTTATCATTTCTAATTTATAACTCTTTATTATTCTTTATTTAAAATAAAATGGAGGAAGATCCAAAGGGGAATTATTAAATGACACAGGTATCAATTATGAAGAGGAGTTGACTTAATAAATGGAGAACCTATTAGATTTTCGACTTCTTGTTGAGACACACGGAAAATATTATCTCTAAACAGAATAGGCTAATCTAAAAATGCAACTTGCCCCAAATAAGCCAATTACTTTAGTACCAAGGAAAGTTGGAGAAAATACTGAGGATCAAATAATGTTAAAAAAAGAAAGAGATGTCAAAATTTAATCATGTATTGTAAAATTGATGAAATCAAACAAAGAAATGTATTACCCATAAATATTTGCTGAAGTATAGAAAGGATTATTAGGATATTACGACTTTTCTGCTTAAGACATTCTTACTCAAATTGATGAGTTAATAATTTCAAATTACATAAAAAGAGATGAAAAAATTAATAATAAGTTTTTATATACACCTGGGTGATAAGAATAATCAAATATTATAACATTATTAATATTTTATTTCTGTTTCTATGTGTCTAATCCATTAATCTAATGGCAATTGATCTTTATTCTATCCTCTATGCTAATGATTAATATTGTATTATACCCTCATCAACATTTTTGCACAGATATCACTTAATTATTTGTGTTTCTCAAAAGGAAATTTGTATATTTTGTAAGCTTTGCTACATGCTGAAATATATTTGCATCCTTATGCTTCAATTTAACTTTGTGACAATTCAAATTCTCTGATTAAGTTTTCTAATAATTATACACTATTTAGAATCATATTTTAGCAAACGACTATCTAATTTCCATTATTCAATACAGGAAAATATTTATTCTGTAGATTATCATAATCTAAGTACATATTTCCTCTTGAACAATTATTACTTAAATTGGTAATGTATAATACCTAATAACAATTTCTTTGTTTTTGTAATTCGCAAATAATTTTTCTTGTTGAAATCTTTTTATGTAGTTTTAAATATCCTCTTGAGATAAGGTTTTTAGTTTTTCTGTTAAAATTTAATCGACCCAATTTATTGCTATGATTGTAGGATCAGTCTTGGTTGGATCATAAAACCTCGGCATTATATAAATATTTGTTTATTAAATAATTTGTTTAATTTATTAGAGGATAGCATTATTTTTAATGGATTAATAATAAGGAGAAAATAAACTATCAAAAAAATAGTAAAAGAAATTAGCCAAAAAGGAAAAATAGAAAGAGTACTTCAAGGAAAAGAAGATTCTCAAAAAACAAATCAAGAAATAATAAAAGCAAGAATAAAAAGCAAATCAAGTCGATGATAATAAAGTCCATAATCAAGAAAAATAACATAAAAAACCAAAAGAGCAGTATTAAGAAGAAATGAAGACTGGAATCAAAGTTGTTATCGATCTGCAATTCATGAATTAGATGACTATTCAAGAAAAAACATCTTTATATAAATAAATTGAGCTTTGTCATTCAAACAACTTCAAATCAGCAAAACCTTTAAATCTCATAGTGACATCTTTGACAGAGGATTTCCAATAATTATTAAATAAAAGCAATGCTTCAAACTGGGGTATTTAATTAAACGAAAAACCATATATTGATTTATTTAACAAGGAAGATTTAGTTTACCTCACAGGCGATACAGATAATGTTATGGATGAATTTAATTAAGAAGAAGTATATATCATTGGTGGACTAGTTGATCATAATAGATTGAAATTAATAACTTACAATAAAGCTATAGAATAAGGTATCAAGACAAAGAAACTTCCAATAAATTTAAATTTAAAAACATCCTCAATATTAACAGTGAATCAGGTATTTGAAATATTACTAAGACGCAATAATGGAGAAGATTGGAGTGATTCTGTATAAAATACAATTCCAAAAAGAAAGCTTGCATGAATATATTTTAATCGTAAAGTTTAAATAATAATTATTCATATTTAATTATGTAATAATTTTAATATCTTTTCATGAAGTTGATTGAGACTATTCGCTATATTCTATTCTTATTATATTAAATTATGAATATCATATATATTAATATCGACCATTTCATCAGTTTAAGTACCAATTTCTATTGACTAACTAGAATTACTTATCATTTATTTATTTCTTTAATTATGTTATTCTTTATCACTAAGATGACATTCTTAAAATGATTTATTTAATTATTGCTAATTAAATTTAGTGTTTATTTTAGGTATCACTCAAATTATTTTAGTTATTAATAAGTGCATCAGTTATTTTTTTGATATTGCCATTTGTATTTCTACTTTTGTCAATTGTTTATCCTTCCTTCTCATCTTCTATATACACAATTCTATGTCTTTCCACTAATTTACAAAAATTCATTTTGATAGGTTTCTTTTTAATGGTGGAACTGTTTTAATTATTTTGTTTTTAGTTGGTTCTTTTATTTTAATTGCTTTTTGACTCTTCAGGTTCCCTATTTGAAAAATGCATGTCTAAATTTATCAAAAAGTCATCATAATCTTTAATTTCCGAATTTTCAATCTTTTGTTCATTCTCTAAATTACGTTACGCTACGTATTTGTTCTCAAGTTTATTCTGTTTTTGTTATTATTTTTTGAATTTTAACTACAGCATTTAAATAAGAATAATAAACAATATTTAATTTTCAAAGTTATCAATCAGTTTAACCTTTATTTTATCCTTTTTATATTTATACTATTATTATTTCTGAATAAAAAGCTCTATAATCAAAGATTGATTTCAAAATTTAAAATATTATAATAACAAATTGTTCAATATTTTTTTTTTCTTATTAATATTATCTAAAATTCATAGTCTAAAATTGCAATTAGATTACTTTCAAATTCTATTTCTATTTTCAATATCGGATAATCAACTTCTAAACTTTAAATCAGTTTACACGTTCTTAGACTTATTATATCTAATGATGGCTTAAAAGTTGACATCAACAAAGTGTTATTGTATATATCATACTAAGATAATGACATTTTTCTAGAATCTATCACTCTCAACAAACTATAACTTCTCATGTTCCATAGCTTTATTGAATAATCTTTTGCCTAAGTCACAATGATTTAGTCCTTATCTATACCATCGATAGTACATTAGCCTTATTGATGGGCATTCCATTACTTTATTATTTTTTGAGATTTTATCGAAAATATTAAAACAAACCCTCCCTTTTACATGATGGCAAGGAAAGTTTAATTTTAAAAAAAGCAATAATCTTCAATGTGCTATTAAGATTAATAGAGAATATTAGATGACAATTAACCTTTACTTAATTATCTAATTTATTCATTATTATGCAATATTCCAAATTAAAAAGCATTATTGGATAGCTTAATCTTCCGAATCTATTATTCATAGCTTAATTCATACTACAAAGAGAATCCATTTTGCGTTTTTATACTCCAAATTTACACCTATTTATCCAAAAAACCAAAAGCTACCAAATCATTTTAATTTTATATAATCAACAATTCATTCACTTTCTTTTAATCAAAAAAATGTTCAAACACAGCCTATCTCTTTGAAACACTCCAAATTTTCACATGTTATTCGGATTTTGAAAATCCAAGTATCAAATCGCCATTTATTATTTAGATTTTTTCAACTGTCAGCTATTAAGCAGTGATAACTTCAAAAATTTCGAATAATGGGCACTTTTTCTCATGTTTGGAAGTGGTATTGATCATTCAATCTTGACTAAATGATAATCCTGTTAATATTAATGACGAATACATATTATCATTTGAAATTTTATCTCAATATAAATATATATTAAACTTCATTTAAAACTTTATAATTACTTTGTCAATTCTTCAACTTTATTGTGAACTTTAGCTAAATACTGTATTATTTATTTCTCAATTTAAATATACTTGTTTAACTCATCTTAAACCTTAAGTTTATCAGATTTAAGAATACTTTCATTATTTTCTTCAATCAACTAATCAAATTTCAATTTTTTTCTTTGTATTTTTTAGTATTTTTTCTGATTATTACGGCCTAATTCAAGAGTTTATTTATTCTTGTCACCATAATCTGATGATTACTCTGAAAATTTATGAATAGAATCTTAATCTTGTATTTGATTACTGATTGGATTGCTCATTTGATTACTAATCGGATTGCTTATTGGATTACTAATTGGATTGCTTTACTCTTGACATTAATCTATGATTATTCGTTTTGATTATTAAGATAATGTGTACTTGGATGGTTCACTTTCTTCAGTCTAAGTATTTATTTTAGAGATATCTTATTATTGAAATTTCTTTAATTTCATTACATTTTATATGTATGCTTATTCAAGCCAATTCTATACAGATTTATGTGAAGAGGTTTGGTTCTGAGTTTCATGTGTGTTTTTTTTATTTTTCATGATTATTAAAATTTAAACAGTATTGGTTCTTCATTTCAACTCATTGATAATAATTACAATACTAAATTTATTAAAATAAAATTTATTTAATAATACAAATTTCATGATGAATATAAAGATAATTTTGTTTGAATATACTCATCATTGGGATCAATTTGAGCAGCAATCTTATAAAATTCTAAGAAGTCATCTAATCCTATTTCTTCCATAATAACAGCTTTGAATTTTAAACATGTAAAAGCCTTTTGGTTTTCTTTCAAAGCGAAGTTATAGTATTTTAGAGACTCTTCCAACATCCCCAACATTCTTAAACAATCAGCCTTGCCAAAGAGGGAGTTAAAATGATTTATGTTCACTTTTAATGCCCTATCAAATAACAATATTGCATCCTCATATCTTTCCAAAGCTCTTAATGCTTCCCCTATGATATTAAGATATAAATTTAACCTTTTCCAAAATTGTATTCCAATTTTTCATCTGAGTCAAATTTCATGCATCTATCATATTCCGCAATAGATTTTTCGAAGGCTCCGGTATTTCTTAGAGCTTCAGCCTTATAAAATATGGCTTCAATATTGGTCGAAGAAATCTCGAGCGATTTATCGAATAACTTGATAGCCTCATTAAATTAGCCCTAAGTACATAACTCAAGACCTAAATTAAAGATGAGTAAATTAAACCTTTATCGAAATATTGTTTTGATTCATTTTATTTGGTTGTGTTTGGCAATACTACTGTTTATACAGGGTTGCTTTTTCCTTAATCTTCGAATGAATTTAATTTGTAAAGAGAATTCAGAATCTGGGATAGTCTTCCTACTTGCTCCTATTTCATGAATACAAACTCTTACAGGGTAATTAAAAGAATGAATCTTTTTGAAAAATTAACCGAGATCTTCGATAGTGTGATTACTAACTGTTTTTCTATAATTTTCTATCGGAGCAATTAATGTTTGAACTGAATGATTGATATTCTTTATGGCTGTTTAAATCTCATATTCCATCCTTCTTAAGACCGAAATCATATTCAATTATGCAGCTTCTATAGAGGCGATTTATTGCTCAACTAAGTTAAGTTCTTTAAGATCTTTATCATGATCTTTATGCTATTCCTATTTGCATAATTAACATGAGGCAGATCTGAAAGGACATTAAAGATTTAAACAAAGAGACTAAATTTATTGACTTTCATGTCCGGAGACTGTGCAATTAACAATGTTTTATTGCATATTTTATTTACTTTGTAAAATTAAATTAATATTTATTGGGTAGATTTATTAGGCGATTGCATAAATTCTTTAGAGATTAGAATACGCGTATATTTAGACCTAATAATAAAAACAATAAGTTCTCCTGAAATTGCATTACTATTGCATAATTTTCATTCTTATTTTCTGTTAGAATATAATTTATTGATTGATTCTTTCGTTTTTGGGATGATAAACAATATAAAATTATGATTAAATCTAAAAACTTTTCTCATCTTATTTATACAATCATTGGAAATCTTTTAAGAATGCTGGTTATCTGAAGCCATTTTGAACAAGAAAATTTTTAAATAATTAAGTAGCTTATAGATTGGATAACTTAATTTATATATTATTAAGTTGTTAACCGTTCTTTTGCATATATTCTTAATCTCGTTCTTGTAGTTTCAATTTAATTTTCTATTGCAGATCTTTCATTTTCAATTTCTAATCTGTCAAATCCTAAAGTCCTGGCTTAACACCTAATAGAGTTCTTACGCGATTTCCCTCTAAGTTAATTTTATTTAGTTTTTAATAGGATTAATCAGTGAGAAGATGTTTAATCACTCTCTTGTGTTATTCATCATTGGCTTTCTTTTAGAAATTTACAATGTTATTCAGTTTATTTAAACTTGTTGATGTCTTAAAGAAGTTCTTGTGGTCATTATTTAATGAACTATCACTTTTAACAAGAGAAAGGGTACATGATTTTTCAGTTCTTAGAGGTTTGGAACGATAATGTTTAGTAAGGTAATTATCATTGGATAGAATCTTTTACAATCTCAGGTTTGAGGCTTACGAATTTAACAGATTATTCAAGGTTTTTGCATTCTATCTATTTTATACATTTGACATTCTTAATAAAATTAATGTTAAGAAGAGATAGTACATTAAGTAAATAATCCCTGGAAGATGAGAACCAGATTAAATAGGAGAGCGAAGTTTTGAAAATAGTCCAGATTTTAAGCATGGAATCATATGAGCGAACTATAATGCAATTGAATTATGTGGCTAGGAGATTAGAAAGATCATTTACATATTTCAAGTATTAGATAATTGTCAGTATAGAAAATTGAAATCTCAGTTGAGAGAAGACATTCTCCTTAAATTAATAAAGTCTCTATTAATAGAGAGGTTCAAATAATATGAGACAGTGTTTAATTAAGGAGAAACTGGACGAAAAATGTATTTCGTTTTAGAGGGGGAAGTGTCGATACTTGTGAAAAATTAGGACCATATTGACACTGCCATCAACTAGAAGAAATGTAATAGGAGTCTTATATATAGATAAATTGAAAAAATTTGAAGATGTTTTGGCTATTCGTTTCCCGAATTTCAGATAGGTAGCAACCAAAAAGTAGTTTGACTATTTCGGAGAAATAGCAATAGAGCAGAGAATACCGAGAACAGCTACTGTGGTTGCAAAGGAATCCACAACTTTGGCTGTGTTGACTTACGAATCTTATTAAAAGCTTTTACGAGATATTACTTAAGAAGCCATCACAATAAGATCAGAGCTCATTGCTCAGATGTACCCTTTTGATTAATTGAATGAATCTTCGTTGCAACAATTATTGCATGATTATGAAGAAATTAATCTAAATGGAGGAGCATTATTATTTAAACGAATGCAGAAAGCAGATTGTCTCTATTTAATTATCTCTGGGGAAGTGCTGGTATAAAAGTGGGAAGCAGTAAAAAATAAAGAAGAATCTGAGGAAGATGATGTAGTTGAAACTAATGTTTTAAGCAAGCCAAGCAAAGTCTTAGTTAATTTAGGAGTTTTTGGTAGAGGATAAATGATTGGGGATTTTGAATAGTTTCTTAGTTTGAAATCACCAACTCCTCTATTAAGATGCACTCAAGGGGTAGTTCAAAATTAGGTTAAAGTCTATAGAATTTGGTACAGTTAATTTAATGAAATCATCAGACACACTTTAGGTATGAATTGGTATGAAAATTACTTGAATGAGAAATATTAACAAAAATAAAATCATAGCATTCCTAAAATCAAAGTAACCAATAGAACTGTTAGAACATAATCAAATATCACTATTCTAAATGGAATGAAAGATCCCTCTTATATCAAAATTTCAAGTGATAGATATAAAATTGTCAAAAATGTTGATGAGAAATTACCCACTGTCTCTAAATAATCTCCCAAAAGAAAGTTGTAATTGACTATCGATTATAAAGATAAAACTAATCTTAAATATTATAATGCTGTTAGTCCTAATCTATAAAATAAACCTCAATTAAATACAAACTAAAATTTCTCAATGAAATACTTTGCAACTTCATTGAAACAGAAGATATTGGATTAAAAGAATGAAGAATAAACTAGTTTAAATTTTGGATCTACTAAGTATTTAAAAACTGAGCCTTCTACTGAGTAAAATATTCCAACATGCAATACTATTTTATTGTCTCCTAGGTATTCTAAACTTATCAAAAAAGAACCTAGCATTCATAGATTCAAATCTTGATTGTATTTAAATAACAATTATTGTTCAATTCAATATCATTACTGATTCATTCTGCATATCAACTAGACCAATCATCTTTGCTTCTTTTTATATTTTATAATATGAATCAAAAGCATAATTCCCTTACAACTTCGAATTAATGGAAAAACAGAATTTTTTTATTTAATTATAGTTTTTTTAATAAAATTTTAGAGATCATATCTCCTTTGTTAATTTTATAATCATATTGTCATTTTTTTCATTAATCTATTTGAAGGAAGATTTCTAATGCATAGATCAGCTTTATCATCAGATATTTTATCGAGATCATCAAATTCATTATACTTTTCATTAGTGATTCCTTAAATTTAATTAGGTAATGCAGATCTCTGCTCTGATCTGTTTCTTTAATGTTTTCTATAGTCATACTTCTACAATTTTTAAGTTTGGCTCTTCTATCTTTTTTTTGTTTATTTTCCAATTTAGAGATAATTCAATTGAAGATCATCATCCTCACATGTCGCTTTAGGTTGAAACCTGTCTGTTTATCGCTTTCTTTGCTGCCTTTCTTATTCTATTTCAGGCACAAATCTCCTGATTGGGGTTCTTGGTTCATACTATTAGATCATAGAAGGGCTACTAATAGAGGGAATAACTCTTTTTTCTTATGAAGCCTTTTTCTTCTTGTCTTGCTCCATTCTGTTCCAATAAAAAAATGAGAGAATCATAATAGTGTATAGATTGTAAAAACTTGTTTTACAAAATTAAATTTAATACAAGACCATGAATTTAAAATAATATTAATATTTAGAATTGATCTTATTTTAAATATCTTAAGTCAGAAATATTGGTCACTTTAAACCATCTAATAAGGTAAATAAAAAATTAAATCCAGAATTATGGATTTAATTTTTTACTTTTTATTTCCTTCTTAAATAGATACATCTAAAAATAGGAGATTGGTTAAGACACTAATTTTTTTATGGTTTTATTTATTTTGTGAATATTAATTAATAAATAAAATGACAAATAGACATTTAATTTTCTTTAACTTAAATAAAAAGGTAACAGATAACTCATATCGATCAGATTAAATATTAAAGACATCTGTTTCCGATACAGATAAAACACCTAAAGATTAGATTATTAAATAATTTGTGGAATAATCTAAGCAAAGACTATGTAAGCAGATATAACAAATTTTATAGAGACATCGTAATTTCTAGAGAAACGCAATAAATGTAATTCAAATGCCTTGAAATCCATATTGTAATCTTAACAACATTGTGAGTTTATTAAACTTCAAAGTCCAAAGTCTAATAAATATAGTTAAACTATATTCTAAAAACTTCTTAATTCATAAGATAATGTGTCGAAAAGACATCAAATTTTAGAAATTGAAAGAAATTTCACGCAATGCATCAATAATGAAAATAGAGGTGATTTTTTATAAAAAATGGAAGGATTCATAAAAGACCTTTTGTTTGAGGAGTTCAGAGAATTATCATTCCTGTTTAGTTCATTTGTCAAAGAGATGTAATTCAATTTGTCAGAACAGCAAAGCTAATTAACAATGACTTAGAAATAACAAGAAAAAATATATTTGGAGAATATTTAGACATAAAAATAGTAATTTTTAGAAAAAATCACTAATTTAGAATTAATTATCAATTCTAGAGACAAGAAAATAAATGAAATAAAGGAGAATAATTTAAAGATTGAAAAAGATATCTCAGAATTGATTAGTAGGAATAGTGCGCTCATATAAAAAGTTGAATAAAGAAATAAAATAATAAATAGATATGATAAAATGATAAAGCAATAAGATTCTGAAATATCAATTCTACGACAGAAAATACAGTGCTACGAGAACAAATTACATTAAAGTTATGAAACCATCTAACAATTAACTCTTTTACAGAATAATAAATCATCAAATAATCAATTAAATCGATAATCAACTGGTTAATTAAATCGATAATCAACACTTTAATTAAATCGTCAATAAACTATATAATTAATAAGACAATAAACAATTTAGACTCATTCTCCTATAATTTTAGATGGTGATGATTAAAATGATAGTCCTCTAACTGATACTTTAAATGAAATACAACAATAGGAAGAAGAATAACTTAATTAACTAGAAATAAATTTTGAAAGAATTATAAAGTAAGCATAAAAAGAACAATAAGTTGAAGTAGATTTGCTTCCATTTTATTCAAAGGAAATAGAAATTTAGACTGAGTTAACATTGATTGATTCATAATTTGATATTATCTCGCAAACCAATATCAATAATGCTGTGAGATACACTGAATTTATAGAAAAAGTAGGTAGAAAAGGATCAGAGGAGAGTTTGATTGATTAGATAATCGACGAAACCTATGATTAATTGGATGTTGCTTAAAATCATAAAAAAAATATAGAAATGAATAAATCTCAATTCTCAATGATCAAATCAGGTTATTCACAAAATGGATAAAATGCATAATAATAGAATACATAATAATAAATCCCTACTCTAACAAGATGTGACTCAAACATCATTAATAATTAACCTCCAATTAAGAAGGAATCCAAGTCAAAATAAGTTTTATCTTTTATTTCTTTTTTGAAGTCTCGGATGCAACAGTAGGAATAAGAGATACAGTATTACAATGAATAAATAACTCAATTCGAATTAAATGCCTAAAATGCAAATACGCAAATGGATGAACTGCAAAAGGAAAATGAAAGGTTGCAAATTTAATTAGCATAACTGAATTCTAAAATTTAATAATCTCAATAATCTCATAGTTAATCCGATCTTAAATAGTAGGATGATGATGTACATTAATCACAAGATTCATTAGTAATTAATAGTCAGAAACGTGTATCGGTGTTAATCAAACAAGGAACATTTAAGGAAACAAAAAAGCAGAGAAAGGCTCCTTAATTAGGTTAGAAAGTTGTAATTTCTTATGATTTTTAAAAAGATTAATCCAAAAAGATAATCGAAAAGTTAAAAAATAAATAAATGTAGAAGTTCAATAATTATATGCCTGTCAAATTAGTTTTAAAATACATAACTACATTATATAATGAAAAGTTGCAGAGTCAGAAGGAGTACAAATAGATAAAAGATTAAGATATGGGTTCATATATATATAACTATTATTTATAATAATTTGGATTTACTAAAGTAACTGAATAAAAGTATTAAGTTTTGCTGTTATCAGTGAAAAAGAACATAAAAGTAATTAGAATCAATATGTTTGCAAGATTTATGGGACTATTGGAATTGAATGTTAATTATACAGTAGAGGAATAATAGAAATATTTGGAAGCTTGGGATTTTATGAATACTCAATAGAATTTAGGATAAAGTTTAAAAGATAATGAGTCAGAGATGAAGATGTATGTACCTTTTGTAAGGGCTTTGTCATATATTGGGTAATTAATATTCAGTCCATAAAATGATGAATTAGTATAATTAAAGCATGAGGTAGAGTTATTGAAAGAAAACGATCCAAAAAATATCAATAAATAAGGAATAATCGATTTTGATTTGATGATGATCAAAGTATTATAAGTTTTTAGGAATACAGTTGAGAAAACAAAGTTGTATGTAATTAATGCATTTGCAGCGAGTGATTTAGATGGGAATGGGATGTGCAATTTGGATGAATTTTTAATTTTAAATAAATACATAGAAGCTGACAAATATGATGAGGATAAGTGGATTGAGGTATTCGAAGATAATGCAGATATTGTTACAGAAGAGGAGAGGGCATTGTCTTTTGAAAGATTTTCAATTTTGTGCATGGAATACAATTTGTTTAGTGATCAAGCGTAGAATAAGTTCCTGTAAATCAAACGTAAGAATTAATCCATGTTAATTTAGATAATCATGATAGTTAGATGAAATTTGAATAGCTTAGAGATTCATGGCCAAAAGATTTTATAAATTTCAATTAGAAATTGTAGAATGCTTAGATTGATGAACATTACAAGGAATAATGGTCGAAGATTTTAGAAGTATTGAACTAGAAAATATTGGAAAATCCTGAGTAAAAGAAACCTCTTTTAATTGCTTACAAAATCTTTCTCAATGAAAGTAAGGTTAATAAGGCTTAATGATTGATTTTATTATATAAATATTTAAAAATGGGAAATCAATGTACTTCTGGTGATAACGATTCATATGCAAATACAACTAAGGCTATCGTAATAAATGAGTAGTTCATTGAAGGAGAGAGACCTGCGATTTGTTAGGAACATGGGAAATTCAACGATGACGATGCCATTGTATAATATGAATTGATAATGTCAAGGATGTCGTCATTACTAATGAATCAAATTATGGCAGAAAATCCTTGAGTCAAAACTATATGAAACAGGCCAACTATGTTCTTTAAGACAATGTTGAATTGAAGCTATCTTATAGTGTAATTTTGGTGACTACTTTAGGGATTACCAACTCAAGGTACTTAAGCCGTTCTATTGTCTGTCTAAACTAAAAATCAAGCTATAACTATTAGATAAGGAATTGATTTAGTAATTCTCAATTAAACCCTTAGATATGTTTGATTGATCATAGTGGAAGCATGAGTGGAGAGAAGATGCACTTAGTAAAGAAATCCTTAAAGCATCTGTTAAAGATGTTGTAACCTAATGATCGATTATGTTTGATAGAATTTGATGATCAAAACTATAGATTGACTAGATTGATGAGAGCAACATAGGAGAACATGTACAAGTTCTTGATTGCTATTGATACCATAGAAGCCAATGGAGCAACAGACATTGGAAATGCAATGAAGATGGCATTATCCATTTTAAAACACAGAAGATTCAAAAATCCTATTGCCTCTATATTTTTATTGTCTGATGGTGAGGATGAGGGAGCAGCAGGAAGAGTGTGGAATGATATTCAATCAAAGAATATCAAGGAACCATTTACAATCAATACCTTCGGCTTTGGTAGAGATTGTTGTCCCAAAATTATGTCAGAAATTGCTCATTTCAAAGAAGGTCAATTCTATTACATTTCTGAAATCTCAAAAATAGATGAGTGTTTTTTTGAAGCTTTGGGAGGTGAAGCATCAGTTATTGCTTATAATACTCACATTACAATATCATGCAAAAAAAACACAATTAAAAAAGTTTATGGTGATAAATGGGCATTAAATTTATAAGAATAATCATTTTCTATCTACCAACCTTAATTACAGTTTGGTGTGAGGAAAGACTTTATAGTTGAAACATCTGTTCCAATTGGAATGATGGATGAGATCATAACTGTAAAAATGCACACTGATTCGGTTGAGACTAGTGAAAGATTTACAATTGAACAATTTATCAATATAGTACCTAATATGGTAGCTGAGTAAATTGTATTTCAGTATTTAACATTATCTAACCATTAGGGAAGTGATGTCTCATTATTACAGAGTCTAGGCTGCTGAAACTTTCAGAAATGCACTCAATTTAGGCTATAATCTACAATACTAGTAGGCTCAAGCAACCATAACCGCACTACAATAGTAAATCTATTAGATGAATCTCAACAATCCTATGATTAACTTAGTCTATTTAGATTTGCAATAAGCTCTGAGATATTGTGATTCGATGTAGAATTCTTTATGATTTTATAGGTTCTTCAATTAAGAGGGTAGACACTATTTAACTTAATTGTACATGATCCACATGTATCAATAACCGAGAGGCATTGAGATTGTATCCAACGATCCAAAAATGCAGGCGACATGCGTATATCAGAATGAACTGCAGAAACAATACATTCTATAATTAAGACAAATGAAAATCAATAATCCTGATTAATTTTAAAATTGAAACAATGCGAATAAAGACAATCTCATACTTATACAAATAAATCTCTTACTTAAATAAAGGATAATAAAATAATGGTGTTTATAATTCATTTCTTTCTTTATCTCTTTTATGATTTATCATTATTTATTACTTAGATAATTTCCCTTTACAAATCATCATCCACGTCTTAATTATTTTTGGATTTAGAAGAGTTCCCTTTTTATGACTTATCTTATGTAGTTTATTATATTGGTTAGTCATCATCAGAATTTATGTTTTGACTGACTTTCTTCTATGTTTATTATTGTTTGATTTATTGCTGATGTTTAGCTGCTGGTTGTATTGATTCAGAATCTACATCATTAAAAGGGTAATCTTATCCCGATTTCACAGATTTATCATCAAGCTAAACCCTATTAATTGAAATACCTTTTCAGATTTCTTTCTCTTTTTCTCATTTGTATTTAAACCATGTTTATCATTATAGACTTTTAAGTCTCCATCATATTTATTTTTGGCTTCATTATATTAATCAACGTAAGGCTTAGATATTTATAAGGATGTTTACTTGTTTCTCTTCTTCACTCATAGAATTCCATTTTTAGCCGGCCATTTATGAAATTTGAGTCAGTTTTACTTCTAATGAATAATCCCTCTAATCAATACCTGGATTCCTTTCCAATACCTTATCACGGTATTTCTGGCTGAATAAGAAGAAGGGAGTAAGAGGTCTCTTAGGAGCATTGGGATCTCGTTCTTTTTTCTTCTCTGGTTTATCATTGTTAAATTCAATAATGGGTTATCCCTTCAAAAATTGCTGACAATACTATTCCATGTTGGCAAAAAAAATTTAGAATTTCCTGGCGATATCTAAACTCTAAAATGTAATGGTGAAATTTGTTTACAAATTGTTTGTCTTCCATTTTCCCAATAAATGATTATATTAAAAAATAATATGTAACCTCGTATTATTTACCAATAAAATTAAGAATTATATTAATTGTTTAACATATAACAACCAAGCTAAATTAATCATAAACCCATTTAAAATTGCATTCCCTATTAATCTACTTCTTAGACTTTCCCTATTCATTTTCATTCTGATTCAACCCTTATCAATAATGAAATTAGTAACTGTACGTGAACATTTGTATGTCTAAAAATCTAAAATCAATTAATAAACAATTAATATATAAAAAATCAAATGGGAGTTTGTCAGTCCTAAAAAAATTCGTCGCAATTGAAACGAAGCGGAGCCTAGTAGTTTATTTTCATTGACTTTGACAAATTAAAGAAATATAATGAGGAACGACAGAACCTTGACAAAAACAATGGTCAATAGCAATCCTTCTGTTAGATTATTTGCTTGGATAATAATAATAATAATAAAAGCTCTAATCCTCAAACCTAAACATACAATAATGTTTAGACCTAATAAATTGAAATTAAAAAAGAGTGATTTCTTTTATTTTATTTAATCCACTCAAATATATGAACTCTTTATTATTTGCTTACTATCCATGAAAAGATCTTTCATTCAAAAATAAGTCTCAGAAGGGCCAACTAAATAAAATATCAAGAATTAAATTCAAGAAGCCCAAACTGTTTGGTTTCTAAATGATAAATAGATGTACGTCCGAGAAACATCAAGCCACCTGGTGAAATTTTGTTACATCCAATAAGAAATGGCGATTCTTGAAACAACAATCGATCCGAAATTTTTGAAATCATGAGATTTCTTCTGACTCCTACAACAAAACTAACAGATTAGATAATGAATGTTATCGTAATTTTGTTTTGATTCAGTTTGAATATTTCACCTTACTGTCAGAAGTACCTCTGAGTTTAAAAATATTTATATATACATTTTTCAACTTTTAAAAAGATATGATAAATTAAAAATAAAAGGAATTTAAGTGGAGGGGATTTCCAAGATTTTTTAATTAATTAGAAATACGTATATAAGTTTTGGATTTCAATATATTAAGTCAATAATGCACTTTCTAGAAGGAATTAGTTTTATAATTAAAAAGCAATAAATGATTTTATAATATTATTTATATTAATTCTTTATAATACAATTATCAAATTATTGAAATAATTATATTACAAATTTACCAATAAATTAGAAGAGCACAAAATTAATACAAAATAACTACTAAATAGTATTATCAATTTTTTCTAGAATTGTGATGTGCTTTATACATATCTAGAACTTATTCCCAAGTTTGTAACTTAGCAAGCAAGAAGGTTTTTAAATTTTTTCTAAATAGTAATCATTTCATACTGATTATATTCTCGAATATCATCTGTGCCAACCATTCCATTGAGATATTTGGCTAGGAAAAGCAACTGCTTATCCAGCTTATTATCATAGAATGGAACAATGGGGATGCCATTATCAAGTTAGAAGAAGTAACTAATCGCAGAGTTATCTACTAGAACAGTCTTAGAAAGTGGCCGATTCTTGATAATGGACAAATCCTTGACATATTAGCCTTGATCAGAGAAGCAACAATGCTCTCTCGACAGGACTCGAGATATGATTCTCTTCGGATCAATGTACTCGACGATCTAGGTAGATGAGTGAACTTACTCGTTTAGCATATGATCCATGTGAGGCAGTGAACACGATGATCTCAAAATTAGGTTCCAACAATTCGAGCATTGCCTGTAAACCAGGTCGAACAGAGACGCCAACTTAAAATGTTTCATCTTAAGAAAGTTTGATGATTAGCTTTTTGTCACAAGGCAATTTCAGATCTAGCGTGCAATGTACCATGGTCTCATCCAAATCAAGTAGTACTGTATACTTTTTATTATTATCTAGTTCAAAAATTGAGTATTACCTTTTGGATCCTTTGGGATAATCACTGGTTTTGGTCTGTAAATTATCTTGGAATTAGCACATTATTTAAATGACATGAAGCTTGATTAAAAATGATCCTTGAAAAGTCTGTTGAAATAGTTATCCTTACTTTCAAAAGCAGTGACAACATCAGAAATATAATAAATTGAGTTAGTATCATGCATGCTTGTGTTTTGAACTATCCTTGGCGAGTCTTTGATGGAGAATGCATCACTATTCTATTTGGTGATGGGTCTGTAGATTAATTTGGGAGCTGTTTATTTTCTGCTTAAAACTCTTTGATTGTCTGGAATGTTTTGTTTCTCGAAGGTTTCATTGGGTTCTGTTTTTTGAATGAAATTTTATTTCAAAACTCGAGACACATTCTTAAGAGTGAGTACTCTACTTGGAGTGACTTAATATATTTTGTCAATAGACATCGAATTCTCAGTCTGATTGTTGCGCTAGGTTTTCAGTATATCATATCGTAAGTTAATGGAATCAGTTCTCTTTGGTTAACGAGCAGTTAATTATGGTTGTAGAAATTTAAGATTTGGTGAACTCTTTTGATGTCCTCTCATTTATTATTTTTATTTAATTAATTTTACCCTATCATACAAAACTATTCAAAAATCAAGGTATGTCACTGCTGCGCTGATCTCTATTAAATCAAATGGTTTCGATATGAAATAATCCATCCCATTCCGAAAGCATTCCAATTTGCTATTTAAATCAACCACTGTAGCCGTGGCAATTGCAAACCCTTTGTCCATACTACCCAATTACATCATTTATTTGATTTGCTAAACGAATTCTCCTCCTCTTAAAATCTATGTAATATAATGGAGTATTATTTACTGGAATATTGAGATCAATTATATATAATAAATAAAAGCGATTGCCACAATGACAGGGTTATCTCTTCTTGTTTTCTATTATTTCCATTGCTTGAACTCCATTAAAACAATAATCGCATTTGATATCATACTTCTAGAGTACTTTCTGTAGGACAATAACTGAAAATGGATCATTGTCTAGGAGTAGTACTTTAGAACAACAATTGGTTCTTAATCTATACTTAATGACATGAGCTAAGAGTTTAGGATGGAATTCTGGTAATCTTACTTGATTGGCTGCTTGTTCTGTTTGACCAAAATCAATAAGTGTAAAAGTCTATTGAGATTCATGAGGAGATTCAATTTTTCCTACTACGCTCAAATTGTTTCTGTTTAGAATACGAGTGATTTGTTGAATGCTATCTGATTATATTTATTATTTCAATGTTCCAGAAAAGCTTCCACTATGTTCTCTTGATTACTTGTAAGGGGTGCCACTATTCAGAAATGCTTTGGAATTGGATGTTTCTTACCGAATCTTGGAGATTTACGAAAAATAGGCACTTTATAAATCTATTGGATCTGTGGGTTTATAGGACAACTATTTGGATAATTGAGTAAACGACAACAATTTAGATTCACCTCCTGGATTGTTGGAATTCATATTTTCTTAGAGTAACAGAGACAAAGAGGTTTCAAAGTATTTCTTTTTACCAAGTATTTTTATTGGTCCAGAATCTGCTGCTGAATTTTGGTATTTCATTTAAGAAGTCTAGGATTCGATAACAAATGTGAAAGTACAAAATCCTTAATTATCAATTAGGAATTCAAGTCCTCTTTTGAATGAACCTGCTAATTACCAACAAAGGAGTATGCTCATTTGCAATTCTAGGGGATTTGTAAAGTCTAATTCATTTACAGCCTTCTGGCTTTTCAATTGCTAATTGAGGATTTTGGTCAGATTTATTATCCTTTGCTTGTTTAGTTCATCAAAATCTGATTTTGTATCTTTGATGGTGATCATCACTCCTTATAAAGTGTAACTCTTGATCTCCAACTTAATAGAACTTTGGGATGATGATTACAGAAAATAATACAGTAGACAGGAGATTATTTATTTAATCTGAAAATAAAATGTAAAATTACTCTTTCTGCATCACTAAAGATGATTGCATTGCCATCTTACAAGTCTATATTGGTTGTCAATTTGATTTATTTGAGTTGTAACACAGGTTCAAAATTTAAAAGTAATTCGTCCAGTAGATCTTCCATTTTGATTGCATTCATCTTGAAGAATAATTGATTTGTCAGATAGAATATGTAATCTTTCATGGAATTCAAAAAATAGGTGAATCTCTGACTTGAGTACCTCATATTTTATAAGCAATTAACAATATACTCATCTTTATTATTATTAAGCTATTTTTGAGAATAGCTTATCTGATTCTTTGATTCGTTGTTCTATTCATTATTTTATTATTATTATTGATCAATGTGATGGATAAGGATGAGGATATAAGTGAGTATGCAATTAACATAGTTGATAGACTCATGAGAATAAGTGAGATAGATGTTTTGTAGGACTAAACTGGTTTCTTGATTTTGCATCTTTGGGGCAATTGGAATGTGATCTAGAGTAAATAGAATGAATTTATGATTATCTATTTGATTTACAAACAATTTAATTTGTATTCCATCCAAATCCAAGAAATCATTCTTCACTTTGAATATAGTCATGGTGAAGAATCTCCATCTTTCTATCAATATCATTAATTTACTTTTCAAAATCTTTGATTAAGAACATAGTAAGGTCTCTAAGCGAAAATTGGCCTTTGATTTTACATCTGTGCACCTCATTGAGATTGTTCAACAAGAAGGAACCACTAGATGATATTCAATATCTACTTACTCACTGAATAAAGAATCGCTGAATCCCGATTGTCCCAATAATTCATTAATCTCCTTGCTTCCGATCAGTATGGTGGATTCCAAAAAGGTAGCTTCGCAATCCAATTTGTCACCAATGTTCTTCTATAACTTCCCAAGATAGAATGTTTAATAAACAATAGTAAAATCTATATTGTAAACTAAGACAGACTGATTTGAGAGCCACGACCTTGAATTCTTTTTACACTCATTAGTACATATTAGTCATGATGAGATCATCTTCATTCAACACTTGCTGAACACTGTTCAATTACAATGGTTTAATATCTGAAGACGACATTCCAGGGGATTTCGATAATTCATCTTGTCTAAATGATTTAATTTCTTGAGATTTTGCATGAAACGTCGGAGGTGCATCCTGAGTGAGTTTCTGAGGCAGCTATTGATTAGATTATAGTTCATTGAATTTACATTGCATTCCTATCTAAAGAAATACAAAAAAACAATAAGAATAGAAGATCAAATTTTAAGGTAGTGTTATAAGATTGGAGTGATCATATAGGATGGCTTGAAGTGCCAGTTTACTTAAGATGGCTAGTTTGAGATTGTGTTAGAGTTCCAAATGGTTAATCAATAGTAAAGAGAGTTCCTGGTTGGAGATTGCAAAGTATAACACAATGGTCAGCAATCTGAGGTTGAATAAAAAATGGAATTGCTTTTAGGATGGCTTTTTGAGAATGAAGTTTTGTATTTTACAGTAGGCAATGATGAAAGTAAGGAAGATGTTTATGCAAGCAAGGATGAGGGTTTGAATGTTAATTTAATTGAAAGTTTCTTGAATAGAGAAATGGCATACCATATGAAATTTTAAGGATGAGGAGGAGTTCTGATAAGAGTATTTCTGATATTTATAATTTAGCATTATTCATAATAAATTTATTATAAGAAGAATATACAATATTTTATATATTTATGTCATTTCTATAAATACTTAGCGACATAATAGGATGGACCTACTTTGCTGCTTGGAGTATCAGTTTTTATCCGTAAATCTATGAAAATTGGAAATTGAAAAAGTATCATATAGCATATATCTAAGTGTGAATGGATTGAGTGTTGATTATGTGGGTTTGAACATAACAGGATATATCTGTTTATGCATTTACAGTACAGCCGGATATCTTGATTAATCTTTGGAGGTTGGAACAATTCACCCTGAGGACTTGGCATTCGCATATCATGGCTTATTGTGCACAATCATAATAATAGGCCAGATGATCTTTTATCCTGTATTAAATCCTTAGATTACAGTTAGGAGACAATAAATTATCAATTTACATTATAGCCGTCTTGGTATTCCTATGGACCCTTACACCAATCTATTTCCTATTGACACAAGTACTATACTAATGAATTAATTAGACATTCGATGTGTTCCATGTATCTGTTAGTTACAATGCATATAGAATGATTGGTTATGACAAATTGCTGATAAGCTTTATCAAGTATATTCCATAAGTATACTGGAATTACAAAAGGAAGAAAACACTAGGTTGGAACATTTGGGTAAGTCTATTGGATATAACAGGTGGACTGTTATCTGTTCTGTAAACTATAATGGATCAATTTATTTAAGATGGTAAGCTATGTCTATAATTAGTAAACAACGAGATAAACCCAGTCAAATTTGCATTGGGGTTGCTGACAATTGGTTTTGATTCGATTTTGATCTTCTAACATTATTTTCTATATCCACCAAAGAAGGAAACTTAGGTTATGGATTATGTCACAATGAAGGATAATGGAATAGATGATATATGATAAATACTAGATTATACACATTATAATTAGAGAATATCAATGATGCTTATGGATCTCCATTTTTCTTACATTTGCACACCTAGCATCTTAATCTGCATTGATCTCAAAGTCAGCAGTTATTCCTATCTTAAAACTATCATTTTGATGTCTTTGTTAAAAGCGAGATCTCTTTTCATTTGGACTTAATGACTCATTTCTAAAGTATTCTAACTATAATGCTTCTTGAGCATTCACTCTTTTGCAAGGATCCATCTCAAGCATAGCTCGTATTAAACGAATTGCCTATTTGGGTGTGTTGGCTTTCTCTAAGACCTTGAAGTCGATGGAACCATTCCTTAAGATGTTGTAAAAAACATTGGATTCTTGCATATATCGAATGGGATGTATATCTTCTCCTGAATATAATTTATATAAGATCGCTCCACAACTGTAGACATCCATTTTGTCATTTTGGATAGGACTGTCTTGTAAGGCTTCAGGAGCAGTATACATGCCATATAATATTGGCTTAGCATTTGTGTCATCTTATTTCATTGCAAAGTTGAAATCTACCAATTTCAAACTATCCAGTTTTCCAGATTGTGCAAACATTATATTGGCTGGTTTGATATCTCTGTGGACTATTCCCTCACCCTTCAAATAAACCAAAGCTTACAAGAGAGCCTTAGATTTAGTTATTTATATTAATACCTAAATAATAATTTTGCACTGTTAATGTGTTGTAATTAGATTTCTCTCAATTAATTTTGATAGCGTTTGACCTCCCATTAGTTCCATTATTATATAATAATATTGCTCTCCCTAAAAGTATTCTTTGAATTGGATGATATGACTATGTTCCAAGTTCTGATGCATCCTGATTTCCTAATAAAAATCATCTTTTCTTTCCAAACATTTCAATGCCCACAAGGATTTGTTTACGGTGTCTTCCACTCTAAACACTTTACTATCTGCTCCTTCTCCAATTTAATTACTACACTTAAACAAGTTCACTATGCCATCAAAAACTATCTTGCCTCCTATTAATCTACGCATTTCCTCTAATTCCTTGTGATTCCCTTTAAAAAACTTCACTTTCTTCTTAACTATGATTCCAAAGGCATGGATTCTTTGTTGTTCTGTGTACCAATAGACTTTGTTGTCAAAATTAAGAGGGCAAACATACTTAGTCTTCTGGGATTTAAACTATTATAAGGGTTTGAGAATATACCTAGTTAATTCGAATTTAATCAGTAAGGATATTCACAGTATAATAGGAATTCATGAAATAATGGATACGCTCGCAAGTAAAGGAAAGATTTACTGGTAATGACATGGGGGCTTCAACAATATATATTTTATTATTTATAAGAAACACAATAACTAATATAAAAGAGAAATATAGGAAAGCCATTTATATAGTGATGCGGGATTTCAAAACTGTGATAATTCAATCATTATTAAGCAATAAATTCCTGCCATACTTTTTCAATGCATAAACTACATCCATGGCTTAAACGGTATTTCTTTAGGCATGTTCAGTGTAAATGATGGCATCTTTGACCAAGGATGACAAGAAATTAACTATGACATCTCTAATTTAAGATTTGCATACGAAATCATACCTAGTTGTCGGATAAGAATCTGATGAAATTCTTTTAACTCCTCCTCTTCGAGCCAGTCTACGTATGTCACCATTAGTGATGTGTTACCCTCCCTTCTTCTCTTTATTCATTCTACTCTTGTGTCTTTTAGCACCTGCTAGCTTACCCTATCCCATACGTTTGCCCTTTTGGTTGTCCATTCCAATGAGATTAATTTAAATTTAAATAAAAATAAGCGCTAATAATTTGTTTATTATAAGTTATATAATCATTTTTTAATATTCGTAAATCATCATCAACTGAAATACTTCATGTATCTAAAAATGAGATCTTCTGAAACAAATAGATCATAATTCAATAACTCCAATACTTCCAATTCCATTTCATTCAACAATCTTAAAGAAATTCCACCCAACTTGGCGAAATATTTATTCGAGTATTTATGATCATCCCAAAATTTAATACAAATAACTAACAAGACCAATGTGAGTGTATATAAACTAGCTTAATCCAACCATAAATGTTCATTTTTAGTAGTAAATCTATCAAGATATATTAACACTATTGCATAACATTGAATTGAACAATCACTATAAAGCAGAAGACGTTTCAAGTAGTCAGAATAACCAATTTTAGGAAGAGTTCTCTGTGAAAACTTACAAATTTTTCCACTAGAATTCCATCTATATATTATTTGACCACTTAATTTCAGAAACATTTCAGACGTCTAGTCTACATTGTAGTCTAGAGCTGAAGTCATCCTTTCTTGATTGATAAATTATTTTTTTAAAATATAATTAATGATCAATAATATTTCTTTAATTATTTAAGATTTCTTACACCTATATATTTTATATCTGATAATATTTTTATCATTTCCTTATTGCTTTCCTCAAAATTGCAATTCCAAAACCAAGACTCAATCCCACAATGCTCATTCCCAAATACTTCTTCGGGTCCTACACATCCCAACAATACACTTTCAAAATCGAATGCGTTCCAAATACTCTATTCACCTCAGAATAAATTTGAGCATTGTTATATCCCTTCCTCAACAATTTCCTCACAATATCCCTTTACTCCTTAGCACATGGAGTCTCTATGAATTCAATCGTTGAATTCACACTCTCCCCATCCAAACTTCGAATCCCTTTGCAAATCTCCAAGAACCTTTCTTCTCTTTCCATTTTATAATCTTAATAATAAAATTAACTTAATTCAACACCCTAAGAATAATCCAATCCATCCCCCCTAATTATCATCTCATTGCTTCTATTCCTACAACTCCTGTGCACAACCCTCACTTCATAATCATTTTTCAAATTGAATTTGATCCTCAGAATTATTTGACATGTTATCTAAATTTGTAGTATTTTGATAGTTTAGATCTATTTAGAATAAATGCGTAAAAGTCACCCCTAAACTATAATCTCCATCTTAATCATATATATTCTGCAGATCCACTTTTAAATTTCTGATTTATTTACAATTTAGTTTTTGTTGAACCTTGCCATTTCATACATACAACTAAATGCCTATTGAAAATAATGTCCAAATCATTCCCAATAATTCTCCATTTACTTATTTTTAGAGTGATCTTATGGGTAAATTTAGAACATAAATCTTATGAGTAAGGAATTGCTTTGTATGTTTAATATGATTTTAAAGGCTGATGAATATTAGATAACTATTCGACTTTTACAAAAACCTATTCCATCCAATTTATTCTATCATATCTCTCAGGTAAAAATACTCCATTTAGTAAAGAACATCCTTATCATCAACACTTTTTAACTCATACTGTATCTCTGCAGGTTGTATATCTTTTATTTATTGACACTACTCTCCTTGCCTAGTTATAATATTTCATCAGATTATTCTATATATTTATAAATAATATCAATACTTGAAATTTAATACGATTCTAATTCTAAAATTATATATAATTCATATTATATGTTTAATCAAAATTCCTCTTCATTATCCCAAGGATAATAGTAGACTCCGACCAATTAGAAAGTTAGTGAAATTTAGGCCTAGTAATTCCCTCCAGTTGGATCAAACTTTATTAAAACTGTATAAATTCCGAATTAAAATTCATAAATTGCATTACAACCAGGCTAATCAGTGCCCAGTAACTTTTAGATTACTTTAAACCAACAGTCCTAAGTTAATAAACTTGCCCAGAATTTGGTAAACCTTCAAATCTAGATTAGCAGAATCCTATAAATTTTCCGATTCCTCAAATTTAATAGGTTGTTCAACCTGCCTCAATCTAAATCAATTAGACCAATTTGAACAATCAACAATTCCCATAACACCCATAGACAAAGTCAGTGGTTAATCAATTAATACAACCTCAAAATTAACCTCAAGTTCATTTATGTATAATTCTATTAAAATATTTGTTTAGAGTAATAACCTATATTGGAGTTCAAACAAGTTCCTTATCTGGAAAATAATGAATTAAGTAATTAAAATAATAGTAACTTACTCTAGAATTGAAGAAGGATCACTTAGATCAATTGGAAGAGAAATCTAAGGAACTTTCAAGATAATTAGAAGAAATGAATCTAAAAATGAGTAACTTGAACCAATAGAGATAATAATTTTTAGGGAGAATATAAAATCTCAAAAAAGAAATTGATGCAGAAGAAACAAAAAGGAAATAACTCACTCAATAACTAGAAAATTAATAATAGACTTTAGATTCTAAAAAGTCAGAATTAAAAGTTCAATTCGATGAGGCATAAATAGAGAGGAATGAATTTTAAACATAACTGGGTATGGAAGTTCAAAGGATCAATCAACTGACTTAAGAATATAGAGAATCTGTCAAAAGCACAACTAGTGACTCGACCAAATAAATATAATCAAGACTTGATTAATTATACGAATAAAATCGAAAATTGAAAGACGAATTAGAATTACAACAAGAAAGCTAATAAACTAACTAAAATAAAGAGCATTAAATATAGAGATTATAAGAAATTGTTGAAAGCAAAGAAAGATACAAAAGGTAAGTTGATTAAGAATCGAAACTAATACAAGATGACATTGATTAGTATGAGTCTCAAATACAAATGAGGGATCAAAATATCAATCAGTTAAGTTTCGAATTAAAATAAGAAGAGAAAAAACTCAAAACCTTAATTTAATAGGTTGATTCTATGAAAGAATAGATCAAACTCAATGATGATAGAATTCGTCTAAAAAGTTAACAGATTTCCTAATTAGAGGAGAAAGCCTTGTCTGTCTTTAAAAATTCTGGAAATAGGTAGTAGTTAAATGCCCTAAAACAAGATGTTGAACATCAGGATTTGATGTATGATCAAGAATTAAGGAAAAAGTAAGGAGAAATTACACAATCAAAAATAGCTTTGGGAAACAATAAAAAATAATAAAAAGAACTTGAAGAAAATCAAAGACAACTTAAAATAAAGTAAGGAAAGGAATTGCAAATGAAGTTTAAAGAGAGCTTTGGTTAACTTGAAGTTTGCTTCTTAATAGATTCAACAGCGTAAGGAATTTCAATTTATTGTTAGATCAATGGAGCCTTATAAGAGATAAGCTCAGCTTTGTGTTAAAGGAAGTGTGAAGGCAATCAAAGTATTAACATAGAGAGACACAAGTTGGTCTACTGTATGTTACGTTGATACAGACATCTTACCAAAGTTGGGAGGAATGTATCAATAGTATGGGTTCACAAGAGATTCAAATGAATTAGAAAGGTTTATTGAATAAGTCAAATGTACTCCTAATAGAGATTTGCCAGAAGATGTAGAAGGAGGCATGAAATAAATGTTGAATAATATACCCTGGTAAACCAAATTTAAGTTAGCTATATTAATTTGTGATTGCCCATGTCATGGAACTAAGTTCCATAATTATCGTAAAAATGAGGATTTCTAACCAGATGCTGATTTCACTCCAACTATCGAAAGAATGATTTAGGAGGAAATATTCTTCATAGGAATTATATTTACTAAACATACAATCAAGATGTATGAGGAAATAACAAAAATATATCAGAGACACGGAAAGGAAGAATATTTTATTTTATCAGATTTAAGTAATATTTCTTAAGACTTATAATATGAAAAATTAACTGAAGTCTTAAGCTTTGCATCTGCATAAGCAACATAAACAAATGTGAAAACTACAAGAACCTTAAACCAAGCCAATGCCATTTTAAAAAATGAAGAAAGCAAAAATTCCCCTGCTAGTCCAGTTGAAGCCCTTTGCAAAGTCGATCTCAAGTAAGGTCTAAATGCAGACAATGCTGTAAGAGAGACTTTTAAGGTCTTTAGACTTTAAATGAAAGAAGAATCTTTCTAAGAGAAAATGAAAGCCATTTAGAATATTGGAGTTAATGATTTCTCATTGATTGAAGAAAATGATTGGGATTGCTTGAGATCAAAAAATGCATTTGCAAAAGGAGCAATGAAAGCAGCCTTTTTGATGATTAAATCTAAAAATATGGGTTCTAAGAATGAATTCTACGTTTGTAAGACTCCTTTGAATATGCAACCCTATCCAAATTAGGAGAGTGCTATTAAAGAATGCATATTGCATTTAGTGAGTCAGAAGTGGTTGAGAAAGTATTACAAGGATTTGGATGAAGTAGCAGCATCAACAAAATAGCAATATCCACAAATCAGTTACTCAGATATTCTCTTGCTCCAAGATGCAAATAGTATATTTATGTTTTATAATAGAAAAATTTTGGTTGGCTGAGAGATTCTTTGAAGGTAATTTTATTAAGTACAATAACAATTGGGGATTTGTGAATAGCTCAACGGATGATATTAATAAATTAGCTCAATGCTTTTCTTATTATACATACTTCAAAAGCGATTATCAATATTTGATATGCGATATTCAAGGAGTTGGTACTTGTTTGACAGATCCTGCAATTTGTACTAAAAATAGTATTAGAGTAATTCTATTATTTAAGATCACAAAATCGATCCAACTGATATGGGCGAGGAAGGAATAGGAAGATATGTAGTGTCATTTGGGGCAGTTAAGAATAGTTGCACAAATATATTAAAGGCATTAAAAATAGAATTATGATATTAAATAATAAGATAAAATATTGTCTATTAAGGAAGGAAATAAATATAATAATCACTCTCTTATTGTGATTCCATTTAATTCTAACAGCTTATCAAGTTACGTTTGCATCGTTTGCAAGATGTTTGTATTCTCTTTATTGAGTTGGATCACGATAAAGAAGATGGCAAAACAATCATTAATCATTTCCCCACTATACTCCAAATAATGGGCTTGCCTTTCTCCATCGTCATTAGTTGGGATGATGTCTCCATAGATGAGCAGTTTAATTAAGGACATGATGAATGTTACTATAATTATGAAAGATTCCGAATATCTATATTTGTACATCAACGATGTCTTATCCTATTGAAAAATGAATAGAAAATCTGTTAATGTTAAAAGTAATTAAACACTATATTCTATCCAATGAGAGGTAGGCTCAAATAATTCAGGGTTGAATAAAAATAGAATCAATGCTACTAATGTCCCTCCTATATTAATTATTATTAGATATATCTTGTATGAATCCAATGTCACTATACCTGTTAATATGAGTACACATCCTTCGCTCAAAGCAAAAAAAAATGCTCCCCAAAAATCCAATTGGTGGAAAGGTAAATAAAAATATTCTTCTATTACTTCTTGTGTTTGAAAATTTGCAATAAATAAAGATAAATTGCAAAAGAAATTTAGAACAATCACTAAAACAAAGAAGGCAAAGATGAATTTTTTGAATTTATGTTCATTATAAATATGATTGTACAATAAGCTCTAATTTTACAAATTTAGTGAGCAATATTTTGACTTCTATTTCTCTACAGTTTCTAGCGGTGTAATTTGAGGATTAATTTGATCCAAATTTTAACTCATTTTAGTTGAAAATCTTTAATTAATGAATCACCACATCTGATTTAATCCGATTATTAAGTTACAGATAATCCGTCATCAAATAGAAAGCATATTTAATTTAGAATTAATTATCTTTGAATAAAGCACCAACTATTTGATATATAAATATATGAATATTTATACATTGAAATTTGAGGAAAGCACCTTAGAGAATTCTTATCAATTACATAAATTCAATATATGGCAATGCCCCATTCTTATCTACACATATGTGTTATCAATAATAATTGTTGGCAGCAAACTAATATATTAATTAGTGATTCATGACTATATGTATTTGATACATAAAGTAGTAATACTCTTTATAGTAATACTGCTATGCATATTTTTTAAACATTTCAAGAAATTTCCAAATTTAACCTTGCTGTTAATCAACTTTTTACTTTTATCACTTGAAACCGAGACAAATTAGAATAATACTTATTATCAAGGATACTTGTTTGGATGTAATTAGATGCTTGCACATGCTATTCTATTCTTAGGTTCAGATTTTTTAGTTGGTTTGGGTGCGAATGTAGTTTTGGCAGTAGCAAGGGCAGTAATCACATATGTTAACGAAGATTATTTAACTTTTCAATAGTATCTCTACACTATTTTGATTACTTTTGGGGTTTCTGGGTTATTATATTAATCAGAATTGTCATAAAGAAGGTCCTATTTATATTAAACGAAGGACACAACTTGGGGTATAAATTTAATAAATCATTATTAGAAAAAATATTGCCATTTGTTATATGCAAGCCTTTTCTGATTTTTAAATTTGACAAGGAAGCTTTTTCCTTTTAATAAATTGCAATTAATAAGTCTTTGACAGATAGTTAAGAGATGTGTTTTGATTCAGTAGGTGATTTTCTAAAGGAATGCAAATATGATAAAATGACTCTTCAAAAATACTTATTTCAAAAGTATGAGAAGTTCAACACCTTGATTAATAAGATAGAATGTGAGAAATTAGAGATCTATTATAAAAAAAGTAGGATGAAAATAAAATTATTGATCTATTGTGCTGATACGATTAGATTTATGATTGTTATTGAGGCTGTGGATTAAGCCTTTATAGATTTAAAATATAGATACTAGAACCACTTAAAGGAAATCACTTAAAAGTATAATAATCAACTGAAGAAACTTGCCAAATTATTACATAAAAAACTAAAGAAATGTAAAATGTAAATGATGAGTGAAGTGTCGATTTCTGTACTTGAATTCAGAATTTTGCAATCATTATAACTTACAAAACTAACCAGAATCAATATGTCCTAGCTATTTCAAAAATTTTATCAAATCTTTCACTCTAATTATAAATATAAAATATATTTCATTTCAAAATAGGATTATGTGATTCATACCTATAAACCAGAACTATATTACTTTATCATATCAATTATTAGATAATCAAATCGAACTTCAGAAATATCCTTCATTATTGATTAAAATTAGGAAGCATAAGCTCCTTAACTATCGCTTTAAGGTATTGAGAAGCTGCCCGTGGATCATTAATTTTTATATTGTTAACGAATACTTTTTGAAAAGCATATCTAAGTGTTAAATTGTAATTTAGATTATTTATTTATAGCTCATTTTTGGATCTTCAAAGAAGTGCATTCCTCGTTTAATTAACTCTATACTTTTGATAATATTTCAAATGATCAATATAATCTGTTGAATTAGTAATTCTGAGATTCTTAATTTATAAGTTTTATTTATGTTATGATGATAAATAAATTAAAATGTTATTTCGTTGTTTATATAGGTTTCATTACACATTCCCTCAAAGAATAAGCCAAACAACCTATTACCTACAAAATAAATAATATTTTGATTCATTGGTCGATCAACCCATCACTTCTTAACAATTTTAAGATTTGAAGCAATCATTGAAAAGCATCAAGGAAAACGAAGCCAAAATTGGAATCATACAAATAGCATTAGACAATGGTATAATGAAGGAGAAATTGGGAGAGATTAGAGAAATAATGAACTAATACAAGCATCTAATCGAATCAAATAAATCATCGAATTAATTGTATTAGCATGACTTAGGAGATTACTATGAAAAGGAAGCATTACTATTATTGAGAGAGTGCAAAATGCAGGAATCCTTCGATCCTTTCAAAAAGGGACTTCAATAGTTTATTGATTTGTCCCAAGATAAGAATGCCTACATTATCAGAAGAATAGATTAGATTCTGGAGAGTATGATAATAGTGATTGAAGACATGGGCTCGTTGGAGTAAGCAAGAGAACACATCAAATAGGGACTACAAGTAATGAATGACTGATTAATTTGATAGATATTCGAGTAGTTGCTTGGAAAATAGTCAGAGAAATACATTTAATATTTGAATAAGTTGGCTAATACATACTTACAAGTAGATAACCAGCAGGCTATAAATTTGCATAAAGAGGCTCTTGAAATAATAGGAGAAATGAATGAAAATAATTTTTAATTATATTTGAAAACAGCAATTGAATTGATGATTACACAATTTAATTAAAAATTTGATCAGAATTTATATGACACAATCAATAAAGGCTTATAATAATATGGTAATATTGACAGCGAACTTACTGTGTATTATCATGTAGTGATGAGTCATCTATTTTATGATAACAAAAATTACTAGAAACAAGAGTTTCATCTTTAAGAGGCATTTAAGGTGTATTCAAATGAAAAATCCAGTTTATTAATGAATATTATTGCACAAAAATCTTTGATTTTGAAAAGCGAGCATAGGAATGACTTTTATAATGTGTTGATTACTGAACTTGATAAGGAATTCCAAGATGTTCTAGAATTACAATATTATAAATGTAAACTAATATACGAAATAAATAAATAGAATGGCATAATTGAATTCGAAAATATGGTAATAAATTTGTTATATTCTAAAATAGTAAACTAGGTTGTATAACTAAAAATTAACTTAATATATTGTTGATTTCACTTAATAATTGGCTAAAGACGGTTTAAAAGAGGAGGCGATAAGATTAATTGAAGGATATCCTGAATATGATCACTTACTCAAAGCTTGGAAATAAAAATGATTATTTAAATATGTTAAGATAGAGCTGGTTAAATTTCATATATATATAAGGATTTCATAAATCATTAATTTCAATTATTAAGAATTAATTATTAATGAATAAGTATACTCTATAATTTAAAGATGAGACAATAGATAAAAAATATCGATAATAATCTGCAGATAGTGTTTAAATACCTACTTTTAATTTTTGTGCATATTCATCAATTCTATATTTTATGGTTTCGTTGACAATTTAAATAATTGATTAGGATGTTACTAAAATTATTGTAAGAGCAATTGAAATTTTTTTGCTTATTGTTATTTTGATAATGGTCAAAAGAAATAGAGACAAAGTAAATATTGGACTCTTTTTTGTGAATTTGTTGATAGCCTTATTTGAGTTTGAGTAAGATGATGCATATGATCGATTCAATTATTACCTTTATGGATCCAACGCAATGCTTGTGCATACTATTATCATTTTTTCTCAAACTTTTAATTATGCCGTAGCGTCCAACTTTTCTATGCTAGTAATCAGATTATCGGTCACTGGACTAAATACAAAAATCATCTACATTCAGTTAATTATTGCGATTTTGGCAACTTTTGGGTTTAACTTCATCTTATACTAATCAGAGAAATTTTAGAGGGCTTCATTTTTGATGACATTAAAAGATAATACATGGGGTAAGACACTATATAAACTATTTTTAGAGATTATGCTGCCATCTATACTGACTAAACCATTTCTGGTGTTCAATTTTGACTTTGATACATTTTCTTATTAACTGAAAATGATAAATAAATTGGGATTTCCATTTGAAGATACAAATGTAGTCCATTCATTTTTAAAGGAAGCCAAGTATGGGAAAAGAACCTTATAGGAACATATTTACTTCACAATCATTTCTTGTAATCCCTAACAATTTTAGCCTTTCGTGTAAGAACTAAAAATAGTTTTTAAAAAGAAATAAATATCATTGTTGCTTTCAGGCTGTTACTTAGGACAACCTACTTTTATAATTGTTTTATAATCTGAGGACAAGGACCTTCGATAGATGTAATAATAATTCAAACTATAACACCAAATTTACTCGAAATATTTTGTTAAGCACATCAGACAAACATGCAATTATTTAAAGACTATTGTAGAACGTAATCAAGTTCATTTAGCAATCAAATTGTTAATCTCACATAAACAAAGCCTATTAATTGAACATTACAAATTTGAAAATCAGAGAAACATCTCTCCTCATAGAATAATAGAAAAATTAGTCAATTATTTTAGAAGTATTAATTATAAGATTAAACTCACAAACATCAAATTTGATGATATCTTCACCATCAAATCTTGTTATTTAAACTTTTTATACGAAATATTTAAAAGTATGGATAGGAATCAACGTTATCATTTAAAATCTTTTACTTCAAATAATCAATACATCATTTCTATAAAAGGATTGTAGGAATATCCTAAATCTAATCTATTCTAGTTTTGTACAAAATGTCTCATAGAATAAACGATTCAGATAGATAACAGTATTTAAAGATCTTATTAAGTTAGGTTTTCAATTTATATTTTTGGATATTCCATAGATCTCGTATTATCATTCAAATATGAAAACATATGACGATCCTTATGAATGACATAAGGAATATATTTGTAAATTAACTTTGTTTATAAATTGCTATATAAATAAGGAAAAGAGTATATATATTCTAATACAAATCATTAGAAAAGGTATAGATTGGATGCTTCTCAAGACTTGGAAAGATGCTCTTTGAAATGTACTTGAATTTGTTCAAATTATTTCAATTTGTTTGCTAGATTCTCTTCATCATCATTTATATCATCATCTCCAAAATCATCGAATTAAACACTTTATTTTTATTTTGGTATTTTTTATATTTCTAAATCCTCAAAATCTTAAAATTATCCTCCCTTATGTATTTGGCTCTCCTTTTTTTTAGTTTATCCAGTCTACTATTTCAGTAAGGAGGATTCTCTTGAAAAAGAACTTTACCTCGAATTCTACCTAGAACGACTTAACTCAATAACGATATATATTACCCAGTAGATTTTTATCCAAATCGACCCCCTATCTATTAAATGACTGATGGCACATAATTTAACATGACAGAGGATTGTTAACTAAGATTGGATTCACATATTTATTTATTCTTTTTTTCAGGTTTCTCTGGTTTTTTTAAGATATCATCTTATGCAAATTCAAATTCCTTGCCAGATAATCTTGGTTGTTATCCATCTGAAGACTTAGTAGAAGTAGTAAATTAATCATTCCAATCAAATTTCTTATCTAATTAAAATCCCTGTTGTTAAGCAATCTTTTAAAACAAACTAAGCAAATATTTATAATCTGGAGTTGAAGGGAATTTCAGTTTTTAAACATAGTCCATATACCTTTAAATTTCAATTGGCAAACCTTTACATAAATCCTTGGTCTCAAGTTCCATTTTGAGTTTACCAACCAATCTCGTCTTTTCTTTGTCAGAAGACGAAGTGATATTTTACCATGGTAAATTACCTACGATTATGAAAGACAGTACCTTTTAAGAGGTAAATAAACACATATCCCAAACTTTCTAAATCATCTCTTCTAGATAACTCATATCCCTTGTGTGCAGGAATACTTGCATATCTGGTAGTGCCCATAAATGGTTTTTGCTCTTAAAATGGACTAATGATTTATGGAAGATAATTACATATGCTGTCCATTAACTTTGTATTTCTTAGAAATGCCAAAATCAACTAAATAAACTATATTAGTTTCAGTGCCTCTTCCCATAAGGATGTTTTCTGGTTTGATGTCTCTATGGATCACACCTCTTAAATTTCAAGAGAATTGATTACCTTTAATGAACTTCTTCAATGATGTAGAGTAATTGTTCTGCCAGATTACATACACATTTCATAGAGAATTTTCTATATCGCTTTAAGTAATGAGAAAGATCTCTACCCAACAATTGCATGGCCATACAATTTGAGTTGTATTCATTGCCATACCAATAGAGTTTCGGAATACCTAGGTATAATTTCGATAGTCTACCTTGGATGCCTCTCAATTCTTCAATTATTTGTATTTCGCGTTCCAAACTCAACATATTGCTGTTTTCCTTCTCCACCTTAATTGCAACATATTCTCTTGAAACTTTGTCTTAGCATATATAAACAACTCCAAAGGAACCTTTTTATATCAAAATTCAATACCTGCACTCAGTTTCTCTTTCTAAACAAACCTTCCATAATAAACTCGAGTTTTTTCTTATGATTACATAAATTATATTATAATATTTATATGTTCTTCATTTAGATGTAAGTCCCTTAGCTTTTGGATAGTTCTATTCTTGTAAATTGACACTCTTTTTGGCAGATTCAATTCTTTTAGATGAGGGTCTCTTTTTGGCTGATTGCGGTTTCTTGGCAGATTGTAATCTCTTCTGAACCTTCTTTTTCTCTTGTGGTGCCAATTGCTCTTCTCTTATTAATCCTTCTTCTGTGTAAGCGAAATACACATTAGGATGATTCAATAATTCTTATAATTTCTCTTCACTATTAATTTGATCACTCACATTCATTTGCTATTATTCTTAGATTGCCTGCTAGATTTGAGTTTTAGTCAATTTCCCAGAGTAATCTAAACCTTGTATTGTCCATGCTTCTGCAGCTTCATTATATAAGGCTAGCATCTACATGGTCTCCAAAAACTTAGGCGGGATGAAATAATCCAGAATAAACTATTTCAATTTCACTTCCTATAGAATCTCCCTTTTTCTTATTTGTAAGTCTTCTATCTCCTTAGCCATGAACTCATCGGTCTCTTTATTTTCAAATTCCAATTAACGAGTCTTTTATTAAAGTGTTTTAATTCTTCTAGTTTTATCTTCCAATTCTTCCTTTATTGAGTTGTACTTTGTTTATAATTCTAAATTGAATTCTTCCTTCTTCTACAACTCTAGAGCTCTTTTGGCAGCCTCAGCCTTCTCTTTTTCAATCAATTTCCTTGCCTCTTCTAATTCTTTCTCCTTTCTTCTTGCTTCCTCAACTTCAGTATGACCATTAACTAACTTCTATTCCATCTTCTAAATTGTCTTAATAAGCTTTTATTGTGTCTCCCTTGCATTATTGGCCTACTCCTCCTTCTCTTGTAATTACTAATTAGAATCTAATTTAATTGTACCTTCAATAATTTCATTTTCTCCTCTTCACCCAAATTCTTTTATTGATCAATCTTCCTCCTCTCCTCTTCTATCTTCTTTTTTAATTCTTCCTTCTCTCTCTCTATCATATTCTCAGCCTCCTTGATCTTATCCACATTCTTCACCTTCACTACCTTCTATACTAAGACCTCTTATCCTGGACTCATCACACTTCCTCCACCTTCAATTGATAATTCCAATTATTATTTCAATCTTAATTAATGAACAATTTCTATACTTCAAAATCTCCTCTTAAAATTATCTAATCTAAGCATCCTTTGGATCCTCATTAATCTTAGGTTCATTCTTAATTTATTTAGCTCTGTTAGCATATCTCAAAGTAGATAGAGTTTCGTCGAAATTGTAATCAGCTGGACCAATATTAGCAATCATAACTGTCTTTGTATTACCTCCCAAAGAATCTTACAACAATCTTGTTAACTTTGAATCTCTGTAAGGTATATGCTAAGATTTATTATCCACCAATGCACTGATCACATTACCCAGTGTGGTTAAAGACTAGTTGATATTGATGGCTTCCTTCAATCTATCTCCTGTGGCATGAGTCTTACTCTACCTTTCACTACCTGCTAGATCGACTAAATTCAATTTGCCTACAGTCACATGACTCTATCCCTACACAATTTCATTGGTCTCCACTGTTATCTAGAACAATGAATGTGAACGAGATGAGTCTTGATTCATAGCTGTAGCTCCAACTGCTCTGTTCTCTCTTCCATGTAATAGTTTCTCTCTCATTTCCTAAGGATTCTCTATCATGAATTTACTTAGATCCTTGATATATATTCCAGTTTCTGGATTCTCACGTATCTCCAATTTATTTTTTATATTTTTGGAAAGCAAGTCCCTAATCTCCTCATTGTAGAGCTCCAAAAATGAAACCTTCACCAAAAACTATTTGTTCTTAGCCATGTTCTCTATTCTCTGAAATATGTGATCAAATGTTCTAGGGATTATTCCCCTTAAAGTAGGAGGATCATCCTTACCTTCCATCGTGTGAGTCTTTCCTGTCCCTGTTTAACCATAGGCGAATATAGTTCCATTGTATCCCTCCAATACACTCTCAACTATAGGATGAGCTGTCTGATTATACACGTTCTCCTAAAGAGATTAGGTATCAAAGATTTAATCAAATGTGAATTGTTTTGGCACCTCATCTGCTACTTTTGGATTTCTCACTGTCACTTATCCATTCTTAGTGTCCATATTCACTATACAAACATGTCCATCCTTCTTTTCAGTATCATTTAAGGGACGACATCGAATTACCACTCGTACACATTCAAATTTCTTGTTCATTAATTTCTTTTATAATAATTATAATCTAACATATTTATAATATATTTCAATGATCACAAAATTTTATTATAAAAACAAAAAGGGATTTAAAAGGGGAGTAGTGCTTAGAATATCGTTGTCGGCCATACTAAGCCTAAAGCACCGGATCCCATTCGAACTCCGAAGTTAAGCGGCTTAAGGCGAGGTTAGTACTAAGGTGGGGGACCGCTTGGGAAGTCCTCGTGTTGACAACCCTTTTTATATTTTTTAATTAAAATCAGTTAATTAATTAATTTTGTTGTGATTCATGAGTATTCTGATCTAGAATGGATTCTTTGAAACTTCTATCTATAAATAGCTTTCAATTGGTTTTACATATAATTAATCATTTTAATTCATAATTCATGGTAATATCAGTATAAATATGCAAAAATATATCATATTTGGATAAATATTAAATATAAATTTATCAAAACTTAAACTTACACATTTCATCCTTGAATTATGGGCTGTTCCATTCAAAAAAAGAATCTTCCCCTATCTCAATAAATTATCAAAGTATACGAAATTATTATTTTCCAGCTCTCATCAGAAATAATTCAAATCCCTTAAACTTCTAAAGATGCTACCGAGCGTTAATAAAATTTGAACACTCTGAAATCTATATTACACAACCCAAATTTTACCATTTCAAAGGTTAAATACCCTAATTTCAAAAAAGAACCATGCATCTATAAAATTAATGATTTGGTTGTTATGTTTATGCTCATTTTATTATGTATTTATATCACAACTTGGCTGCCATATTGAATGATATCAAATATCATAAATCCTAGATTGTCCCTTGATTTCCTTTAATGACTATAATACAGAAGAATTAAAAATTTAAAATAGAAACAACATAAGATGTTACACTGCACTATTAAATGATATTATTGAATAAAAAGAAACATAATTTAAGAGTTTAAATGATTCTTAGAATTTCCAATTAAATATATATTTAATAAACGTTATTTTAGACATAATTATATAAATGTAATTCTATAACTAAAAGAGGAATCATAAAGCTAAAAAAAATGGAAAAATGGAGTCGTAATATTGAAGGATTCTAAAGTAAATTTTATGAACTTATATTGATTTGTTTTAATTACTTTATTACTACTTAATAAATATAATCAAATATCAATAAATTCGCTAGCTTAAAATGAATAATGTCGTAATTTCATTTTAATGTTATAAATGTAATCTATTAGCAAATCGTTTTTCCAATTCTTTAACAACTTAATTAATTGTTAGTCAATTTAGGTATAAATTGTAACATAAAAGTTTAGAGATTAAAAATTATGTTGTACTTCTTTATAATCCAAACATACATCCAATAATCTGATGTGATCAAATATAAGTTGATATATTTATTCATTTTTATCTGTATTATTTTTTAAGAAGGTGTCTAAGGTTTTCCAATCTGTCTGCAATTAATCAAATATTTAATTTGGTATTTTTTAAGTTGTTTCTATTTTGGATTTGAAAAACCCCAAATTCCAATTTTATTATTTTTATTATTTGAATTGTAATTTCTCGATAGCTTCTACATATTAGTTTTTAAATTTTATTAAGTTCTATTTCAACTTATCCAATTATGTGAATTGATATTATTTATCAATTATTTCTGACAGATTAGCCTAGTCTAAACATTATTTTATTTATTTTCCATATTTCTCCATCATTTTCACTTCATCAAAAACTGGGTTCTATAAAGCTATAAAATGCTATCTGTATTTTTAAGATATTGTTTTTATTAAGAAGTCTTAGATATCAATATTGATGTAATCAAAATATGTAAGAAATCCAACGAGAATATTAATCATTTCACTCTATCTATTGATGTGATAATTCGATTTAAGAATTAGATTTCCATTTGAAACAAACACTTAGATATTACTAGTTTGAAATAAAACTTAATCCAATGTTGATTCTTCTGGTTAAATTAATTCTAATTGATTGAGAATTAACTATCGGAATTTTTGAATCATAGTCGAATTCAACTCTGGCAATAAAATGCAATTGCTTATAATCCATTAAACTCTTTCGATTGATAGATGTTATAAGGACCAATTGGAAATCTCATGTTAGGAATGATAATCTAAATTTTTTACGTGTTTCTCGAATTGTTCAATGCAGCTTAAATAAAACATATATTCTTTAAGAGTAATTTGATCAATCAATTATTTGAATTCAGCAATCAGTTTAGACGACAATTTATCTTATCTAATCTATTCATGATGATCTAAGATTTTTGTTAATAATTATATTTCATCATCGTTTAATTGTGGATTGTAATCAATTGCTGGTAGTTATGGTATTTGATTGAGTGCTTCCAATAATGGAGACAGATCAATATTTTCATGAAGTCTTTTGTGAAATTCTTCGATCATTATTATAAATTATATAATATCTCTATTAATGATTATTTTATCATAATGTTAAGGCTAATCTATTAATCGGATTTAAATGGTTGAAAAATGCAATTACTGATAGTATAAGAAAAATAAATAAAGAAAAAAAAACTAATCGTTTTTATATAATTTGATGAATAAACTTATTTTGCTGTGTATACTCACAATAGGTCTAGTTTAAGCAGACCTTCCTGTTCATTGTATGAAACATCAGATCACAGGAAAGTGGAAGATGGAGGTGAGCTAAACAAAACTTAAAGGAATGGGTGCTGTTCCATGTGGACATCATGTTCCAGATTCATAGTAATCCTCCTATTAAGCTGGTTTTGATGACTTTAAAGCAGTTGATACCTTCGAAGTCAATTTGAGCAATGACTACAGTGTTCAGGATAAGGAGAGAAAGACAAGTGGATAATGGACAATGGTTTATGATGAAGGATTTGAAGTAGAACACAATGGAGTCAAATATTTTGCATTCTCAAAGTATGCTCCAAATGGATCCGATTACAAATCATATTGTGGTGAGACTTTGATTGGTTGGTATAATAATTTAAAGACTGGAGAGAAAGGTTGTTATAGAGCAAAGAAGACTGATGGAGACAACGAAGCCACAGATTCCTATCAACTCATAAGTGTGGTTCAGCCAGAATTCATTCAAAAAAGTACAAGACATGGAGACAGGGTTAAATTACATAAGAATTTCGACAATCACAAGGAAGCAGTTGATAAGTTGAATAGTATTCCAAAAACATGGAAGGCTAAGGCATATGACCATTTTGAAGGGATGTCTATGATGGAATTAAATAAGATGGCAGGTAGAAGAAAGCACTTCTAGGGTAAAACAATAAGGAAGGCATCCTTTACACAAATAAAAAGTGGTGATGTCTCTGGATTACCAAAATAATTCAGTTTGGAATAATACCTTGATCCTCCTAGACAATAAAAGTAATGTGGATCTTGCTATGCTATATCAACAATGGAAATGCTATCAGCTAGATTGAAGATGAAAGGTGAGTAGGTGACACTATCTCCTCAATACTCAGTGGATTGTAATTACTTCAATTAAGGTTGTGATGGTGGTTATCCATTCTTGGTTGAGAAATTCGCATCTGAATAATATTTGGTGACAGAACAGTAATATCCATATAAAGGTGATGTGGGCACATGTAAAAAGATTGATTTTTCATAATCATCAAAGGTTTATGGAGCAAAGAATTATAAATATATTGGAGGAGGTTATGGATTAAGTAATGAGAGAGATATTATGATGGAATTGTATACAAATGGTCCAGTAATTATGAACTTCGAGCCTTCATATGATTTCATGTATTATGAAAGTGGAATTTATCATTCAGTTGCTGAACATGATTGGTCTACTTAAGAACGTCCAGAATGGGTATGAAATTGTTAATAACATAAGGAAAAAGTCGATCATTCTGTTTTGTGTTATGGTTGGGGCGAAGAAGATGGAGTTAAATTCTGGCTATTATAGAATAGTTGGGGCAGTCAATGGGGAGAGAATGGAAGTTTCAGGTAACCAATATCGAGATATCATTAATAGAATGAAAAGAGGAGTTGATGAATCAGCTATTGAGAGTATGGCAGAAGCAGCAGATCCAGTGATATATTCAAAATCTAATAGCGAATTTATTGAAATGAAAAAGGAATAAAATTTAAGAAAGTAATGATACCTATATGTAATAATCATATATTATTGATATACTGAAAGTAGTATAAAGATTTATAAACATATATCTCAATGAGTTATTAATAGTTAATTATACTCACTAGCCAATTTGTCACAATCGTACGTAAAATTAGAGTAATTCTAGAACTTACCAAAATCATTAACTGGTGTATCCTTGACACTGCATTTTCTTATCAGATTTTAATCAAAAAATTTGAATGGCCTTTCGTTTTGCATTTCAACAGGAGGTGCAATCTCTTTTCTTCCAATTTTTTTGAAGTCTACATCCTTGAAAAAAGGGTGCTCATAGATTTCTTGAGCATCTCTCTTTAGTCCCAATCGTTCTCGTGGATTTCTCTTTAATAGTTTCTTTAACAAATCCGTAGCTTCCTCAGATAAATACTATGGAATCTCAATATCCTTTTCTGTTGCATATTCTATGATCTGTTTTCTGGATAACCTATAAAAAGGTGGCTTGCCTGTCAACAAATCATACAATAAGGCTCCATAAGTCCACCAATCACAACATTTTGAATACACTTGTCCTATAATTACTTCTGGTGCTATATATTCAATAGTTCCACAGACAGTTTTAGCAGACATATCATTTCCATAACATATTTTAGATAATCCAAAATCGCATAATTTAATATGTCCCTCTGAATCTAATAATATGTTTTCTGGTTTCAAATCTCTATATATGATATTTTGTTTATGTAAGTAATCTAATCCTATTAAAATTTCAGCAGCATAAAACTTCGTCTTTTTCTCTGTCATTCTTCCTTATAATTTAAGGTGGTAAAATAGCTCACCTCCTGGAACAAATTCCATTATCAAATACAATTTGGTTTAACTCTAAAAAGCATAATGTAATTTAGTAATGAAATTGTGATTTGTTATTTCTAAAACCTTCCTCTCTGTTTGCACATGTTTCTTCTATGTTAGTGTCTTAACTGATTTCTTGATTAACACTTTCATTGCATATAATTTCAACGAGACTGTGTGTTAAACTAACATTACTTTTCCATAACTACCCTTTCCCAAATTCTTAAATTAACCATAGTTAATACTCTTAGCATTATGAAATGACTTAATGAAATCTTTTCACCATCCTCATCCTGTTAAGGAAATTACGAAATCACTTCTTCGTTATCCTCCACTAAATCCTTTTGATCTGTGGGATCAGCACTAATTACTGTTTGTGGACCCTCTTTAAAACAAACCAATCCCATATTAAATTATAATTTATATATTACCACCGCCAATCAATTAAATTTAAAAAATATTGAGTTATGATTTACTCTCTACTGTAGCAACATCTTCATAAGGAACTCCTTGGATAAAAGTATCAACTCACTGAGTTCGAGTTGCTCAATGTTCTTGATAACATCTATTAAGATAAATAAGATTTCAAATATTTCCTCAACATTCCAAATCCTTTACAATCTACCCTAGTTGTTCAGTCCTATCGATTTGAATATGAATACAACTTCGAGAACAACACTGTAGATTAACTAAACCTCATAATTGAAAAAGTCAATGATGATCAAGCAAACCACTCAATTAATTTGTTATAATACTAACATGCAATACCAACCCTACTAATCTAAAAGGCCTTCATCAAAAAACAAACACCCCAACCAGCACTTCAATCTCATTAAATTCACACTCTTATTTCCTAAAGTTCCAATTATCAAAGGGTAGATGCTAGTTTCTGCAATTTGGACATTGTCCAAAGATCTCAAAATATTGCTTACAGATAACCTACTCAAGACTAATCAATTAAAAAAAGAGTCAAAGTAGAAAAATCATAACCGATTGACATAGATTCAATTAAATTATCCAAAACGCAAGACACCGAGGATTCAAAAATCAAAAAAGAAATTAAAGTATCTAAGCAATTGTTTAAGTAACAACACAAAAAACATGAAGAAACGAATCAAAATCAATACCTAAAATCCTTAGTTAAGAAATTAGACATTCCAGAAAAATGGAAATAAGTATCATAAGAATTCAGTGAATCGCATAAGAAAGTATGGGATATCAAATATTATGAAAAATTGATGCTATTGACTGAAGCTGTTTCCAAAAGTAATTAAAATTGATATATCTTATAGAATACTTCTATTCGCATATCTTTAAAGAATGTACAGAGGAAGAGTACTAAAAGAGGTTCATCAGATATGCTTTACCTCCTGATTTGTAAGATCAATCGATAATAAAAAAGAGAAAGATCTACAGTAAAGATGTTGTATGTGCTCTTTTTGAATGATAATATAAGATATATATAATTAATGATGATTAGTTAATATATGGCTAAATTAATGATACTATCGAAATTATAGTTGGTAAAAACAAAGCATATACAATTTTATAGTGATAGAATGTCAATCAAAAAAATTAATTTGGTTATTATTATAACTTATAAAGGGAATGCATCTGCCTATTTTAGAAGTTCTTTGTCTGTACTTAAACGCTGATTTTATACTATGATCGTCGCATATAAATTTAGATAATTTTAGAATTAAAATTGATAGAATGATAGATAATCAGGATATATGAACTGCAGTTAAAAATAAAATACTAATTTTGGGAAGATACAAAATCGAAATGACCAACATAGATTATGTCCAAAAACTGATCCAAAGGAATCGAAAATTACAGACTGAAATATTTTTGATTATCATGTAGACTTTTTGCTCTTTAATAATTATATAAGGTGAGGAGAGAGACATTTAAATACAATATACATTATTGATAAGTCACTTTTGTTACACTTATACTAATTCAGATGATTAAGAGATTTTAATTAATTGGATCAGGAAAATTATATTAAAATAAATAATTTACACACATTAAATGTCTTTGAATTTTGAGATAAAGAAGAAGCATGTGGCTCGCTCAGAAAGAGTTAAGAGTGTAGAGTTGCATTCTGAATATACATGGGTATTATCAGGATTATATAGCGGAGTTATAACAATTCAAGATTATTCAAATTAGGTATATGAATTATTTAATTAGACTATCGTAAAATAAATAGATCAAAAGTAAAATGAAGTTAATAGATAGGCATTTGAAGCTCATACTGATTATATTAGATGTGTGATTGTGCATCCATCTTAGCCATATTTAATAACTAGTTCAGATGATACGACAATAAAATTATGGGACATTGATAATAATTTTACATTGCTAAGAACATTTGAGGATCATGTGAATTATGTGATGATGGTTGCATATAATCCAAGAGATCCTAACACATTTGCAAGTGCAAGTATGGATAACACAGTAAAGGTGTGGACAATCAGAATAGCAAACCTAATTTCACATCTGATATCAGATGGAGATGATAGATCCATTAAGATATGGGATTGCCAAACCAAATAATGCATACACACCTTAGAAGCACATCAATAAAACATATCATCAGCTAAATTCCACACAGATTTACCACTCATCATTTCATAGCTGCTGAAGACGGAGTCATTAGATTCTGGCATTCAAATACGAACAAATTAGAAACATCACTCAATTATAATATGGAAAGAGTTTGGAGTTCAGATATAGGAAAAGATAATACATTAGCCTTTTCTTACGATGAAGGAACATTAACCAATTGTATCTATGCAATAAGGTAAAGTTGTCGATGGGAAGAACTTTCAGTTCTTTACAATCAATCTCAAAGCCATTAATAATACATCAAATGATGGTTAGATTATATAGACAAATTCAAAAGAACTGGGAATTAGTGACATCTATCCCTGCGGTGTCAGACACAGTCCAAATGGTCATTTATTTGCAATTTTTAGTGACTCTGAATACACGATATATAGTTCATAGAACTTTAAGAATTCAGGTTTCGGATCTGGTACAGACTTAATTTGGTCTTCAAATGGGGATTATGCTGTTAGGAAATATTTTCTATAAAACTATTTAAGAACAACACTTTGAGTTTTGAAATGAAAACAGAGTAAATAATTGACCAATTATTTGCTGGACCTGTGCTGTGTGCTAAGTTTTCTGATTTTATCATGTTTTACGATTGGGAAACCGGCAAATTGATCAGAAGAATTGATTTCTTTCCTAATAAAGTAATTTTGAATGATACAAATACAATTGTGGCATTGGCAACAAATGATGAAGTGTATTTCTTATAATATGATCCAGAGCAATTACCAATCTTTTACAGTAAGAGGAAAATTCTGATGGATTTGAGGATGCCTTCTAACCTTTATGTGACACAACTGAATCTATCAACTCTGGCTATTTCATCCAAGATGTCTTCTATTATACTACTATGAATGGCAAAATAGCATACTCTGTTAATGGAAAGATCTTTATTGTCGATTAGGATAAAAAGTATTTCATAATTCGTTACATCCAACAATAAAATAAACTCTATCTCATCGATAAAAAATATAATATTATTAGTTATGAAGTTAATAGCAATGTCGTTGAATTTCAAACTCGGATTCTTAAAAAATAATGTACAAAGGCTGAAGAAACCCTTTAAACAATTCCAATCCAATACTATGATAAATTATCTAAATTTTAGACACTCTTAATCTCAAAGAATGGGCATATAAATTAGTCTAGGACGAAGACCATAAATTTGAGCTTGCTCTTTAACTTGCATTTGTAGATGATGCTTTCCTAATTGCTTAAAAAAGCTAAGACACACTCAAATTAAGACAAGTTGGAGATCTTTCTTTAAAATAAGGAAAAATTAAAATAGCTTCTTAAGCCTTGCAATAGGCAGATGATTTTGGAGGACTCCTATAAATTTATTCCTCTTTGGGATTGAAAAATTAATTATTGCGATTGGGGGATAAAGCTTTCCAATAAACAAAAATGAATATTGCATTCTCTGCCTATTTCTTATGTGCCAATCTTGATAAATGTTTTGAAGTTCTTATCAAAAGTAATAGACTCCCTGAAGCTGATCAATTTAAATAAGTATTCATTTTCTTTACTATCATAGTTTTAAGAATTCTTGAATTAAGATCTATTTCCATAATTATAAAATAACCCTAATTTGGATCTTTCACAAATCACTTATGAATCTGGTGAGTATTGAATAATTTATATCAAAGTGTTTATTAACATGATATATCATTGATCTATAATTATAAATCAAATAAAATTGTAATTTTATAACTCTTAATCTTATTACTAAAATAGAAATTTTTATAATTTCATTTATTGTAGCAATTTCTAAAGTGATAATAGTAATTGGAAAATGCTTGCCATACTAGATAATTAATATGATAATGAATAAAACATGAATAAAGCATAATTAGATATTATTAATACACAGAATATTATTATTAAAAGTTATAATAATTTCTTTAACAATATTTTTCAAATTAAGGATTGAATAGAATTCATTAATAGATATACTTAAAAATTTTAAATTATATTGCTAATTATCTTAATCAATTCTTTAATTATTCTAATTCTTTTTCTACCGAATTTTTGTATTATGGATTTATAGCAATACATTTCTTAAAGCACTCTATCGCTTCCTGTACCTGTCCTTTGGCTTTTAAACAATATCCTATTACATTATAGGCATTTTTAAATACCTTTAGAATATTGGATCAATGCATTATTTGGATCGATTTGCTCTCCTTAATTAAGAGTAATCAGAGATTCATCATATCTCTTTAAGCATCTTAATGAGTCACCTAGCATATATAATTTATGGATCATACCTTTTCCGAATAGAGTTATTGCATTCTTGGGATTAATTATTAAAGCCCTGTCAAAAAATATCAAAGAGTCAGCATATCTTTACATTTTCCTTAAAGTTTCGCCTTTGTAACTTAAGCCAACAAAATTCTTTTCATCCAACGAAAGGGTCTTATCAAAATAATCCAAGGCTTCTTAATATTTGCCTTGGAGTCTTAGAGAATCTGCTTTATGGCAAAGAGCATCTACGAAGGTTGGATTATCTTAAAGAATTTTATCAAAAATTTCATTGGCTTAATCATAAACTCCCTACATCTTTAAGCACATGCCTAACATAATCATTACTATTTTTACCTATTCTCCATTTACTATATAAATTTGTCGGATCAAGATATATGCAGTAATTAAACTATTGTCTTGCTTGTTCAAACTTGCCCTATACATAAAATTAATTGGCTTATTTTAAGCACTCTTAAAATTCTTATTGTTATCCATCAGTCAAGTTTGATTGAGAAAATTCAAGGGCTGTTTTTAAATCATTTAATATTTCTTTGGCTTTTTTTAATTCAGTTGATGCTTTTATTGAAATAGAGGTACTTTCTTTAGAAGGTTTTGAGTAAATTAACATTAATTTAACTTTTGTAATATCATCATGATTGGAAATTTTTTAGATGCCTAAAATATTTTGGATAATTCTAGTTGTTTCCATTTTTATTAAATTTATCATTTGTATAACTTCTTCACAAATAGAGTAGTTGTGTTTCATGGTTTATATTTATTCTTCTAGTTTTTGTCTTACATTGTCTATTGTTTATAAATCTTCATTATGATTTGCATGAGCTGGAAAACAACTAATACACAAACCAGAAGCTGCTTAACATTCTTTATTTAAACAAATAGCGATAAGTGGTTTCTTTTAATGTTGTATTTCTTTGCAGTACAAAGCATTCTCTATAATCATATTGAATGTACTTATTTTATATAATTTATTATCAAAAACTCAATATGAATTATAAGTTTCCTTTAGATATTCACATTTAATACATGATGAGTATTATTATATCAGAAAAATTATTATCATAACAAGATTTTCTAATATATAAAAAAAAACTATAAATATAGAATGTAGAATAGCACCTAACAAACTCCAATTTTAGCATAAATCGGAATGTCTTGAAAAAATAAACCCAATCAAAGCTCATAATTAAGCGAAAAAACTACAAAAGAAGAATAATTTAGTGTATTTTCAGGAATAACAACAAAATTAAGAAGTAAAGATTAAGAAATCATGATAACTTACAAGCTAATTGTCATTTAGATTTCTTATATTTAAGATTTGAACTGCTGATAATTCTATTAATATGATTAGGTTAAATGGCATTCTTGAATGAATAGGGAGGAAATCAATTTAAGCAAATTTAATCTAATGTTTAACATTCATATCATCGCTAATAGGGCTTCAAATACAGATAAACTCTAGACTTCAAGGAACAACACAATAATAAAAACAAATTCCATTTACCTATCCAAAATTTTCTATACAGGTTTAAAGAGAAAGTCAATACGGAATTTGAAACTCCTTAGTATTTGGAATGTCATGATCAATAATACTTTATTGATAAATTCTTTTTGTTACCTATTATAAATTTTTATATTGTGTTTTGAACTTCTATACAATGTCAATCAAACATTAATAAATTGATGAACCTCTTTACATATTAAAGGGATTTAAAATACCACTGCTGAATACATATTTTCAAGAACCTTATCTATCTCCTATAAATGTGAAGTAATAACTGAGTTCCAGATCTAATAATCAGCCATTCTTTGAATCCTCAACCACTAAAACCAATGCAACAAGCAGAGAATTTTATCGTTTCGAGCCTTTGAAAGTAGATAAAACACAATAGAACAAGCAACTATAAGAAAAATCACCTTCTCCAAATAAGCTGAAATTTCTTGAGGATAACAAATTAAAAGGATTATTAAATATCGTTTCAGATAGAAATAAACAAATTCATCTAAAACAATATGATTTTCCTGTAGGAGGCTCAACTAATAGTAATACAAAAAAAATAAAGTTTAACTTTAAGAAAATAAATATTAAAATGCCATAAAAAATACAATTTTCAAAGGAAGATTTAGAAAACAATAAGAAATTTTTAATAAACACACTTCGAAAAAGTTCAGTTGTTTAGAATTAAGAAGACATTTAAAGACCTGTTAGATCGAAATCAGATTTCGAAAAGGTAAGATCTAAATCGAATTTAAAGTAAGCTAGTCCTTACAAAGACAGATTAATTGAGGAGTAATATAAGAAGAAAACGGTCAGATTTAATGAGTTGGTAGAAATAAAAATGTTTGAAAGAATAAAATCTCATTTAATGAAATAGTTAATATGAATTATTTTTTATGACTAAAGATATAAATTAATTTGCTAAAACCTTTATTTATTCAATGAATCCTTCCCTTCATTCCTTAGAATAAGTAAAACATTAGACATTAAACATCTTTATGTAAAGGGTGTTTCTCTTCACAAAATCTTCATATTAACAATTAAATTATATCGGGCAACAACAAAACCTTTGCAAGTAATAATACTAACACAATCGAAAAAACCAAAATGACCCTTATTCATCAGAAATGTTAACAAACTTACATGTCATCAATTTCAAAAATATCTTGACCTAGAGAATCATACAGACTCAAATGAATTTTAAAGAAAATTTTCTTAATGAGGTGAGAAACTCAGTCTAAGGTCAATATATCACCTCATATTTTAATTAGAATGTCTTATTATTTATAAAAATATTTGTAAGAGATCTAGTTATGAGATCTAAAGAATGTTAAAAAAAAAACTAGAGGCCATTCTAAAGTATGGGGTGTAGAATATAGATAAGAAGTTGGAATATGACTTTATGATTTTTGAAATTATAATGAATACCAAAGATTTTAATGGTTATTAATCCATAATTTATTTGTTTACTTTTAATAAAAATAATTTAGCATTTATTGTAATTTTTATATTCAAACTTGTAAAGCTGTATTATATGATATATTTAATAACATTATTGTTTGAATGAATGATAGAGAATTTTAATTACATAATATAATAAAATAAAATAAACTTAAATACCATGTTTTTATAAGGGTCAAAAATCAAAACAATTGAGGCCACTGTTAATTAATAAATAAAGTTTTCAACCAGATAATTAAGCTAAGAGCTCAAATCCTCTCATTCACTGCATCGTCGCTATTCTACTGTTGCCGTAATTCATCAAGATGCTTATAAGATTGAGGATAAATATTCAAAATAGTTAAATCAATCATTGCACACTAAATATTATAATATGCATCAGCTATTCAAAAAGAAACAATATATTCCTGCTAATTTTAAGTCAAACAATAAACCATTTGAACATGTAGTAACAAACTAATTCTCAAAAACATCATCCTAGTTAGTTCAAAAGAAAAAGAAGTTCAATGCAAAAGAGTGGCATAAAGTTAACTATGACAGGTTTAGATTCTTAAGTAGGTAAGCAAGCATCGAAAAATTAGTAACTAATCGATAACAAAGTATTTAGCCGTGTTTGTAAATTTAATAGGCTAATAGACAACAGAGAAGCGTTTCTTAAATGAATAATTATAGAACTGAATCAATTAGTAGTTTAAACAATGAAAGGTGTAAGTGTCAAAGAAGTAATTCTTTATAAAAAGAAAATCTTGTTATATTTTTAATTGAAGAAAATTAACAGAACTAAAAACATGACTGAATTGCATATATTGTATGTAAATAATTTTCACTACATTTTATATTTATTTGTAATTAAAATGAGTTAATTATCTACTATATAAAAAAATTTTTCTTAAAAAATGCTTTGTATAATTCATATAATGCATACTTGAAAAAATCAAAAAAGAAGATATTGATTTTAATTCAATCTATATTCAGAATTCAAGGTTCAATGAATTCTTAATTTTGAAATACAGTTAAAAATTTTTATAGCTGTAAGTTGTTTAAAAATATAAATGTAGGTTTATCAGAATAGATTGAGTTGAATTTCTCATCGGTAGAACATTATAATAGAGGGAGTTTCAGATCTTTAAGATAACGGCTAATTCATTTTTAGGAAGGAAGAAGATCAAAACTTATCTAATTGATTTACTACTTAAAAATTTACAATTGAAATATTTGAGAGAATGTATATTAATCATTATAAAAATCATATGCTTAAATGACATCAAAGTTTGGTTTTAAACAAATGTATAAAACTAAATTACATTTTGCTGAAATCCTATAGAAATGCAATATATATATTATTAGACTTTGTAACATTAATCAAATTTTATAGCTAATCATAATTTTGTTGTAAACTCATTATTAAAGCAAAAAGTGAATAAAAATAGATTACTTAGATCAAATTATAAATATTGATTATAATAATCATTTTAAAGGTATAACGCTTCTGAATTCATCAATACTGATTATAATCATAATAGAAATGAATCTTTAACAATAAGTGGCTTGATTAATGTCCTGATAAATAATATAATTTGAGGTCTCTCTCATTCTCCATTTCATCATCAATAAAACATTTGGCACATTCATAACAAATATCAACATGTTGGCCATCAAATTTGCCTGGTCTACAATTTAAGCAAATATATCTAGGTAATGGGTCAAAATCTTTTTCTTCTCCTTTTTCTCTTTAACATGGATGACAATCTATGGGATGATACTTATTCAGTTATTGATTCTTTTTAGGGAATAAGTTGTGTCCAAATTTATATGAGCTTAATCTATTCATTTCTTCGTCAGTTGCACACGATGGTACAAATACTAAATTACTTAGAATCTTGAATTCTTATAGTTCTATTTTATCATCATCTTATTATCCACACTCAATGCAATAATGTCTGCATAACCATGGTGAATAGAATTATCCTTAATTAATGATAGATTTATTACACAGATTACATTACTCTCCTTTCCTGATTTCGAAGTCTATTATTAAGATAATGAATACATTGATATAGATCTGGGAATTACAATTCTTTTGCAACTAGTTACCCTGATTACGCTTCTAAATTTAAATTTATGAGCTCATCTTCTTAATCTTTATACCTTTATAAAGCATAGTATTCATGTTCTTAAGGTGTTAAAGTAATCAAGGGTACTATAGCAATTCCGTCTTATTTAACTAATTTATTATCTGCTTAATAAACAGCAAAGCCATAATTAACAATGTCAAATTGTCCAAATTGCATTAATGAGTTTCGGCAATCATAGATATCAAATTAAATTATTTTATTTTGCAGGAAGTCCTCAAATCCCATTTCAATGACATTCTTAGCTCTTTCTAATATTTAAGGAATATGATCAAGGCATAAAATTTTGTATGTTCCTTTTGGTTTTAGTTTCTCCAACAATTTGAGTATGGCTGTTGCTGTAAATGCACTTCCACAACCAATATCCAATATTTATAATTCTTTATTTAAGTCTTTCTTCACATATTTATAAATAGTCTCTAAGATTTTGATCTAAACATCAAAACTTTCAATGAAACTTCCCTCTGCAAAATCATATCTCTCATATTCATTTTAAAATGAAGGGACATTATCCACGTAATCTTGTATCTCTAATTCTAATAGTACTTATGCAATTTCAGGATGCATCTCCTATCCCCTTTGATATAATTTCTAAATTAACTTAGCTTAATTGCTGTTCATTAAAAACAAATATGGCTCAAAGAAATCCAATTTTTCATAATCCAGAGCCTGAGTTGGATTCTTGATCATTGGTAATGGTTTTTACTGTGTTTATTGTTATTGTTCAACCAACATAGATATTCCCTTAATGATTTTAATTGATTATTTTTATCCTTTGACTGTTCTAATGTTTGTAGTGTGCTCCATGGGTTTTCTTAAATATTTAGTATCTGTCATGCCATATTATAATACTTGAACATGTTCTTCTCCATCAAAATTCTAATAATAATCATGAAGAAATTGAATCAGCTCTTCATTTAATTTTGGATCTGTAACTTCCTTATGTAATCCTAGCTTTGTTTTCACTTCATTCATCATAATAATGTCATTGATTCTATTGGCTTTGGTTATCGTCAATGATTTAGTGACTGAAATTATAATTGAAATAGTTGATGATGCTAAGGAAAGCATAAGAATTTCTATTGACTTTTTGTTTGGATTCAGAAATAAGTAAATGACCTATAATAAAAATTATGGCAAATCTTCTGCAAATGTTCTAAATGTAGCTGCATAAACTCTATTTGGAATTCCTTTCATCCATAAAAAGTTGGTTGTATTTTATATTGTCCATTTTTCTAATAATGAACCCACTAAATGAATTTCAACAAAAGAGCAATAATTGCATAAATAGTCAATATAATTTTCATCTCCATCTTATCTCGATAATAACAAACTTAAGATATGAAACATAGTTGTAGACAATGTTAAAGCCATAATAGCTATTGCACAATATCCTATGGCAGTGTTATCCCCACATGTCATCACAGTAGTAATAAAACAAATATCAGAATAAACATCAAACTTAGCCATTTAACTTAAAAACAAATCCTTGCTCTTAAAAAATCAAATATGAAATAATTACAAAAAACATTTGCTCTCTTCCAATAAGGACCATTTGAAAACTCAGCATGAGTAATTTCGTGATCTATGCAAGTCTTTGCCAATCTGATTTCTAATAAACAAACTAGAAATGCATAACCGCAATATATAAAATGTCCTGTCCATTAATGTCCTGAGCACGCAAGTACAAAATACACGGGTACGAATACGCAAATGAAATAAAATGCTAAAAAGTTAATCCAAAATAATATATTTAATGGATACTTACTATTTTCAAGGTGTTTTTTGAGATCATCCTTCTTGTTGTTATATTCATAATCAGCAGTCTTAATACCTAAAAGATGAGTGATAAAGGATCCATAATTACTTTGCAAAAATACACAATAACAGCATAAGAGGTATTTTTAAACAAAATAAATAGAACAAAAACACTATTTTAAACATTCAACAAAATTGGCTTAAATGTTTTAATACAAATCCACACACATTTTAACATAGATCATGAAAAAAGCACACTAAAATTCATAATATAATATTTTACAAAGCATGTTTTAATTTCATCTACTTATCCTTCATCTTGTCTTTCGTACAATTATAATAGTGATTAATCCCAATAGTAGTTCTAATTGGAATTTACAATGTATAAGTAAAAATTCATTGGAATTTCCTCTTAAACTTGTTATTCAAAAGCTTCCACATCAGAATTTTTAACTAACTTTTATTCTTCAGATAATTGCAAAGTGAATTTTTCTATAATTTGTTTTGTAAATTATTTCATTGTTGATTCAGACAATTCTTCACTAAATTCAATTATTAATGTTTAGGTATTCTTCATAATTAGATTCTTATTTTTAATCAACATTTCTAATTGATTTCTAGTTTATTCTTTAAAGAGTAAATTGCCAGAAATATCCAGCACCCTCAAATCTTCATTATTTTCAAGTGTCCTCAATAATTTACAACCTTCCTCATCAGTAAATTGATTATTTCTTAAATTGACAATTGGAATCTTTTAAAAAAGTAATCTATAAAATGAGTAATCATCTTCAGGAATCAATTATTATTCATCATCATTAGCCATTTCTAGATTTTGATATCTCATTTTTTATTTCATCATAGGTTTCTTAGTCTGATTCCCAAGATAATTACTAGATAAATCTAAATATTTCAATTAAGTCAGACGAGTTATTTTTTTGATATCTTCAAAGGTAATTTTGTTATTACTGAGATCTAGGTAACTTAATCTATCGACTTTGTTGATCAAATCAATGATATACTCTTTAAAAGGGAGTTTCACATCAAATAATAATGAGCAATTTCCCAGAAGTAACATAGTTAAATTTTAGTACTGCAAATTCTATAAAAGTTTAGAAATAACTAAGTATCTATCATCACTTAGTTTCAAATCATTATATTATCTGAGATAGGCATCAGCGAGATCGCTTAGATACAAGAACATTTTATTATCTGTATCTTGGGCAGTATCAAAGAACTACTCTATTTTCATGAATTGCTTTTTCTTCTTCTACTTTGACTATTTTCTTATTTCCTGTTTTTCACTTTCATTCTTTTTCAAATCTATTTATTATGGGATACCCATTCCAAAAGATTACGGCAATAGATTTTGTTTAACACTATTCAATGACCATGCTAATATCTATATTCTTAATTCATATTTCTTCCTTCTGTGTCTCAACCTCTCTTGGAATTCTGCTTTGTAGAATTCTCGAAACTCACTCATCTTTAGAATTCCATCATATAATGGTTCAAAGTACTATTCTCCATTCAACATTATCTATTGTACAGATTGAGTTTTCTTGTCAATGCCTGAAAATCCAATGTAAAATGAGGATTAGAAATATTGTTGTAATAAGGGTTTGTAATTGAACATCTCCTAGAGTTTCAACTCAATAAAATAGAGGAATGGCATTTAAACTAAATGATCTATTTTTTGTGTATCATAAGAGATAATCTATATTAGACCATTCTCTGATATCTATAATAAGTTTGGAAATTCCTAATAATGACTTAAGGGATAAATTTATTTAGTTACATCACTCAAATTTTAAAGATATAATCGTTCGTCGTTAATTTGATCAATATCGACAATAAATATTTATCCTGTGTTTACAACCACATATAATTTATTCTGAATTGGAAAGAATTTCATATCAAATACCTCTGCACCATCATAAAATTGATACTTCTTAATTACCTTCCCTTTTCTATTTAAATCCACTATGCTGATTTTGTATTCCAAACCATTTACCATTCTGCATTAAGCTACTGCCAATAATCGCCCATCATTACTGATTGTTAGTTTATTTATTATTTCAAAAGGTTCAATCACATACACTTTTGCTGTCCTTAAATTAGAGTTTATATCTTCCCCTATAAAAGTGTAGACCACCATAGAACTATCTCCTAATGAAATTACCAACTGGTTCGTCTCATGACAATATGAACTTGCACTTATACCAACTACAAACTTTTCAGTTATTGTCTCTATATCTTATTATAACAGTTAATATTTGTTGCTCACTTCTTTTGGCTATTTCTATACTGATTATGTCAACTAATTTATATAAAAACATTTTATGCTGCTCAAATCAATTACTATAGCTAAATCGCCATTGGTTAAAAAAATATTCTAAATTTACGTTTCACTAAATTTTATAATCTCTATCTGTTTCAGAATATCGTATTATTTTATTGAATTGCATAATTAATACATTTCCAATCTTCCCTTTTGTGTTCCGACTAAAATATAATTGTTATAATATCCTATTGCAACAGCGGTAACAATGCATCCTTAATTATTCAAATTCGTGTATTAAATTATGTAGTTTCTCGTCACAACATCGACTATCGAAATGCAATTCTAATTACTCTCAATTTAAATAAGTTACATAATGTCCTAAAACTAGCAATTCGTTTGAATAAGCTGAGCAATAAATCTGTTTCCGATTGATTTCGTAATCCCTTATGAAAAAAGGCACCTGATTTACAGATTATAGATTAGAATCAGGAAATATGATTGAATAAAGTTTTTAATCGTCTTACATTATTAAATTAATTTACTTCAATTATCTCTAAATTTAAATACATCTCTTTCTTTTCATTCCCAATTAAATATGTCTCATTAATTTTTCTCATTATTATCATTTCTCAGAAATTTATCTGATTAAATTCATGATAATCACATACATTTTCAAATGAAAAAGAAGACTAATCTAAACTTATTTTGTTTATCTTATATTTAAACCAGAGAATTCTCCCACTAAGAATTATGAAATAAGGTAATTTAGAAGATTATACTTTGACTATCAAACTTAATGTATGTTCAAAGAGAAAAATAAAAATATAATTAAAAACAAACTAATTATATAATGATAATTAAATAGAATAGAAATATCTTAAAACCAAGATGAATTAAAAATTACATTAATTTAAATTTCTACTCCTTAACCAATTACTAACTTATAAAATCAAAAATACACAATCTGTTCAGAACAATATATATGATGACATAGCTTCATTAATGAATATATCCATAAACATCATGAAAATGAGTAAGTTTACTATTTAGAATAATCTTTGGAGTCTTTAATATCAAAAAAATAAATTAATTTAACGATTAGAATATGATTTAAACTAAGGTATATATTTTTATATAAATTAATAACTTTATTAATGCGCAATAAGCATGTTACTATGAGAAATTTCGAAAATAAAATAAAGTTATCTTGATGCTTATTTTTAAAGTCAAAAACGACATTCTTCCTATCCTTAATCTAAATCAAAAAAAACACTAAAGGTTCTATACCTAACAATTTCCAAAAGGGTGAAAATAGAATTGACATCAATAGATTTAATATTAACAAATAAGTATTTTTTGAAGATTCATTTTAATTCTTCAGCAAGCCTAATTAAACAAATACTAATTTTTCTCGCCTAATGTTAAGAAATAACTATCATATTTTAAGTGCCAAAAAAAAAAGACCAACTTCTTCGGAAAAACTCAAAATAACTACACCATTCTATTCTTCTTCCTTTTATCAAAATTTCATAAGCTAAATAATTTTCTAGGTAATAGAAATTAATAAATAAGTTCGAGTTCCTCTTTTCTTAAAATAAGTCAAAGAAATAGAGAAAAAATAAGTCTGTGATGAAGGAGGACTTTTTGATAATGGGTTTTGAGAATAACTAACAACTTTAAAGAGTAATTTTCGATATATGAAAACTTATAGTTTCAAAATTCATCTATTTTGTTACATTGTTTATTATTTAATTATATTTAACATACAAATTCTATAGTTTCTTAATTATTTTATTCAAAAACAAATAGTTATTATATCTATAAAAGATTGAATAATAAAATGCGGATATGTCTAGAACTTATTTGTTTTCTTTTGCTTGATTTAATTTAAATTTTTCAATAAATAATAAGATATATTCAAAATATAGTGATCTTGTTATCACAAATATTCACTTTACACTATTCATATTTTATATCAATTTCAAGTAAAGAAATACAACTGCTACAAATACTAATTAACAGGTTAATATACAATCAGTTAAGAGGATATGAAAAATTAACAAAAATAATGAAACAATTAATTATTTGATCAACAAAGATTAATTAAAAGAAATATTAATTAATCCTCCTTTGATTTTATTTATATCAAGGATCGAGCTGTTTTACAAATTTCCTTAATGGGAAAATATTGTGCTCTAACAATTAGATTTGATTAATAAACTGATATTTTAAATTAGAGTGATAGTTTATTATACTAATCAAGTCTATTATTAATTATTCTGCAAAATTTATAGCCTTAATATGATAGGGATTGCTTTGAATGTATTTTGCAAATTTCCAAATCAGAGACAATTAATAATTCTAAAAAAAGAGAGTAGGTACTTCAATTTTTTCGGTTATAATATTTTATCTTGTATTGACAAATTGAATTGTTTAAAACCAAAAATATAATAACTGTGTCAATATTATAATTTATCCAAAGGATTAATATTTTGAAATTATATAATATAACAATAAAATAAATGTAGAAAATATAGGATGACTAATAATATATAAAAAATACAAAGAGCTAGTTAAAGATGCAAGGAATAACAGACAATTTGGCATCAACAACTCCTGATTTAACAAAATGTGAGTTTGAATTTAATTTTAGTTATCAATCCTGAGGCACTCTTAAAACCTACGAAAATGCAAATTGAACAATAAAATAAGAAAAGTGATCCAAATGATTCAAAAAATAAGAAAAAGCAAATCTAATAGAGTACTGTTATTACAAAAAATGAAATGACTGCTTAAGATTGGATATTGAAGTGTTAGGAATTGTAAGCAATATTGGAAAAAGAAAAGATGAGAACAAATTAATTAGAATTGGAACTAAAAAATAGATAGGAAAGATTTGTTAATAGAGAAATTGAGTATAGAAAAACGATAGAAGCATTACAAACTGAATTAAGAGCTAAAACAGCTTTAGATTAAGGAGATAGAAAAATAATGGAGAATATTTATAAAGATCACAATAAGATTATTGACGGAATCAATAATATTTAATTGAGAACATCTAAAATATTGGTGGATTAGGAGAGAGATATTATTAGATTTTTTAATAATAAAATTAATGAGATAAAGAAACAATTTGAAGAGGAAAGAATTAAGAAAGGTAAAAATGATTAGGAGTATATTGAAAAAGAAAATTAATTGATTAGTGAATTGGAATGGATTAAAAACATAGCTTAAAAAATAGATAATGAAAATCATTCTCTAATGTAAAAGTATAAAGAATTAAAAATATAGTATTAGACATAAGAAAATGATCGAGAAATGCTTTTAAAAGAGTTAATAATGAAAAAGAAAAAAAATGCCATTCTTAAATCTTAAATTGAGTAATATGAGAAATTATTGAATGAAGCCTAAAAGGATGAAGTGGAATAAGATGATTAATCCTTTGATCAACCATCCTATCAAGATATTGTAAGACCTGGAAGTAAAGCTAAGGTGAGAATTAGGTCTGTGAAGAATTCATCCTAATCTTAAAACAGATAAAACAAGGATGATTCATTATCAAAAAACCAGTCATAAATTCAATAACAATAATAACAAGGCTCATAATCAATTCAATAAACCTTGTAAAGGTATGAGAAAACAATAAAATCCTTGCAATCAACATTAAAAAAGGAATAAAAGAGAGTGAGAGATTTGAAATAATTATACATTAAGGAAATGCAAAGTAAATCAGAATTGGAAGTTATTCTTAGAAAATGTATTGATGATATCAAGGAAGAAATCATATAGATCAAAGGAGAAGCAAGAATATTCAATAAGAATAATAAAAGTAAATGTTATAGTAGATAATTTAGATAAATTGGATTAATTGGAGAAGGAAGATAGAGATAAATTAATTCAAACCTTATTAGATAATGAAAAGATAGTGACTTTAATACATGATTAGATATTTTATGCAAATAAAAAGAAGGTTGATGAACTAAATACATCAAAATAATACGAGCCAAAATAACAAAAGTTATTTTAATTTCCTAATAAATAAATACTATAATAATAGTCTTAATAGAGACAATTAGAGGATGAAGGGTTTGATGATGGAGAGAACCCAGAAGATGAGTTTTGATTAGTATATTTTTAAATATTTTTAGTTATATGAAAATATTTAATCATTATATATTGATAGGTTTAAACGAATAGTAATCGGTATTTCTTCTTTTAAAATCAACTCTTCTGGTGATTGAAGTATTTCTTTAATTATTATTATTATTCAGTTCTAGTTTATTCCTAGCATCTTAGGTAGTGTTATTCATTTTTAGAAGTATATCTAGGTGAGTGTTGTTCTAATGAAATGTTTTATTAATTTTCTCTGTGATTTCCTTTAATTTATTTTCGTAATCATCTGTTAGATTTTAAACAACTGTTGTCTAAGGTATTGAATAACTTCGGTCTTGAATATTGACTGTGTTTTTAGTTTAATCTTTAAGAATTGGAGTTGGTGGTTTATTTTCTTGATTAATCTTGGAATTATTAAATTATTAGAAAAATTACTCAACTCTTTGTAATTCAATTTTTTTATTAAATGGATCAATGATCTCCTTGAACTTTGTCCAATTTTAAAATTGCTTAGTATCTTATTTAGCAATTGGTAATAAAATCTAATTTATAATTTTAAGAGAATTACTTCTTCAATAAACCTAATGAATCCGCTGCATATTTACGAAATATCATCAGAACCCATAAGAGTTTGATATCTTTGTTATGACATTGACATATAATTTTACTGTTAAATTTATTTATATAATTATTATTTAAAGTTGATATAATTTTGAATATTTCATTTCATCAAAATTAAGCATATGGTTATTATCTATTCTAAGACATGTCATTAAATCCGCTTTATTAAGGATTCTAAGTTCCAACTGGACCAGCTAATGTAATAATCTATCATTTACCAACTTGTTGTTAATTCCCTCTATAAGAATTTATTGCTACAATGGCTCCAACCTATAGATAAATCCATCATTTTACTTTTAATAAGGCATTCACAATGCTAATGAAGATTACGAAAACATGGAGACCATGTAATCTACCCCAAACAGGATTATTTTTTTCTGTGGCAGTCCAAATAGATCCAACTGACAATAACCAAATTAAATCAACTAAAATTAAGATTCCATTTAAAACCATTAACTAAGAAATAGCAATTAAATGATTACCATTAAGGAATTGGCTTTGTCATCTCTTGATATCCATAAATAATAGCAAAAGAAAGCAAAAGGGAAATTAAAATCTGTTCTAATCAAACAGGCTAGTACTGATAACCACTTTCAAAATATTATTCATTAATTCTTACAGCAATTGATAAGAAAATTAGCTCTATTATTTTACTTAATTTCTTTGAATCCATCTCTTAATTCAACTATTTATATTAATTCAAATAATTTTAATATTTTTAAATATTAGACTGTTATATATATATAATTGGCATTTATCTAAAACCTTAAATTATTTTTATCATCAATCCCAATCTTAGAATAGTATTAAATAATAGATGTTCATCATAAATACAAATATTGTATTTTTAATATTTAATTAAATATGAATAAATACGCTTTAGAAGAATAACAAATTTTAAATGAAATTATAGATCAAATATTTTCATCTAACATAGCAGAAACTAAAATAATAGCAGAAGAAATCTATAGTGTAAAGAGACTTGTTTCATTAGAATAATTTTTACCTAACATTTGTGGATTCTATGCACTCTATAACACATATTTTGAAATCAATCACAATATTACATTATTTTGGAAATTCTACTTTGAATTAATAAAATAGTTAAACCAAATGTTTGAAGGGGATTTCGAAAATTTTGATGAATTATAGCGTTATCATCTTGATTACATACTAAATAATAAAATTATATAATAACTCTAAGTGTATCAAGATTTTGGCAACAAAAGACCAAAGGAAGTAATTCCATTTTTTTATGGTTGCGATATCATTTAAAATTCAACAGAGGAGTTATCTATCATCTCAGATTCATTTAATAGATTAAGATAATAATAGATTTCTAATTTAACTCTCATTTGTGGTATAACAATACATTACTTGATAATTGATTTGAGATGGGAGTAAACCAAACTTAATATATATTTGATAGATTCTCAAAATGATAATTTAAATAAGCTCTTTAATAAGCAGATTGTTATGGATAAAAATCTTTCTTTGGAAAAGCGAAGAAGAAGAAGGTATAAGATTGATTTAAGAAATTTAATAATGATTCTTTAAAGACTATTAATCGGTTAAGACATAATTGATATTTATTTAGAATATGCAATCAATAATGTAAGAGATAGTTTTGATGAATTTGCATAAAGAAAATAGTTAAAGGAATGGATTATTGAGGAGTATCCATTGCCAGTATTAAAACACATGATATTTAATGTAGCTAAATAGTTTAATAAATAACTAAAATAAATGTCTTGGATATTAGAGTATGAAAATTAAGAATTGAGTGAATTAAAGAATTAATTAATGACTTTTATTTGATATATAATATAAAATATAATTTAATAATGAAAGGATATGAGTTTTTGAGACTGATATAGGAAATTGGAGTTATTCTTAATTTATCAACTCCAACAATCAGTCATGTGATTACTATTTATAAAAGGTAAAGAAATAACACTAATGAATAGATTTACACTAAGCAACAAGAGATAATTTAAAAAGGAAATGGTGATCACAGCATGTTTTTATTTAGTGAGTAAAATAGTGGAAGATATGAAAAGAATTAGAGACATTTTAGTTAGTAAGTAATTCATATTAATAAGTAAGTAATTTGTGTAGTTAATAAAATGTACACATTAGCAAATCAAGAGAGAAAATAGAAATTATAAGCTAATAATTAAGCTGATTATGATGAAGATCCAATTAAATATTTAGGCATAGAATAATACGAGAATTACAATATTGAGTTTTTTGATAAATTTGTACCTTTATTTAATAATGAATAATATGCAGAATGGAAAAGAGAAGTATTGGAAGCAGAGTAACATATATTAAGGATAATAAACTATGATTTAAAAAATGAAACATTGGATAGCTACTAACTCTTATTGAATTATTTAAAGGTATGTTATTAGAGAGTCTACATTATAGATCTTTCAATTTGAATAAGGTTTAAGATAAATGATATTTGATATATTTCAGGATACATTCTTTGTTGACTTTTAGACAGACATGGTATTGATTTATCAGTAATTGTAGACTTAAGTAGATTGTGTCAAAGGTTCAATTTATTTGGGAATTTAATTTTTTAGAATGCATGCAGTGGATAAATAGAAATTATTGAAATTAAAAGAAGAATTTTGTTCATAAAAATGGTGGGAAGAATTCATGCAAATCTCATATAAACAACTATTATTATTTTAAATCGACATGTTACAATATTACAATGCATAAGATTTTGTATAAGCATGAATATAATTTATGTAATTAATAATTTATAAATATCCTTTTTTTTTTTGCTTTTACGCTAAGGTATTTTTAAGCAAATTTGAATATAAAACTCACATTAACAGAATTGATTGAGCAGAAGGAATTTGGTGATTAAATTTCAAAGATTCACATCTTCAAATAAAAATATAGTGTCATATTGTTGTATTTTCATTTATTTGATATGAATACTGTGAAATAAATCATCAAATTGGTATCAACCAGAACAATATATTGGATCCCAAGGCACTTTAAAAATTGAGCCAGATTCCTTGATCATATTTTGTTTTCTAATAATAAGCACTCATTAAATACATCTGGTTTATCTTCAAGTTGTTCAAGCGTTGTTTTATTTTACGATGTAAGATAAACATGAAATATAAAAAAACCTGATATCAAGATGGCAAGGAAACATACAAAATAAAAGTGAAGCACTATAATGTAGAGTTTTAAATCGGAAACATCAATGTGAATTACTTACTCAAAGACTTTTTATTAGGAAATAGTGACCCAAACTAAAAGAGCGCCTCTACTTCTAAATGAATTTAATCTTACTTGCATAAAAGATCATACAGAAAAACATCTTATAATTATCTCTGGCAACACAATTATTTATCCATTGGCAATGATGATCCATTCTCTACCAACAAGTATTGCATTATGAACAATGATGTGCTCTTGGTGGTTTAGGAATGCAACATTTTTTGCAAAATCGTTTTTATACAACCTTTTGATTCTGATCTTTATTAGTATTGTCTTCTTCTTCAATGATTTCTTCTGCATCCAGATTAACAACGCTTCTATCTTCATCATTTTCTGTTTTGAATGTTTTTACAGATCTTTAACTTCTCCTTTATTTTTCCTCTGTTAATCTCTCTTTTTCTTATTATTTAAATATTTCCCATTACTTCCAAGTTTCATCAATTGTTTCCTAAAATAAGTAAATAGAAAACCGTTGAAATAATTCCAGGTTACAAAAACATTGCCCTAAACATTGATACCATGAATAAAATGATAATACAATGCAATATGATGATATCATAAGTATATCCATTAAAATTGGGTTTGAGATTGGTCTACAATAAATAGAATAATTTACAATGAAATAAATGCTGTATGAAAATATTAGCACACCAAACAACATAAAAGTCGGCAATAACGACATTAATCTGTTCCAAAAGCTCATCTAAATTCGTTTTTAATTATATTTTTTTAATAATATAATACTCAACATAAAATCTCACTCTAAGAAACCATTACTCAAATCAGAGATCTCTTCCAGTTCTATTTATTCATCCACTGATAGAAGAAATGTTGGATAATAGAAGGACTTTCCACATGTAACGAATGCACCAACAGGTTTACTACAATCGCATGTTCTTGGTTTCATGGCTTAAGTGAAACAAGTTCTTAATTCAGCAATATAAAATTTGCCAGTTGTAGCTAAATTAATAAATTATACAATTTACAATCTTTCTAACATGTATATGTCATTGCTGTTGATATTCCTAATACTTTTGTAAATGCTGCTCTAACTTCAGCATCTGTTAATTGCCTATCATCATCTGGATAGATTCCTGCTGATGCCAATATTTTATAATAATTATATTGATTATTAAGGTTTCCAACTCTTGACATATAACCATTTTAAGTAAGATTATCTGGGTGACATGTTCCATGCTTTTCCCATTCGTGTCTACATTATAATAATAATTTACTTTCTAAATGTGAAAGTGTCTGAATACATGCCATTCCAAGTAACATCAATTAATGTCTTAGTGGCCACAGTTAATTTATCTTCATCATAGTCTTCATCTCTACAATTGAATATCATCCCACAAGTAGTTTCTAACATTGTATTTGGCCATAATCCATGCGTATTCCATCTAGCATTATCATAATTTCCCATGTATGTTTTTGTACACTTCTAAAATTTACATATAGATCCTGGCCATTCTTAAGCAAATACGTACATATAGCCTAAGATTTCATCATTTTATTGACAATATGCCTGACTGACAATATATAACAACAGTATGATTGTTATTTTCATAGTTTTGAATAATTATAATAATAATAAAGATTAATCTATATGACATCATAGAATTCGATAATAAATAATATGTTTTTAGGTCTCTTACTAAAAGGATAAGTATTAATTTAATTGCATTTTATATATACATAAATTAAATTATATCAATTTTCATTCAATTTACTCTTAAGAGAATCAAAATAATCAATTGCTGCTTTATTGACTGACATAAATTAATCAGTCACCAATAATTTGTGGTGAATTGACGAATTTAGGTTTATTGAATACCATTATTTATTTGGTTTTAAAGCATCCTCCTTCATTTATTAGATAATTAGGGTTTGAATTGGAATATCTTCAGTGGTTTGACACTGATCATCAATCAGTTTAGGCTACTTTTTTTCTTTTTCTAAATTTAAATTACAGGTTAAATCAGTTTGAGTTTCAACAGTGTTTAAATTCTTGCTGATTATTTGTGTATCAACATTTACTGTAGATTACTCAGCAGATAAATTTGATAGTTCATTCGACTATATCTATTAAGACAACTTGGTTTTGAATTTAAATTATAGAAGGATTTTTTTTTGATTTGATTAATTGTTCTCTTTGATTTATTGAATTTCTGGCTCTTTAATCTCAGAACAACCACTATTGTACTACTACTTGATGTTCTCTTGGACAAATTTATCTTAAGGAGGCTCAATTGTATGAATGGATTATTCAGAATTTTCTTGTATAGAGGGATACTATTTGTTAAAATTAGTGTTTTTAAATTGCTCCAACAATCTTTTTCTATTTTGAATACACTTCTCTAGATAAAAGGAAGGAGCTGGATAAATATTAGGATGTTAATCCATAGTATTAATTATTAAATAACAAAAACATTTTTATTAATAAGCTTCTAAATAATTAACATACCTTTCATTTAGAACATTTGGTATATTTATTTATTTCATTTATGTATAATAATATCATGCTGTTGCTTTTTTAATAAAGGTACGTTAAGCAGATCTTCTAATCTTACCTGCATATCTTCCAGCAACTGTATCAGCATCTTTAACATCAGCCTTATCAAATTAATCGACTTTTGCTTCTTTTCTATCAACTACATCCATCAAATTGATTTCGCAAGTGTTATCACTAATATAGATTTAAATTATATACGGATTCACAAACACATAGCCACCCAAATGCAAAAAGTCACCAGTGACTCCTTTGACATCTTAAGTGAATTTAATCTTCAAAGGCCCTGGTGGTAATATGTATACTGCTGCAGGAGTTCTATTTTGAATAATGAGAGCTGCCTTGCGAGGTTATTACAATAGACGAATACTTCATTTGTTTTAGCCACTATTCTTGAGAAACCTTCGAATTTGTCCAATATTGTTCTGTATGGAGTTCTAATGGTCAACTCCATCTTTGCTTTCTTAGCTGTACTGAAACAAGCCTGATTCTTAAGGGCAAGTCCAATCACACCATTAGCGATTCTATTCATAATTTATTTATTTAATTTTTATATTTATTTCTATGCAAAAAGAATAAATAAGAAACCAATTAAAAAAACAACTGTTCGAAAATTAAGGATTGCGTTAAAAGAAATCTATTGACATTGAAAATAACATTACTCAATAGAATTCTCCTTAGCTGCAAGAAACATTTTAAGATGCATACTAATTAATGGAGAAAATAGGTATTCAGTTTGTTCTTATCTAGGTGAGGGTGCTCATTCTGTGGTTCGTAAATGCTTAAGATTACCTAAATAAAAAAGTGCTAGGTCTCTTATGACTAAATCAACCTAGATATATGCAGTTAAATGTTTTAGAACTGATGATCCAGAGATTGTAAATACAATTATTCAGACATTTAATTTGTAAAGATTATTATAAGATGTCCCTCGAATTTGTAGGGCTTATGATCTTTTTATAGATGAAAAAACGAAACATTAGTATCAAGTGATAGAATATTGTGATATTCCTAGTTTGGATTAAGTGTTTCCATTGCTATCACTTAAACATAAATAGGAAACTATTAAATAACTGGCTTAAACAATTGCTTAAATACATTCTAAAGGGATATGTCATCGAGATTTAAAGCCGGAAAACATATTAATATAATTGAATCCAGAAATATAAATTAAGTTAATTGATTTTGGAGTTAGTAAACGATTCAAATTCAAAGATACCTTTAAAGATATGTGGACTGCAACTGGAACCATAGTTTATTAAGCACCTGAAGTATTTTTAGGTGGTGGCTATGACGAAAAGGGTAGTTATGGTATAATATTAAAGTTGATATCTGGTCTATTGGAGTAATATTATACTAATTATTGTGTTATCGACTTCCCTTTTTTGCTGATACTGTTAGTGAAACCATTGAGTTAATTACCTCAGAAAATCTTTCATTCCAATACACAGAAGAATTTTAGAATCTGAGTTACATAGAGAGAGACTTGATTAAAAGATTACTGAAACACAATCCTCATCATAGACTCTATGCTGAAGGTACATATTTGAATAACTTTAGACATCTCTTTACATCCTTGGTTTGAAGACTAAAGTATACATACTTAATATGTTATATCTGATGATACAAATCTAATGTCTAGACAGATTTTGGAAGAAAGAACACTTTCTACTCAAATTGGCAATGAAATCTCAGATCAATAAGTTTAAAATTTGATGGATAGTTTTGAGTGGGGATAAAGAATTCATTTTAAAAAATGATTAATCTTTTAGATGATCAAATTTTTGTTTTATTTTGCTTCAAATATTAATTTATTTAATTGTAGATGGGCAATCAGGGAGGGATGTGTTGTCTTTCTAGGTAGAAGGAGAATCATGTTTTGAATAATGAATTAGTTATAATTCGAGAATATATGAATGTGAAAATAACGGTTAAATTGGGTGACATCTAGAAGGAATCTGGAGAAAGTGTAAGTAAGTTTCCCCCTCTATTCATAAAGTTTGTTTATATACAAATCCTGATAAAATTCCGTTATAGTAAAATATTATCCAATCGATTTACGACAATATCAGTAGAAGTATTAATTATGCTTATCCTCTAGTTGGATATGAACAGGTCTATATTCAAAATTTAGAAATGAGTGCCTACAAGTGTATAACTTATTATCGAGTAAGAGTTTTTGAAGTATTATAAACCATTATATTGAGTCAGATAAAGATTTATTCCAATATTATAACGGGTTTAGAGAGTGGTAAATAATGCTTACAACATTATTAGTTTATCGTAGTTGAATGACGAAGAATTTAAAGATATTCTTATATGTGATTGTCCAATCAAATAAAGTAGAGCGTTTAGTTCCGAAGTATTGGTTAGATCAGTGATTGAGTATCAATATTTAATAACTTAGTTTTATTGATGAATCAAAAAGTAGATTGAATATCAGAAGCATAACCATGTTGAATTGTGATAAGAAGAGTGTAATCTGTAATGATTAATAATGAGTCCCGTTTTTTGAAATATGAACTAATCAAATAAATAGAAGAATCTAACGAGCCCATGATACGAAAGGAGAGGTAGAACAAATTCATGAAATTTATTACTTCCACTAAGAGTATTACATCTGAAATGGGCAGATAATTAAAATGTGATTTCAGTTTGTAAGACTTCGATCTTGGAGATGAATCTAAATTGGTACATGCTCTAAAATAGGATTAAATAGAAGAATAGTGAATAATTAAACAGGTAATTCTTAGTTATATCATAATTAATATCAATGCCAACATACTCTCTCATTTATTCTTAAATTTTCAAATTAATTACTAAATTATTCAATTATCAATACATAATATATATATTATAAATATGAATAGAAAGAAAAATACAACATCAGTTCCTACATTGCCTTAGAGTAAAATAAATCAATCATTATTGGTCCCTCCTCCATAAATAATGAGTCCAAATTAATCATATTCAACGTATATTCCACCTGAACCTAAATTCGATCCAAACGATTATATAACAGGATCGACAACTAAGAGAGACATCATTTTGTATAAGGAAATATTTGATTTTTTGGATTCAAACAACAATGGAGTTATTTAACCTATGGATTTGAGAAAGGCATTTGCAAGTGCCGGCAAATATTAACCAAAAAAATAAATTATTTATCAAATGATTGCTGACTTCGATCAAGATCAAAGTGGTATAATTGAATTTAGAGAGTTTGTGAGAATGATGTCGATGCATCCAGGAGAAAAGGATACAGATGAAGATTTTGAAAATATCTTTTATCAATTCGATTTAGATTACAAAGGTACTTAGCCAATCCCATAAACTAGGTTATATAACAATTGATGATCTCAGAGAGATGGCATCAGAATGTAACGAGAATCTAAAAGATGAAGACTTAGAAAACATAATCAAAGCTTGTGATCCAGAAGGAAATGGCACTATTAGAAAATAAGGATTTATTAGGTATATGAAAAGTCTACAAAAGAAAAATTGATGATATTTATAAGAATATTATACATTTATTATTTCTTATTTCAAATATGAAATGATGTTTTGCATCTAAATGAAATATAATGACCTCAATTTAGGATATAATCGAAGTGGATATTAAATTTAAAATGTAAACATATTAATTACATTTAGGAATTGATTGCATTTGAATTAGAAAAAAATGATAAATTAAAATAGAAGAAGCATAAAGCTTGTTATGTCAGATTGAATTAATACTATGTACATTATTTATTTTTTAAACAATTAACACAAAAATATCAATCTTTTTCGAGTAAGTTTAGTTCCACATCTTCAATTTTCTCTTCTTTATCATTTCTTTTCCTAAAAAAATAGACAAAACATTTACTATATATATATAATTAGTGCCCACAGAAAAGGTAAAAGAGATATGAACCACCCAAAAACTATAAAAAATCCATCGTAATTCAAGGACCCTCTAATCTATTGAATCACTGATATTATCAATAGAATGACCACTGTAAAATGACAGAGTTTAACAATAGAAAATTCAATAAATGCTGGAATCTAAATATTACATTATTCTAAATCCTTTTTAAATTTGCTAAATCTTTTAGGATTTCCAAAATAATAAACTTCAAATAGCAATCCTCCCATAAAAGAAATAGTAGTTCCATATAAATCTACAAATTCAAGTAGATAAAATCCAATGTCAGTACAATAGATTGATCCTAAAATTCCTAATGCAATGCAGATTCCCAATCGAACTTATTGAACTGTCAGTTTATATCCAAACAAAAACACTTCTCCTAAACAAGCATCCTCTATTGTTCCAGCAATCAGATCCACAAATCCAAATTATGTATCAACTCCCAATAAAACAAGTACACAAAAGAATAAAATGCACCATAAATTTGGCATCGGCATCTATGCTAAAATGGCTGGATATAGAACAAATGCCAAATCTGGGCCAGATAACTAGTTATATAATGATAATTACTGGCAATTCATCTATAGGAATGTTGAATCTAACACTAACATGTCCAATGTAACTAAACACAACTAATCCTGCAAGCATACCACATAAAGATGTAATAATGGGAATAGCATAAGAGAAATTAGGTAGATTATCATCCTTCTTTCTATAGCTGCCATATAAGCATAGAATAGCCAAACCGACATTCATTTGAAAAATGACCTAATTAGCAGCATCTACCCAAACAGAGGGATTAAATAATTTAACAAAGTCTGGTTTAAATAAATAATAAATTCCTTCACTTGAACCTTCAAGCATTAAGCCCCTTATGAGTAGAATCATTAATAAAATATAAGGGGAAGTGGCTGTCACTATTGCAATTTTTCCTGAGGTTCCTACTCCTTCCCTAAAGTAATATACAAGAGTAAATACTTAATAATTAAATAGACAATTGTTAATGAAACCATATACGCAATAAGTAAACTCCATACTATTTCATCTAATATTAAATATTAAAAATTAATACTTATGTTTGTGATTGAATCTGATATTTGAAGAATTTCACCATAAAAGTATGACTTAGAAAAAGGTTATTCTTCATTTATTACGCTTTCTAACCAAGGCAAGGGATATTTGAAGGAATCCCATAAAAATCGAAAGGAATAAGCCATGATTAAATTCTAGGATTAAATTAGAATTACATAATATGTAGAAACATATGAGGCTATTATGATGCCTATGAATCCAAAACCTGCTAATTTTGGTTTCTCTGAGGCAATAAGATGCGCAAATCCCATTCCTTTTGTTTATCCAAGTCCAACTTCAAGGAAGAATAATGGAATTGCAAGTGTGAAAACAAGAAGAAAGTAAGGAATAAGGAATGTTCCTCCTCCATTTTTAAAAACCACTAAATAGTTATTACAATCTTACAATAAGGAAATCTCCAAACACTTCCGAAGCCTGCAGCAAAGCCTAGAGCGGTCATCATGAAAGTCCAAGAGTTTGTGAATTTCATTCTCTCTTCTTAATACTCTTCTAAGCTTTTATTCGATGGCAACATTAATTAAATTGATAAAAATGCAATTTAAGAATAGATTGTTAAAAAAAGATAACTTTAAAACAAATAAATTCATTTTATACATAAATATACAAATCTAAAATTCATTTGAATAAATCATTTTCCCAATAAGTCTAATCAAATTTATAGACTCTTGAATATCCACCCTCTTCTCCAGTAATAAATCCTTTTCCATCAGGGAAGAATGCTAAGGCATTGATAGGTCCAATTTGATTAGGATCTATACATTTAATAATTTATTATACTTAATAATTTTCCTACTTCCTCCTCATAAATTACGTTGCAAATGTGTATATCAAATCCTTAAAATTTGGTTCTGGCTGTTTCTCTTGCTGGAATACCACCAGCAACTATCAAATGAGGTTTTGGCTTTTGCTCAGTATTGAATAATGGTGAGATTGCAACAGCATTCATGGGTACTTCATATTTGAATTATCTCAACAATTATAAAGTAGCTGGATCAAAGATCTTGCATCCATCGTTACCAGCAGTAGCCAAAATTGAAAAATCTTTGGCAAATGTAAATTGCTTGATTTCACCATCATGCACTTATACTCTTCTAATTTCCTACTCTATTCATTATCTAGAATTAATATATACTTTATGGATAAGATAACAATAAGAGTTCTCCTTCAGTTGATGCCATTACAATGGTTTGATTCAAATATCCCCAACTTGCTTGAGTAGTCTTGAATTTATCTGGAGTTATAAGAGTGTCTGTAATTTCCAATACATCTTATGTTTATCTCAATTTAATCTTATCTAAGATTTCTTGCACTTTCAAGATCCGAGTCTCGTAATTGATTGTCGAAGTCATTGGTTAATATACCTATACATTATGCTTCCAATCTAATTACAATAATTAAATTTTCATCCCCAAAGGAGAAACTCAACCCATTTGGCCTTTCTCATATCAGCTGTTAATTTTCCAAGACTCTTTCCTCCATTGATCTAAAAGAAATCAACAGAACCCTTAGATATCAATTAGTATTCTTTACTTCTAATGAACCACTCACTAATAATTCGCTATTATCTGTCAAATCTAATGTCTTCACTGCACCACTTGCTTTATAATTTCCTAATCTAATTTTTGATCTCTCTAATTATATACCTTTCACCAGTCTCTGTCAACCAACAATTAATACCACCATCTTATGAGGCAGTAAAGAATAAATCTCCATCATAATTGATTTTAACAGTCATTATAGCTCTGTCTGTACCTCTGACATGAAAAGGCCTCATTTAATTAATTTAATTTATGGAAGAATAAGAAAATAGAAAATATAAAAGAATAAGAATAACTAAATAAAAAGAGCAATAAAGAAGGCACTTTTAAAAATAAGGAAAATTTTAGTTATATACTTAATGCATTTAAGACGTTGAGTGATTGGAACAGCTTTTTAACTTTTTTACGATTAGATGAGTCTCATGACGTTCAATAGCAGATATTGAAAATTCTAATATTAGAAACTACATTATAAGAAATAATGATCAATTATGATTATAAAGAATGGAATTAAATAATTTGAATTAAGAATTGTTAGAAATAGTGTATTATAAGGACTAAATAAATAAATCAACCATAATTAATTGCGCTTTTGGTTCTATGTGCATGTCTTCTTCTTCTGTGTCTTAAGACAACAGGATCTTCTTCGTCTTTGAATTTTGGAGAGTTAATAATTATTCGCTAATTAATCAAATTCTTTTCATTAGGATTATTAGTATTAATATTAATATTTGTATCATCTATTTAGAATGTATAATTTCTTATATGTCTTACTAATTTTGTAATACTCTATTTCTTCATAATTTTAATATCTGATTGCGCAACAACAACTAATTTCTTGTTTACATTATTATTTTTCGGGGAATTGAAAACAGGAGTCTTATCAAGTTAATTAGAACTAATTGAATGTCTTTCTTCTTCAGATTATATAGAATCATTCAAATATTGTTGTTTTTGGCTTTGCTCAATAATCCTTTGTTGGAACTTAGAGGGCACAATCAGACTCTAATGTTTTATCCTGTTTTCATGATTTAAATTTTTCATGCTATGAACTTTAGTGTTATATAAAATCAATTATTTTTTTAGTGCTAGTGATGGGTTTACTAAAGATTATAAAGATTTAATGTAATAAAAGGCCTTCTCATATTGCCATTACTTAATTTTTATTAGATATGCTATCATTACAGCTGTACTCCAATTTAATCCATTCTAACAACATACTAATATCGAAGAACGTTTGATTTCATTCTAAATCAGTTGGCAAGTCTTTTCAAAAATATTTATAGCCTCTCCAATGCCATCATTTAGTCTCTAAATCATTTTATCAATAGTACATGATAGGTAGCATACTCTATAAATTTAGTATGATTTTATTATCCAATAACTATAATAGTTCGAATGTTCTTTAATTTAAAGTATTGAATAGATTCCAAGGCAAGAACATTCCCTTAGTATATTTTGTGGAAGCGTTCCTCAAGTACTGTGAAGAGAAAGGCTTAGTTAAGCATATAGAAATGTGAACCAAATAAAAGATTATTATATTTCTTAGATATTGATTTATTATCCAAATAATACTTCATAGGTTATATTTGATGTTGTGATTTCTCTATCTAAAAACACAACATTTTCTCAATGATCAATATATTATCAACTACAAAAGTGAGATTAATTTCGTTAAAAAAAATAATGTCATTCGCATCCTCATCGGACAAACCATTTATCAAATAATAATCTAAAATATTGGTGAGGTGGAATTTACAATGTCTATCAACTAAATTCTGTACAAAAGAGTAAATAATAATTCGATTATTCACTAAAAAATAAAATTTGAAGCTTGTTATGCCAAGTTATTACGACAACCATAAATGAAAGATGTCTTGTGTTGGTCTATGGAAATGAATGCTCTGATTTGGATAGAATAAATATTTGATTATTAACATGCAGCGGATTTATTGCTGAATTATTAGAAGTTTTACTTTGAGGAGTATAAGAATATTTATAGTGTTTAAATGGATAAATAATATTAATTTAAGAATTTAGTGAAATTAGAATGAATTAGTAAGGCCATAACAATGGTTATAGCAAAAAATCTATTGAAAATATCATATTTAATATTAAATTATTACATATGAGTATCCATGAATAGTTGTTACAAATGGTGACAGACGTAAGTAGTTATAAGTGTATGTAGATTTGCAGCTCACTTAAATAGGAACCAGCTGTAACAAAGGTGTAGAGTACACAAGAGATTCTGAATGCACTCAAACTTCTAATCTTTATACTACTCGAATTAGTATCTCAAAACAAAAGCCTCGAATATGATGAATTAGAAAAGGCAGTCTAAAAAGCTGAAGCAGAGATTCGTTCTCATGTTAGGGTATCATAGAAGGCATAATTGTAGTTAGAATAATAGATGAAACTTTACACTGATAACCTATAAGAGAAGATTGAACAACTTGAATTGGAAAAGCAATAAATAGAAGTACAATAATTGTCATTAAAATTTAGTAAGATCGTAAGGCATCAACTTTACAATTAAATTTTTTATCTTCCAAAGAAATGGAAAAGAAGCCATCCAATTTGTCTCAACAACGTGAAGGAAGCCCAAACGTAGTTAAGAAATCTTACATAATGGGCAATTAGATATATCATCGGCAACATTAATCTAACTTAATCACTTATCAAGATTAGCAAATACCCAATAAAACTACATCTTAGGAACCTATAAATCGTGAACGTAGAAGTGCCAACACTCAACATATCAGTTACATTCCAGGAAAAGGACTCCCATTGAAGAACAATGTCTCTCATTAAAATAACTCTATCCACAATCCACCATCAAATAGAAAAGATGATAGAAATAAATCCCAATAATCTCAAGAAAGAGTCATTGATAAAAGCTAATCATTATTAAAATCTTAGAATAGCTACTCCTACATTAAAATGTATAATATTTAAAAATTGATTATAAATAAAAATCAGAATGACAATATTAAGTAAGCTACTTAATTAACATAGTAAACCAAAAGGTATTAGTAAATAATCATATTTTAGCAAAACCATTCATGGAGTATGTAACAATATTTTAGATGAATCTCATTATAAAAAGAAATGATAATAAATATTAATAATATTAATTTTTGAGTTCTTATCCATTCGTATATTCCCTAATTCATCATTGCTCTATTTAATATCAAATTATCATTTTATAATAATTAATTAGTTACTCATAATTAATTTTAAAATCACTATTATACCTGCTTAGTCAATAATTCTATATCTAAATCATTATTGCTCATGTCTATCTTATTGCGATTTCTATAATAATAAAATAGAAATTACTCTATATAAATCTTGATGGCAGCTATAAATGGCGAGAAAGAAATAAACCAGCCAATCAAAACTACATGAAATGAATAATCAAGAGAACTTTTGATTTATGATATAACGGATATTATAAGCAATACAATAACAGTATAATGGCAGAGTTTTGTTAATGAAAATTCAATTAGCCAAGGAACGTAATTCCCATATTTCTCTAAATCCATTTTCAATTTTTCAAATCTCTCTTTTGATCCAAAGTAAAATACTTCAAATAGTACTCCCAACATAAATGAAACATTAGTTCCAAAAGTATCCACAAAACTCAATAAATAAAATCCAATATCTGTGCAATAGATTAAACCTATCACTCCTAATATGCTGCAAACACTTAATCGAACTTGTTGAACCGTCAATTTATATCCGCAAACTATCACTTCTCCCAAATAAATGTCTTCTATTGTTCCTGCAATTCCATCTACAAATCCAAATTAAGTATCAATCCCCAACATTAATAATACTAAAAAGAATAAAATGCACCATAAATTTGGCATTGGCATCTAGGCCAAAATTGCTGGATATAAAACAAATGCCAAATCTGGACCAGATAACTAATTATTGTTGTCATAAATACAGGTAATTGTGAAATTGAAACGTTGAATTTAAAACTAACATGTCCTATATAACTGAATACAACTAAGCCGGCTAACATTCCACATAATGCAGTTAACAAAGGTATCGCAAAAGAAAAATTAGATAAATTGTCATCCTTCTTTCTATAACTACCATATAAACAAAGAATGGCTTGTCCAACTGACATTTAAAATATGACTTAATTAGCAGCATCTACCCAAACAGAGGGATTAAATAATTTAACAAAGTCTGGTTTAAATAAAAAATATATTCCTTCACTGGAACCTTCAAGCATTAAGCCCCTTATGAGTAGAATCATTAATAAAATATAAGGGGAAGTGGCTGTCACTATTGCAATTTTTCCTGATGTTTCAACTCCTTCCCTAATTATGAATCTATAAATATTACTTTATACAAAAGTATACTATTATTAATGATACAATATATGCAATAAAAAGACCCCAAATTATATGATCTATTGTATTTTAAATTTAAATTACTTAAATCTGTTATGCATGTGGAAATCTAAACAATAGAATCGTAAAAGTAATCTCTAGAAAAGGGTTTATTTTATTCAATTATGCTCTCCAACCATGGTATTGGGTACTTGAATGATTCCCACAAATATCTCAAAGAATAAGCCATAATTAGATTCTACTTTCTGTGATATATTTTACATAATATGTGGATATATATGCGCAAATTACTATTCCAACATACCCAAATCCTTTTAACATAGGTTTTTCAATGTCTAATAAATGAGCCATACCAATTCCTTTACATTGTCCCAAACCAACTTCTAAAAAAAATAATGGGATAGCCAAAGTAAAAACCAAAATAAAGTAAGGTATTAAAAATGTGCCTCCTCCATTCTTGAATACAACTAGTCAGTTTATTATAATCAAATATATACGATAAGGAAATCTCCAAACACTTCCAAAACCTGCAGCAAATCCTAACGATGTAAGCATAAAGGTCCATGAGCTTGAGAACTTCATTCTGATTTCCTAATATCCTTTTAAACTTTGTCTAGATGGTTACATTATTTAATAATTAATTATTGCTATTAAGAACAAATACTCAAAACTTGTATTATTCTGAAATTATCGTTATTAAAAATATTAGTACAATGTTAAGATTATTCAACAATTCAAAAAAAAAAATTATTGAAATATATATAACTTCTACTCTTGAACTGATAAGAGTGCGAAATCTTTATCATCTAGTGACTTATAAAGACCCATAATTGCATTGAAATCTTTTTACAAGCTTACATAGAAACTAGTTAACGTATAACCTCAAACTAATTTTATAGGTTTTTTAATACAAAACAGCATTGTAGATAAATAGTATGATAATAATGAATATTATTTATTTAAATCTGAATAAAAAATTAAAAAAAAATGATTAATATATATGAAGACATTTTACTTTTTACATTTCTTTTCATTTTTAGAGACCATACACACTTAATATCTCACATCTGTTGATTCTTTCTTTTAAACAAAGGAAACAATCTTAGCACTAAACGGGGAGATTACAAACGATTTTGGGATAGTTTTTGGAATTTGGTCTAAGTACAATCCCTTAAACAAAATATCATAAGGAGGGATTATCGGAGTGATGGATAGCAATTGTTTTCATTAAATGAATTTTATGAGGGAATCTTTCGGATAATTAGAATTATTATATTACGATTGTCTTTACCCTGAAAGCTAAACAATTAAGAAAATTCTAGCCTACAATACTGCAGAAGGATTGTAACATGTCTATAAAGTGGAGATTGACACATTCGAGTATGAGAATGTTTGGTATTTATTTGAATTACTTTATTCACCATCTGCTAATAAGCTTGAAGTAATCATGGTAAAAGAAGATCAATTTGTATTACATAAATTGTTAGATGTGAACATAATCAAAACAGAAAACTTAATCTTAACGATTGGAAGTGATCTTATTGTACAAAATTCAAATATAGAATCTATAGAGGTCGGATCAAGATTTTCATATTTTCCAGGGTAAATAAAATTACTAAAGGTAAATCAGAAAATTATTACAAAATTAGACCCTTAAATATTGGGAAAAGCAGTGTATGTATTATTTTTTGATACAATATCTGAATAATAGTGCAAATAAAATAATTAATATTCTCTTTTAGATCAAGATATAACTTGGTTGGATAAAAAGATTTTTCTCTCCTAAAACGTAAACATTAATTCATTTACATTTTCTGGTTGGTATAAAATCAAAGAAATTCATTAATTTGATGATAAGTTTACTTTTTAATTTTTGAGGATAATGCCAAATTTTGAAAATGATTAATTCTCTAATCCTAATTTATCACCCTTTTAATTATTCTATAAAATATCTTCTAATAGTAATAAAATTTTAATCACTACTTATAGTTATAAATTTCCCTCTATTACCTTAGATTTTACTAATATCGATAATGCTTTTATTATTTCAAAAGAATTCGAAATATTACATAAATTTACTTTTTGGCATTACTTACTAGTTAAATTAGTAGATGATTAAATCTTTATTTCTATTACATTTTATGATTCGCCTGTTATTTATGAATATTCTGATTTTTATAAAGTAAAACAATTCCACAACATATAATTTAAATTGCTTTAAGGAAATTTAGAAAATTCTGCTTTAAATTACATTAATATATAAACAAGAAATTAATATTTTTATAATTGTTAATTTTAAATAGAACAGCAAAAGTGTCATTATAGTTGTAAAGAATGTGATGGTCCAACAGAAACAGATTGTTTATCATGCCCTGAAGAATCTTCAAGAATATATCAATCATAATATAAATCATGCATATGCCCTCATTAATATTATGATGATAAAGTTAATTAGAATTGTAAATCTTATAGTGATTTATTACTAATAATAAATGAAATGCAAATAGAAAATGGATGCAAATTTGGTTATTTTGAATTCGATGATTCATGTTAGGCATGGTAAATATTTGTTTATATCAAGCCCTTCTATAATATCTAATTCATTAACAACATGTCTAGAGTGCATCTAAAATGTAAAGGGATGGAAGCAAAATTCATATTGTTAAACTACTCTTTACATAAATTCAAATGGATATACAGTAAAAACTATATCTGAAGAGGATTATAATTACTATGTTTTTGATGGATCGGAATTTTCAATTTGTAGATTTTGCGATTAATCATCCTTGTCAAATCTTGATAATTTATACCAAGACTTTAATTTTTTAACTTCAAAATTTATGTTATTTTGTAAATTTAACAACAACATTTTTGATACATCATTTATCAATGATATTTGCTTTGAATGTAATTTACCTAATTGTCGTATTTGTTCCTTAGAAATAACACATATTAGATGTATTTAATGCAAAATTTCTTTTAACTTAATAAATGGAATCTGTACAAATAAATTTGAAGTTCAAAAAAATAATAGTTGCATTCCTCCTTTATACAAAAATTCTAATGGAGAATGCAAACGATGCATACTTGCAAATTGTAAATATTGTTTTGAATTTAATAAAATCGACTTATAAAAATCCACTTTGCATGCAGGCTTTAATAAATTTGATTCAGATGAAAATCTAGCTCTTGGATGTGCACTTTGTGAAGAAAATTTTATTTATGATTTTATTATTGGAGAATGTATTTAGAAATAATCATCTTTGCCTAACTGCATAAGATCTTTTATTAATCTAGAAAATTAAGAAATATGCACTTTATCATCAACTGATTTTAATATTGCACCAGAAATAATTAATTGTAATAAGTTTATCTAAAACTGTTTATAATGTCTTTTGACTCCACAATCTGTAATCAAATGTATCATTTGTTAAAGTGGATTTACTAGTTCCATAAATCTAGGAAATTGTTATCCAAATTCATTTGCTGATGCAAAGGTAGTGATTGAGGGGTAGACATAAAATTTTGATGCTTGGGTTTAGAGAGTTTAAAGTTTTATGATGAAATTTCTACCAAATTAGTATTTTTATTTAAGACCATATGATGAATAAACTCTTTTATAATTTTAAGTTGAATGTAAGGAAGGATACAAGTTAAATTTTTAATAGGATTGTAAAAAATATTGCACTTCTGATTGTTTGGAATGTCTATAATCAATTAATTCTGATTATTTTACTTGTGCAAAATGCCCATTAAATTAATACTATTAACCCATTCTTAGTGAAGCAGATGGCTAATGCTTAGAATGTGCTGAATTGTGTGAAGTTTGTGAAAGACGATCCGAAGCAGAAATTTATGTAAGCAAATTTAATTAATTTAGAAACTAAATCCAAACTTTAAGATTAATGAGATAAATAGAAAATATACAAATAAATGTATCAGAAAAATTTCAAACCCAAACGTACTTATCGATCCATAACTTTTAATTCCTAAATATTGTTTTGTTTTAATTTGTAATTAAGAAATGATTATTGAGTTAGCTAATTATTTTGATGTCGATACTTAGATTAATGTCTAATATTGTAATTAAATAGGAATCAACAACATATCTATACTATTTATTTATAAAAATGATATTGACTATAATAACAGAGTTCTATGTAAAACAGAATTGAAAACAAAAATTTTTAGTTTAAGAGTTATCAAGCTTGTATTAACTTTTTCTGAAAATAATTTTAATTCTGTTAATTTATCTGGCTTTGACTAGATAGAAATAAATGATGCACATTTCCTATTCAAAACTCAAGATCATATTTAATTTGAAAATAAATAGTAGCCAGTACTTTTATTTTTAAAAAAGATTATAATTAATTAAAGTTCAATTTCAAATGTAAATTCGGTTTTCGATTCAGATTTATTTGGAGATATCACTTTGAAGGATATATTAATAATTGATTCAAATTTTAATAATTCTTCATTTTTCAATCTTAAATATATTTCAGGAATTATTAAAATTGAGAAAATGATTATCAAATAATGCAACTTTACAAATTCATCATTTTTTTAATTATTTAACAATCATATCAAGAATGTTTAAAATAGAAAAATTAAGAGAATTAATGAAATGGCAACTTTGGTAAATTCATTCGTTTATCACTTTTTTTCAACATAATCCACCTCTGAAATGTTAATTTGAAAGGAAATAATTATTTTAATTAACTTCTAACCGCCCTTTATTAATCATATTTTTTTAAATATTTCAAAATAACTTTCATCTTTAAATGATTGACTTTATTTTTGAATAAAATTGGATAGAAATGTCTACTGTAATTGGATTTAGTTCCAATACAACTTTGTGGAAGACTTAATTACTTAAAAATTAATTTATTAATTCTTATTTTTTGGCTGGTCTGGAGATTGATAGAAAGAGAATAATAAATTGTTAAATCCAAAATTAATAAATTCTTCAAAATCATTTCATAAAATCCAATTTATTTTATGTCGAATCAACAATTACAAATAAAAATTTATACGTATAATTAAAATCTCTTATAATTTCTGATAATTTCAGAGGAATTAATGAAAAATCATAAATCACTTTATTTAAAATTCATTGCTTCCAATTAGAAATTGAGAACATTTAGATAATTAATTCAAATAACTTCCTTATATTCTATCTTTTTGAAATAACAAAACTTTTTGCTTCAAATATTGTATTTAAAAATCTAGAAATCAATTATAAAGTTAGTCAAAATATAAATTGTGTATAATATAATTATTATGTTCAAAATTAACTCCTTTTCATGTATGGATTCGATATAATTATTATAAAAAACATTACAATTTATTAGTAATGGAGTATTGATTAATCATTGTTGTAGATATTATCAAGCAAAAATAATATATCAATTTAAAGTAAAACTTTACAATTTATAGATTTATAGTTTCTAGGAAACTTGTTGATTAAATAGTTCTAATCTAGTATATCATCTTTTATTACAATAGAATCTGAATAAATATCTCACATCTATCAATTTAAAGTAAAACTTTACAATTTATAGATTTATAGTTTCTAGGAAACTTGTTGATTAAATAGTTCTAATCTAGTATATCATCTTTTATTACAATAGAATCTGAATAAATATCTCACATCAAATTGCATAATGTAGTTTTCATAAGAAATTTCTTACATTCTTACATCGATAGTTCATAAGAATCTAGAATACATCTAATTTAGATAATATCATTGGCAGGACTCATTGAGATTAATAATCTTACTTGTTAGAATAATGCACTAACTAATTCTTCAAGTTCATTTATATCTTTGAAATCAAAAATCATACAAATATCCAATTGTAGTATTTCAAACCTTAATGTATTACCTAAAGAATTATGGAATTTTTATTATGATTTTTCAATAGACATGGATAAATTTGATTAGGAATAGATCAATTTAATCATTTAATAAATTTTCACAATCAAATGCTAAGGTGTTCTAATAATAGCATCTACCTTTTCTTGTTTCAATTGTTTTTTTGAAGATATTATAGGATAAAAAAGCTCTATATTCGAGATAAGAAGTTTAGAAGATGGAAATATCTAATTCACAAATCTAACTATTAGATCATTAGAATATGATTTATCTAAAATATTAGATAGTTCAGGTTGTATAACCATTGATTCTTCTAATAGTTTACTTAATTTACAAATCCTTAATGCAAATTTTTTAAAGATATTTAATCGAATGGCAGCATCAATTTTTACAATTTTTCCATCATTATGGAAGAATGAAGTAAGTATTTAGGATATTTTAATTATCAATTCAATTTCATTAAAGAATACAATAATTAATTTATAATTTTCATCATAAAGTATGAATTACAATAAAGTAATTCTTAGAAATATAACAATATAATAGGAGGAGGATATTTGGTTTAAGTATTTTGAAATGATTGAAATGATTACTTAATCCGAAATATAAGATTTAACAACCGGTTCTAATGCTTTAATTCAATTAAAAAATAGTAAAGTTATTTTGTAAAATATTCTCATTAAAGGGCTGTTTGGTTTTACTTTAATAAAATTGTATAATATTTCAAAGTTATTTATCTATTAATTTTAGGTGAATGATATTAAAACATTTTCTTAATTCAGTCTATTTGAAATAAAATCAGATTTATTGATAAAATAAACCATAGTAATTAAATTCTCTTAATTTTAATAATTTCAAATTTACGAATATTAGGATGAGCCTCTCATCTACAAACCTAAAATTAAATACATGAGCCTAGATTGCAATTTAATTGAAAATAACCTATATAACTCCATAATTTTTAATTTTTAGGATTTCCTTTTACTCATGTATTATAATTCGAGATTATGGTCAATAATTGACATTTAAACTCTTTCAAATTAAACCGTTTTGTATTTGGAAAATATACTATTATCAAAAGTTGCTTGTCCCATTTGCACAAATGGAATATTTTCTTTGAATATGGTAAATTCTAGTTCAATAATAATTAGAGACTTAACGTGTACATATAATAATCTTTCACATTATGGATGCTTA